TGGCGTGTTGTTGTTGTCGGCGCCGGTCTCCCGGCGATTGACGCAATGCAACGCATGTCGTCCGACGATCTCTACCCGGCTGGCTTGGAACGAACGACGGATCAACACTATGGTACCGTCACACGCCCGCGACAACGCCTGCTCCGATTCGGGGGCGAATGGGGCGGCATCGTCTTCTAAACATGCCTGCACTTTGTCGACATTAGGCTCGGCCTTGACGCATTCGGTGATCCATCGTCGATGATCGTTCGATAAATGACGCTCCCATCCGGTGTGTTCTAACTATGGATTAGGCTCATACCGCGTCCGTTCGGTGCGGGCGTCTTCCTGCGCCTGCTGAAAATCGGCAAACAACTTCGCTATCCATGCCTTGCCTTGGGCGGCATGATCGATGTCTACGGCTGGGCCGGCATGGGGCACGACCTGGACGGGAAATACCTTTTGCCATTTGCCTGTACGGAACAAACGTTGGCATGGTTGGTTCGTTTCCCATGGTGGACGGTGGACGGCATCGAAATCCGGTCGGCCTTTTGCTCGGGTACTCTGATAATTATGCTGGTCCTTGCAATGCTTCTGAATGCCCGTGCGTTCGCGGTATGTGACATTGCATTCGCGGCCGTCGACGTTGAACACGCATCGATGTCCATTGGGATATACGGGAATGCCGGCGATGGGCGGACTACTCGCATCGGGATACTTAACCTTGTCGGGCGTCTGTGCGACATGGGGCAGACGCTGAACAAACGCTGCGATGTCGACTCGTTGCCGAACAGTGGTGCTCTTGTGTTTCTCTTGCAAATGGCCTTGAATATGGGCCGGGCTAACGGCATATTGACACTGCTTACAGATTATGACCTGGCAAGCCTGGTTATGTAAGAAGTATTTCTGAAATAGCTCCATGATGTTGTACCAAATGGCTGTACTATATGCACCTCGCATGCGCGCTGACAGCTATCGGCGTCGTGACATTCGCGACGCGAGCGTGTCTGTATACCCTAGCCAACCCCAAATTCCCGCGCAAACTTCATTTTTTTTTGCGTTACTTCCAACCCCGACAACGACATACCAAACAACGTCGCAAAATTACGAGAACTATGTCCGTTTGATCGCCAAAATCTGCGCTTTTTTTGGGTACCCATCTGGAAATTATTAAACATTGGCATCCCTATGTGATCGACCCCATGTGATCGACCCCCTTAGGGTCCGTACCCGAACCAAATGTAGCTAGTAAATATATGTGATCGACTCCATCACAGCTGGAATTTGTGGATAGGTCCCGAAGTAATCTAGTGAGTTGATATAGGCTGTCTCCTCGGCGGTGGTCGTTTTTGCTGCGTATCGAGCCTGGTCGGTCGAGTTGGGTGCGATCAAGAAGAAATCTGTAATGTGGTTTATGATCCGCTGTGAAAACTTCTCAAGAATCTGATGGGCCACTGGAGAGCCTAGATCTGTGGAGTATACCACGTAGCGGTTGTAACCTAGCTGTTGCATCAGATCTGCGAATGCGATGGCGTGCTCCTTGGGACCCAAGCCTCCAGCTGTGGGCGCAGGACTGAAGCCATATCCCGGCAAGTCTGGAGCGATCGCATGGAAAGCCGGCAACGAACCATTTGGCGGTGTTACTAGAGATGGGATTATCTTTGTCCATTCCAGGCTCGTGGATGGCCAGCCGTGCAAGAAAAGGATGGGGATAGCATCGCGTCGTCGGGAAATTTGGTGAATGAAATGGATATCCAGCGAGCGGTTATAAGCATCTCCTGGAGGCGAGACAGTAGTGATGTAATGAGAAAAATTGCTGTTAATCTCATTTTCAAACTTGCCAAAGTCGAATTCGCTCGCCCAATACTTCGCGATGCTCGTGAGGTTCGATCCTGGTGCACCATCGGACCAGACCGGCACGTCGATGTTGGCAGTTGGGCGGAAATCAGATGCCCTTAAGCGGATATCTTCAACTATTGCCTTATCGAAGCTGACCAGGTAGGGCCGCGGCTGATTTGGTAGCTTCGCGCCTTGTACGATCGGTAGAACTTCATTGATTGTCAGCAGAGCTGCGACCGCGGTACAGATACGTGTCAGAGTAGGCATTATGTCGCAATTAGGATGAAGAATGAAGCATGTCGAGGTGGAGTGTGAGTGAGTGGATGAATTTGCCGAGCAGGGTACAGCTCTTTTATACTTCATATCCTTCCACCATAGACGCTGGATTCCAGGATCACCGAGCACGTCATGCGCTTGTCAACAACTCTTTCGGACGTTTTAGAAGATTTGTGCTTTGAAATCATGGCCTCAAAGCCCTACTTTGTGACTTTACACCACGATCCCACATGTGACAATAGTGAGATGCGTGGTAAGCAGCTGGAGCGACGGTCCCAGCAAAACCCGGATGCCAAGCGATAGCTGTCAGCACTGACGTTGGGCCGATACACAGCGAGCGATTCATCATTGTAAGCACTACGTGTCCTCCAATCTCTAGACTTCAGATGTTGCTTACACATAAGAAGGCAATTTCGTCCCCTCAAGATGGCAACTCAAGAGTCCACGGGTGTGCTCGAAAAGGAGTTGTTCTGATGACTCATCAAATCGCCCTTGGTTGTGATTAGTCAGCCTTCCCCCCGCCCGTTAAAGTTGTGACGATACACTGTCGCGGAGTAGGTGCGTCCTGAACGCCATCACTTAGTTCTCACTAATCATCGACAGCATCAAGAAGTCCAGAGCGGAACAGCGTTTGTTCCCGGGGAGCAGTTCAGAGCTCGCAAGGAACTCCCACACGTCGGCTTTGACACGTGCTTGACAAACGATAGATCTCTCGCGTGGCGCTGATGATCTACCTCGAATAGACATCTGAAGTTTCACCAACAACCACAGAAAAGTTATTTCTTTACTTAGGTATGCCCCTTATAAAACACACGCTTTGGAGTCTAGACGCGTCGCCCTGATTAGAAATCCTGGATGTGAACTTCTTTAACTTGCCGAGGCTCTCGCACGTCCGGAAATCCTTCAGCTCCGAGATCAAGCCATATCTACACGATCGCCTCATGGCGCACATCTCAAGCGAGAGGATACGCTCAACTTCAACATTCAATCTGTGGCAGGGTGAGAATTCGCGATAAGTCATAGTACGTGCTATAATGCAGCTTGAGCTCTGGTTTGTAACCTATGAGGCTGTTCTCGCTATGGCGATTCTACCAGCGATGGCTTGACGGCCTGCTCCAATGATCGTTGGTGGCACACCGACAGCTTTGGACGAACCTTCCCGCCAACTCCGTCACCTTGAATCGCTCTTCCCACAGAAATTGCCCACTGTTTTGATGACCGGACCAGAGTCGCCTTTCACGAATCCGGGTCTGCTACCATCTGATGCATGACATTCGTTCGATATGCAGGCGAAGACTGCAGTAATTCTTCGTGCGTTCCACGAGCTGTGCATTGACCATTCTCAATCATGAAAATCACGTCGGCCGAGCGAATCGTGTGCAGGCGGTGAGCTATGACAATGACGGTAGCTGTCTTCGCGACTATCTCGAGGCTCTGCTGAAGCAACTTTTCGGACTCGGCGTCGAGAGCTGAGCTAGGCTCGTCCAGGATCAATAGATCTGGCTGCCTGACTAATGCTCGAGCAATTGATAGGCGTTGCCTCTGTCCGCCCGAGAATTGATTACCGTTTGTTCCGCACAGGGTGTCGTACTTATCGGGCAAGTTCATGATCGTCTCGTGGATGCCAGCGAGCTTGCAGGCGTGCTCAATTTCATCTTGGTCGGCGACCTCATCTGGACGCGCTCCTAGTCCGATGTTGAAGGCAACAGTGCCCTCGAAGAGAGTATTCTCCTGCGGCACGATGGCAAACCTGTCGCGAAACGTGACATCCGCGCGATTTGTTAGGCATGTTCCGTCAATCCAAACACTACCCGTTTGAGGTCGATAAAGTCCAAGTACAAGCTGTATAATTGTTGACTTTCCAGCACCACTGGGTCCGACAAGGGCACAAAGCTGTCCCGGGCAGATAGTGATGTTCAAGCCATGCAGAACTTGAGAGTCCGGTCGGGCAGGGTATGCAAATTGAACGTCATGGAACCTCACTCCCGCGGGTCCGCTGACTCCCTTCGGAGTACCCTTTGACTCCGCTTTCGCTTCGATGTCCGAGTCAGAGCCTGAACCCGTCCGAATCAGAGCATCAGTTGCCTGACCTTCTCTCGCGATTGACATGATCCTGGCGATTCTCATTATGGCGGCCTTTGCACTGGTCAGCTCGGGGGCAAGGGCGAACATCTGAGCCCAGAGCAGCGCTCCAACAAGCAGAGAGAATACGACAATCAAGAATTGAACCTGTGTATAATTCCCGGTTGCGATCTGTTTCGATCCCCACCAATAGGCCAGAGCATTGATGCAATTGCCGAGAAAGTACATTGTGGCCTGCCAAAAGCTTGCCTGAAGCGTGACACGCAAGGTTTCTTTCCTCGGACCAGCCAGCGAGCGGCTGTAGGTTTGCATCGTCAATTGCTCGAGCGAAAATGTTGCGATAACATTGATATTTGTGACACTCTCGACGCCGATCTCCACGGAAGAAGAATATGCAGTCTCATGCTTCTCCTCGAATCGTCCAAGCACTCTGAGCTCCATCAATCCGGACCCGAGCAGCAGCGGCACTAGAGAAAGCGTTACCAACGCAATGCGCCATGCGATGATGTGCGTCATAATTATGGCAGCAAGCAGATTGAGCGTAATGCTGCAGATGGTCCCGATGACGGATCCGCTTAGTCCCGCCCATGCTTCGCAGTCTCTCGTGATGTACGATAGCAGTCCGGCTGGAGATGTACCTTTCTTCTGATGCCACGCAAGATCTTGGTCGAGCATCGAGTTGAAGAGAGTGGATCGAAGTGCGCGCACCGACTTGGAGGATACGAAACCGAATCCCGACCAACTTATAATACTGGCGAAGAATTCGATCAATGCCAAGATGAAAAACATTAAACCAAAGAATCTGCCGCTTGCTTCGATGCTTGGAACGGGGTTGCAGGGGCTCAGAGCTCCAACAGTGTTGCCGAAAATTACAGCTTCGCCAGAGAATGTCGCACCCACAATCACGGCACTCGCGAACGCAAGGGCAGTCATAAGTAAGTGCGGCCGGAGCACCGGCCAGAAGGTGCGTGCAAAGAGCTTTGCGAAGCTGCCAGGGAACTCATGGGTCCCATTGACCGAAGGCGGCTTCGATTGCGAAGGATCAACAACGGCGTCTTCACGGACTTGTAACTCCGCCTTCTTTTGTGCTCCCTCGGTCGAATTCATCTGTCGTTTCGGTGTGAGCACATCGTCCTGCCCCGGGGTGGTCGAGCTCATCGTTTGCAATCGGACGAGCTCTGCGTATCTTCCATTGTGACTAAGAAGCTCTGCATGGCTACCATGTTCCACAACTTTGCCAGCGTGCATGACGACGATCTTGTCAGCGTTCCGGATGGTCGAAAGACGATGGGCGATGGTCAACGTCGTTCGTCCACTTGACGCCAAAGCAATGGCATTCTGGATCTTGACCTCGCTCACCGAGTCCAAGGACGCTGTCGCTTCATCAAGGATGAGAACAGCGGGGTCCTTGACTAATGCTCGAGCAAGAGCCACTCTTTGCTTTTGTCCTCCGCTGATAGATTGTCCACCAGGACCGGCCAAGGTACCATAACCATGGTCCATGGCCGAAATGAAACTGTCTGCGTCTGCCATAATAGCTGCATCTCGTACAAGCTTGACAATCTCAGCAATCTCTTGACCGTGCGCCAGGGCCGCTGCCCCGATCTCCTTGCCCTCCCTCAATTCCTCTGCCAAGATACCTAATCCTGGGCCGAGAAGAGTTGGAAGAAGTGCATGATGCTCAGAATGTGACGAGCTGATCAAGCCATACGCAATGTTTTCGAGCAATGATCGATCCAACAATGCCGCATTTTGCGGCACCACACTGCTTGTACGTCGGACATCTTCTAGCCGTAAGTCACGGACATCATGCCCGTCCAAGTAGACAGTACCATCCATCGCATCGAACAGACGTAGCATGAGCCCCACAAGAGTCGACTTGCCACTTCCGGATAGGCCGACGATAGCTGTATGCTTGCGCGCTTCAACCGTAAGGCTGATACCATCGACGACCGTGACGTCGGGCCGAGCAGGATATCTAAATATTACATTTCTGAACTCGAAAGACCCTTTGAGAGGTCGATCAGAGAGCACTTGCGCCTGCTTAGAGTCTTGAATGAGAGACTCCCGAAGAAGCTCCTCCTGAAGTTTTCGGTAAGATGCGACAGCGCTGGCGAAAATGTGCAGAAAGGGTGCGACCTGACTCATTAGAAGTGTTGCTATATGGTTCGTCAGCAATCTGCCCTGTCACGATTTTCAGCTCCACGATGTACCTTCAATCAGGACAAAGACCACCGTAAACACAGAGCCCACATTCGCATCTGTACCAGGCTCATTGATACTGCTCGCAATTCGCACACTGCCCTGCCAGAAGGCAAGCGCATTTGCAGAATAGGCCACGAAATAAAGCACGCCCGCTTGAACACCCGTCGCAAAGGCTTTCCGAATACCCTGCGCCTCCGCGATCTCCAGGGCCTGAGCAAAACGCTTCTCGAGCCTAGCGTTGGCGCGAAAGGATTGCACCAGTACCATATTAGAGAGAGCTTCCAAAGCTATCGAGGCGGCGCTGGCACTCGCGTCGGACATGATACCTGCGTATTTTTCCACATAATGACTTCCGACGAAGCTCATGAGGAGAAATGCGGGCACAAGGGATAGGAGCTCGGCGGACAATTTGTAGTCCTTGATGAAGGCGACGATATATGCGGTGACGAAGAATGAAAGACTTGCGAGCACAATCCCGACTTTCTCGGATGTGCCCGAGCGGATGGTTTGGATGTCGCCATTGAGTCTCGCTGACACTTCCCCTGGAGGGAACTTGCTGAAGTATAATGGTTCTTGTTTGAGGAGGGATCGAAGGTATTGCTCACGTAGCCTTTGAGCAAGCCGTGCGCCTCCGAGGCTCCAGCAGCAGAGATGGCAGTAGATGAGGACGAATTGGGCGATCGCCAAGTAGAAGATTAATAGAATCTTCTGGTTGACGCTATCTTGGTATGAGGCGGGTATCGCATCGTCATGTTCACATGTCGCTTGATTGAAGTCATTCAGGAGCTGACCAAACACGATTCCAATCAGAGGGAAGGGGACTCCGGATGCAATCGCAGAGAGGATCCCAAGGACCAAGGTTGCGATATCACGTTTGGTGGCACCGCCTGCGACAAGAAGGCCACAGTAAGTGGTGATTGTCGTGAATAGCTTCATGCTGTCGACGCTCATGTAGCGTATCTTTTGAAAACTTGTAGATAATGATTATAGCAGACTCTATCTCATCAAACTTCGAACACACTCGTGACTCGTGCGTGACCGTCACGATTCGCCATACTGAAGTTCACTCTCCATCTCGCATAACGCATTCGCTCGCACTCATCTCGAACACGCTAGCCTCGTGAGGCTCGAACACTCCGTGCCACATGCAAAACACCTGCTATTCAATGTGTCATCAATGTCGCCAGGATGCAGAGACCCCCTGTAAACCAACACGATACCTTGACACACCCTCTACATCAGACCAGGCCCGCGGGCGTCCAGGGTCCTGCATTCATCCCACGCATCCTCCAGTCGCGTCGGATCAGATACTATATTTGCAAAAGACTCTACTCACGGCCGAGCGCCACGGAAATCGTCGAAAAACGTCGGTACGATGTTTACCCGAGAGTTCAACAGCGAGAATGGTCCCTCGCCGATCTCGGCACGAATCTAATCAGATCCGAAAAGTGATTAGTGTGTGGCGCACATGGCGCCGACTAGCGTGGGGATCAGATTATTTTCGATGGCATGCCGACATCGCAAAGCGCGATTTTTTATCAGATCCCCGAAAACGACCACGATAGGATAGTATAGTGTGTGTACGTGGGCCAGCTTCGCATGCTACAAGTTTCTCGCTTCGAAGATGCAGGGTCCCTTCAGGCTATGAATCACTCTGACAAACTAAGACATGACATTCGGGATAGTGTGGTGTCAAAGCTTAGAATCGATCCACTTGGGCTGACGCTTCTCGACGAACGCGCGAATGCCCTCCGCGAAATTGGGTCCGGCCATCAGACGGGGATACCAAAGTTTCGCGACCTCGTCCACTGAGTCTTCCACGCTGCCTCGTTCCCAGCTCAGCCGGACAGCGAGACGACCGACTATCAAAGCGTCCGGGCTGACAGCGCACATTTCCCTTGCCACCTGGATCGCGGCGGCCACGACGCTCTCGGAGCTGGGAACCACCCGCGTGATCAGACCCCAGCTTTCCAATGTGGAGGCAGGGACACTGCGTCCCGAGAGCACGAGGTCCATGGTGCGTTGCAGCCCTAGAGTCCTGGTAAGTCGTGGGATGGAGCCTGCGACTGCCACGATTCCACGTTTCGCTTCGGGCAAAGCGAAGATGGCGTGTTCGCTTGCAACGACGATGTCACAATTGGCAACCATCTCGAAACCGCCACCCATGGTGATTCCGTTGACGGCGGCGATGATGGGCTTCTTGCCGGAGCGGCGGGGGAGGCCCGCGAGACCTGGTGCTCGCATGGAGTTGGTGGTGCCAGCTTTGTTCATGGTGTTCCATTCTAGATCCGGCTTGTCAGGAAACTCAGCATCGGCCTCGTCGTGGTTCACATCTCACCGTCCAGGTCTGCTCCGACGCAGAACGCTCTACCGCTGCCTGTGATAATGCCCACTCTTAACGATTCATCGTTGTCGAATAGTTCCCAGACTGTTGCAATTTGATGGCTCGTAGATAGTTTGATGGCATTCAGCTTCTGTGGCCGCTTCAATGTAATTTGTATGATCCTATCGTCTGGGAATTCCACACAGAAGTCTTCGAAAACCTGGTTTTTGAGGATAGATGAAGCAGATTGCGACATGGTGATAGGCAATCGATTCGCCTGAGAAAATTGTAAGCGTCTACGCCACTGTGGAGATATTGTTTGCAAGAGTGAGCGACGGCGCAACTCGAATTATTGTAGTGAAAGTACCTGCGTGAGGACCTAGAACTCGTGAGTGAATCTAAAATGGTGGCTTGACTAGGCGTACACGTGTGGTCCATATCACCTTTCAGGTCATTCTTAGTCCTCATCCAAGAGTGATCACATCTCTCATCTAGAAACCAGCAACACTAAACAGTGCAATCGTGGCACAATGGCAACATTACTGCCCACCAGTACCTCGCTGCCCTTGATCAAGCTACCTCATCCTTACCTCACTGTATATCGAATCAACGAAGACTCCAACAAGTTCAGCTTGGACTTCCAGGATCAACCTTCGATTGGGCAAGCTCCAGCAGAAGCGCTTCATCACCAAGGTCTACGATGGCATGCGTTCACAACCAAAAGCGACAACGAACTACCACTTCCAAAGGACAACAGCGCATGGGCTCGAGCATGTCGAAGCCCTCAGACAACTTTTGAATGGGCAGAGGATACAGCGACACCTTCGCTCGCGCAAATATGGAATCTGTGCCACGCAATCTTCGTAGCACACCCTACCCATGAGAAGTTCAGGCTCGTACTGCAAGGTAGCGAGTCGAATCTCATTCGACATGAGCTTCTCTGCACAGGCCTAGCAATCGAGCATCCCAAGCCATGGCACACGGCTTCGGAGATCGTGACACCGTTCACGGAGGAGCTGCTCATCCTTCGAAGCGCGTTCTGGCAGGGCGCAGCATCACCATTCGGCCCTCGACCCATCTGGGTGATCGGCGTAAATACGGACGGTCCTCTCCGAAAGCCTCTGGCGGACTTCCCGCCTATGCCTCAAGAATATCAACTTACGATGAAGTTTCCGAGAGAAGCTGTTTATGCACGACATCCCGTCCGACGACCAAAGCCTCACCCCGGAAGCATTGTGTATAGCAGGTATATCCCAGAGGTAGAGGAGCATTTCTCACTTGAGGTGGTGGATTGGACCAACGCCGATCATCTCCGTCTCTTCAATCAATGGCAGAACGATCCTCGTGTCGCGAAAGGATGGAACGAGACCGGGACGTTGGAACAGCATCAAAGCTATCTGCGCAATCTGCATTTCGATCCACACGTTTTGTGCCTCTTTGGTCGGTTCGATGAGAAACGGTTTGCGTATTTCGAGCTGTACTGGGCGAAGGAAGACCACTATGGCGCGCACTATGCTGCAGGCGACTACGATCGAGGCCGACATTCGCTTGTGGGTGATGAAAGTCTGCGAGGTGCTCATCGGGTCAATGCCTGGTACTCTTCCTGCATTCATTACCTTTTCCTGGACGACCCAAGGATGGATAATGCGGTAGGCGAACCCAAGGCTACAGGCGGAACAATCCTCTCCTATGAGAACGCGCAAGGGTTGACAATCGGTTCCTATGTGGATCTGGGCCACAAAAGATCGGTTCATTCCATCTGCAGCCGGGAGAAATGGTTCCAGCTATGCCCATTGTTCTGGGATGGGCGGAAGAAGCCTCTTGAGTCGGCGGACAGAGCTGCTTGGAACGCGAAGCTCTAGACGAATGTCCCAACTGTTGATAGCCACAAATGGATACTTTAGTCCATCTTTTGTTCCGATCGTGAGGTGGACAGCAGGTATATTAAGATAAAATCCATCGGTTGTCATGGTCAAGGATGGTAGGATGATCCCTCAAGAAGTCGACAACTGCTGGCGGCGGCTGCGCCTCGAGTACCTTAGGGTTACCTTTCACAATTTCGTGGTCGCATGCCGTCAAAGATGGCTCAACAACGATCCGTTCACGGAGAGATAGTTTGTGTATCGTCAGCAGCGTCGCGAATGGGTGCAGCTCCGTCTCCCATATGTTCATGTCGATTCCGCGCGTGTTTTGGGCGCACCCCACCGCCTCGTGAGAGGTGTGGCAGCCGGTATCGCTTGCCGCCGAAAAAGGCATAAAGTTACATCCTGTACGCGTCGTCCTTGCCACGCTCTTCGATGCTTAAGAACTTCGACTTTCCCTGAATTACCCAGATAAACTTGGTAGCTGCCCACCGAAATTATGACATTCACGGGTGCAGTCTTATCATCACGAATCATGTCACCACGCGGCTGGGCCAAAGGATTTGCCGGTGTCTTGCATCAGTATGTACGTGTATCGCTTATGTCCACCGCGTCAGCAAGACACTGGCGATCCTAACATTACTATTAGTCCGAAGGTCTAGTAGCATTCGAGTTCACGACCGGCGCCGTTCCTAAGCCAAACACGCTCATATTCGTCGGAGGACTCGGGGATGGGCTCGGTAGTACTGCGTACATTCCAGATCTGGCCAAATCGCTAGAGAAGAGTTCGTGGTCCCTCCTCCAACCTATTCTTTCGTCCTCATATACGGGCTGGGGCGTGGAAAGTTTAGGCCAAGACGTTACCGAGATCGCGGAATGCATTCGATACATAAAATCACACAAAGAAAATGGGAAAATCGCGATCATGGGCCATAGCACCGGAAGCCAAGATGTCCTACATTATCTTTACTCGTCAGCAGACAGCGCCGATGATGCCGGCCAAACCTCTGTCCGCCCTGTTGTCGAGGGTGCAATTTTACAAGCGGCGGTCTCAGATCGAGAAGCCATGCGGAATGTTCTCGAGGAAGGCTCAAGCCGCCAAAAACCCGAAGAAGCACAGAGAACCTTTGCGACCCTCCTTGATCTCGCACGGAAATCGGCCTCGGACAAATCTGACTTCGATGTCCTTCTTCCCTTGAAACACACGGCAGCGCTTGGATACGGTAACGAGACGGCTGTTAGCGGGCGCAGGTTCCTCAGTCTCATTAGCCCTGACAGTCCCTCTACGCCTGCCGAGGATGACTTGTTCAGTTCCGATCTGGAATTCGACAAGACTTTTGGCACGGTCAAAAGCAATGGTCTCCTACGCGGTACCTTGCTCGTCCTTCTCTCAGGCGAAGATGGGTCGTATCCAGAGGATGTCGACAAAGAAGCTCTTCTGCGGAAGTGGAAGCACGCCGCTAATTGCGGTGACAAGCATCGTATATGGAACGATGAGTTCAGTGGTGTAATCCCTGGAGCATCTCACGGCCTCAGCGGAAGAGACGAAGAGCTGCCTCGGCAAGACCTCACGAGACGAATCGCAGGATATTTAGCGACACTGTAAGAGCAAAATCAATTTGCGTATGACGAGACCTAGATCACAACAAAACAAAAACCCTATATGTTATTCTCCATCAGGTATTGGATTTTCACAAACAACAAATCCAACAGACCTTCAAGAACCATCTCTTCACGTTTCCATCCCACAAACCCTGCGTGCAGATGTCCGTCCTCGAAGAAGCTCACCACTTTAAGAGGGTTCGCCGCGTCACCTGCCGGCTTATGTAGGCTGAGCCCACAACTTCCGCCAGCAAACTCCATGGTATGAACGTCTTCTGCTTGCGGCTGATGGTGTACCACAGATTCGAAGCAGACCGACGCCTCCACGTCCGTCACCTCGGACCAAGTACTGCAATCTTTCGCTATCACGTGGAAGCCGAGATGATCGTGCTCTGCTGAAGTTGCTGTTTGTTCCTGCACTGCACTCAGCAATTCAGCAGCTGATGTGGTGCTGGTCGCCTTTACACGTAAGGGTGTTAATTGATACGATGGACCGATGGCTTGTGCTGCTGGCTCCGAACAGCCGCCTCGGCCGGACGTGACCATGCCGAATACGACGTCGGGAATTTTCAGACGGTCGCTGAGGACCAGGGCCCAAGCTGCGCTGATCATTGTTGCAGGTGTGACATGGTCTTGCGCCACACACTTTTCGACTCTGCGGTGGATGAAGGTTGTCTCCCCGTCATCCTTCAAGGTCAAGCCAAGTCCGCGAATCTCCGTCAAGGCGGAACCACGAAGAAGCTCGCGCCAGTAGATCTTCGCTTTGCCTTGTACCTCACTGTCTAGTGAGTACGCGATATATGTCGAAAAAGGGACGACTTCATCTCTTGCATTCTCGCCCTCTCGATAGAATTTCTCCAAGTCCTGCAGCAGCCTCGGAAGAGAGAAACCGTCGTAGAGTGCATGCGAGAGGCATACGATGAAGCTGCGCGCGCCATCGGTAGCGCTCACGTGGAACGCTCGAACGAAAGGTGAGCCCATTTTGAATGCAGCTTCGCCATCTTTATAGCAAATATCTTTAACGGAGACAGCAAGATCTCCTGTAGAAGTACTTTGCTCGATCGGGATTGTGGGATCGTTGAGGACGACTTGCAACAGTATGGACCCATGCTCCAGAAAAATCGTTCGGAGAATGTCATGCGTCTTGACAAGCTGGTTCCAAGCTTGGTTCAATCTATTCGCATCAATAATATCGGCCGGGAACGTTAAGACCGTGTACTGTATCGAAGTTCGACTTCCATTGCTGGAATGCACGACATCCAGCCTCTGCGCCGAGGTGGCAGGATACACGTCCTGTATCTCCTCAGCAGCGCATCCCAACTTCTTCGCCATGAGCTCTCGACAGAACTCCGGCGATCCAAGCGACGAGATCAGGCAGCAAGCTGCATAGCCAACCTTCGAATTTAACATCGCATCTTCCCTCTTCTCGTCAACTTTCATCGCCTTGGCCGCGCGACGCAAGCGCATATATCGAAAGACATCACCAACCGAAAGAATAAATCCCGAACTTCGGAGCCCCTGGACGAGTTTCATCGCGAGGACAGAGTCTCCACCGAGCCGGAAGAAATTGTCATCGAGGTCGATCTTCTCGGCAGAAATGCAGAGGAGCTTTGCCCAGGCCTGGCGCAGTACATCTTCCTTTTCCGTCAGTTGTGACGATGTGCTGGTCCGTGTCACGAGCGCCTGCTCGTATCCTTCTCGCAGCGCGGCGAGTAAATCCTTGGGGATCGAGGACGCGATTTGGCCGATTGCGCTTCGTGACGAATGTCGAATGGAAGCTGACTGTTCGTTGATGGGAATCCATGCTGTGGGAATCATGTAGGAGGGAAAGCTCTGCCTTGCAAAGCGGATGAAGGCGGAGAGACCTTCGATCACTGTTGCAGGGACTTTGTCGGACACGATGACTTCGAAGCCATCCTTGTTCTGGCCTTGCACAATGGAGGTGCTGTTGAGGAGCTTAATTTCGGGCTTGTCTGATGAAGCGCACTCGACGAGCCCGATGATCTCTTCTTCTTGATTTTGTGCATCGAGAGACCCATTTCGGACAACGGCAAGCATCGCAATGCCGCTGGCACCGAGATATTTGTTGATCTGCAACTCAAGCTCCGTCATATCAACGAGATGTCCTTGCACAACTTGCAGATCCTCCTTCCGTCTGACGAATATAATCTCTCCACTTGCTCGAAGTGTAACGAGATCTCCCGTGTTATGAATTGTCCCCGATCTCCCCTTTGTCGCGGAGGAGCCCCCCAAAAGCCAGACTGGGTCAATAATACCTTCGCCTGGCAGCGAGTCACCTTCCAGCCAAAGCTCTCCGATACAATCAAATGGCGCCAGGACATGCGAATTACATGCATCGCAGACCCATGGTACTGCTACAGCCGGGTATGAAGAGGTCGCCGCGATGGTTTTTTCGGCACGCAGTCTGCCAGATATTGAGTCAAGGCGCAGCGGCGAGGACAATCGCTGATTCCAGATCTCATCGAGCTCAGCTGCGGACAAAGTAGCGATGTTCGATAGCACTGAGTTGGGATTCGCGACGAATGCGAGACATACAGCCTCAAGTTGCCCAAGCATCCTCTGCATGCGCTCGCCTTTGATGACATTGCTATCAAAGCTGGCGCGGGCGACAAAGCCCGTTTCGTTCAAACCAATTGCAATCATCAGAGCATATGGGTTGAAATTTAGAGCTTCTTCGGCCGGATCCTTCGCCTCAAAACCAAGGGCAATCGTCGAGCCGGGACTTTCTGGTTGGATGATGAGGCCGGTCCCCGTCTCACATGCTCGTTGCGCATATTCGCTGACTTTGCGGATATTCTGCATGCCCAAATGCTGGTGTGCTGACCTATCTGCTGTAGAAGCTTGAATTTTCCGGAGAAGCACCTCCACAGAATCGGACATGTTGAGGCGAATGCGAATCGGGACTGTCGCGATCATTGGACCGAGTATTTCATCTGCACCAGGGAGGGAGATGTCGCGGCCGATCAACGTTTCTCCGAATACGATATCGTTTGAGTCAATGTGTTTCGATGCTACCAAGGCCCATGCGCCGCGAATGAGGCTTGCCATGGTGTACTTGCATCCTTTCGGAAGCTCAATCCGAACGTGGTGCTGGGCTCTACTATCTGCCGCCGGTGTATAATCTCGGAAGGGTAGCTCGGGAAATTGTGGACCGTCGGCGCCATGGAGCTCTGCGCGCCAATAATCCGCTGCGGTCTTTCCGTTGATACCATTGAGGTGGTGCACGAAATCTTTCATCGACGCACGGTGGGTGAGCGCGTGGCCATCCAAAACTTTGGCTACCGAGTCGAGGATCAACGGCTCGCTGAAACCATCGTACGCCACGTGGTGGATAGTCCATACGATACATCGTGCACCGTCATTTTCCTGAATAATCGCGTATCGAGCTAGACGCCTTCCAAGACCCATGATGTCCAGCTTATCCTCCTCGAGATATCGCGCAAGATTGGTGGACTCTTTCCACACAATTTCATCGTCAAGCAAGACCTGTTGAAGGCCACCCTCTAGCACCTGACAAACTCGTGTACGGAGGATAGGCGTTGCTGCAACAACAGTCGACCAGGCAGCTTTGAAAGTCGCAAGGTCCATGTCCGCCGCGATCTTCGCCACTCGCTGGGCGATATATGGAACGTCTGATTTGACCGAGAATGTGAAGAGTGATTCCTGAGTCGGCGTGCAAGGGTAAACATCGATGACACTGCTGATCTGCACGCCACAAAGCGACGCCGCTGTTGCTCGGACTTTTTCCACAACTCCGGGGATCATCGAAAAGGGTGGGATGTCTTGAGGCTTATCCTTGGCCTGTGCGTTCACACTGGCACAGAGATCTGCCAATACTGGATATCGGAACATATCGGCGACGCTTATTCTCACACCTCCTGATCTGCTTGTGGCGACTGCTTTCATTGCTTGGACCGAGTCACCTCCGAGAGCGAAGAAGTTCGAGTCTCTGCAAATTGCCTCTTCATTGATTTGCAGGAGATCAGCCCATATTCGCCGAATTACCCATTCAGCTGGATTCTCATGTGAATCGGGTTCCAAATCATCATTCTTGTCCAGGGCTCGAAGATCGATGCTGGTGCCGAAAGCTTTCAAAGATCTTCTGTCAATCTTCCCGGAGATCAACGTTGGGATTCTGTTCACGCATACAAAGGTGTTTGGCACCATGTACCTCGGCAGAACCTTTGCAAGCTCCTCGTTGATCTTCGCCAACACAGATTGCAGCGACTCCCTCGGCTTGACGATTTCGAGAGGCACCAGGTCGACAGCCTCACGCGACATGTGCGCCACAAAGGCTACCAGGAAGGCAGGTGCCTCAGTCGGCGAGATAACCTCGACCACAACTCTGGTGTCGGATGGCAACCTCTCGAGAATTTGGCATTCGATCTCGCCGAGCTCCACTCGCTGCCCGCGGAGCTTGACCTGCTGTGCGTCCTTGCGGCCTGCGAAGATGACCTCGCCGTTGCCCGATGGATCGTAGCGTCCCAAGTCGCCCGTCTTGTACATTCGACCGCGTCTGCCCGGGTGTGATCCATAGCCGGCGATCAGCCAGTGTGGGTCTTCTATAAAGGCGGTTTGAGTTTTCTCCAGGTCGTTGAGATACCCTTGTCCGACGATCGGTCCTTCAACAAGGATCTCGCCGCTGGCTCCGGGACAGAGCAATAGATTGGGATCTTCGGGATCTACAATCCAAATGCAGGCACCATTACCCGCTCCCATGGAGACATAATTCCGTCCAGATGCAGCAGAGGCATTGATCGTACATCCAATCGTCGTCTCACAAGGACCATAGCCAATGACGATCCGGGTCAACTTGCCCCAACGCGCCACATCCCGTGCAGAGACCGCTTCTCCTCCTAATCCGAGGGCATCTAGCGAGGCGATGAGGTTTTCATCCAGCACGCGAGCTACGGTCGGCGTGAGACCTGCGTAGTTGACGCGCATCTCACGAATGACTTTGTTGATGTCATTCATGCGATCCTCGTCAGAGGGAATGCAGAGCGTTCCGCCACGCATAAAGGTCAGGAACATGCTGTCGATTGATACATCAAAGGCGTATGATGCGAAGTCCAGGACTCGCGATGTAGATGTATAGCCGACGGCTTGTGACCGAGGGAATGCGCTGCTTGTGTAGCTTTCGTGGCTGATTTTGACGCCCTTTGGTGTACCTGTATTGAGCGTCAGTGCATGATCTTCAGCTGACAAAGTTCAAGGGTGACATACCGGTGCTTCCAGAAGTGAAGATAATGTACATCAAGGTTTTGGGATCAACCTTGGCCAATGTGGTTGGAGTATCGGTTTGCTTTTCGGTCGCAAATTTGTTTGAATCGATTACCAATGGAGCTGAAATTGTCATCTCAGGCACTGTCAACGAGTTCGAAACATCAAGTTGACTTTGAGATGTCAGGACAGCTTTCGCCTTTACTTGTGCGACCATATTCTGCAGCCGGGCAAGCGGCAAAGCAGGATCCATCATCACAAACGTCGCTCCAGCTTTCATCACTCCTAGCGTTGCGACCGCCGCCCACTTCGATTTCTCGAAATAGACTGCGATGAAATCGTGTGGTTGAATACCTTTTTGCTGAAGGTTGACTGCTACAGAAGTAGAATAGTCGTCTAGTTCGGCATATGTGAGATCGCCATCCCATGAAGCAATCGCGCCTTTGGAAGGATCCTGACGAGCGCGATCTGCGATCTCCTCATGGATACACATCGAGTATGTCTGAGGCACATTGCGATTCCACTTCCATATTTGAGATAATTCTGTGGTTGTAGGCTGCAAGTAGTCTTTTATTGTGAGAGTGGGATGTAGAATGATGAGATGCAGAAGTTCTTGGAAGACTATCAAGAGGCGGTCAATAGAGTGAAGGCGATCTTCTCTGGTAATGCCAGTGTAAACTAAACGCGTGCCATTCCAACATGATGTCACGCAGAAAGTAATTTCGTCCTATGGTGATGTCAGGTGATGACTCAGTCCATTTCTAGCAAGAGTAATTACCTCGACATCGGTTGAATTGAATAGCTGAGCTAGGACGCTCGTCGTCAAGTATATCCTCGCATCCCGAGGACATGTGATGGCTTTCTCGATGTTTGATGTGCTGGAGTCAAGGCCTTTTGCAAAGGCTTCGTCGATCGTCGTCTGTATGCCTACTGAATCGATGTCGAGGATGACAGTAGTCCTGGACACGATCTGATCGGCTTCATCACGAAAGGTCCACGCGATTTCAGATTTTTCCGACTTGCATAGCCTCAGGTTGAGAAGGAACCATGCCTGGAGAATGATCTTGATGTCTGTTTGTGAGGTTGACATATTGAATTGTGGTATGGTTCTAGAGTAGCATTACCAGAGCATCGATATGATGGATTAATAACAAGGCGGCATGGAGGGATTGCTTATAATGAAAGCAGATCGAGCGAAGTAATCATGCAATCCAACGACCTACTATTATCGCTAACCATTGTGCACAACGGTCGTGCAAACATAATGCCTTCTACATTCACCTGTGACGCCGTGGGAGGTCACGTCGAACCCTAAGCGTAGTGGATCATGTTCGGACAGACATCTCAAACGAGCGCCTATCAATGCACTCAGACATTGGCCGCGATACTCGTCAATGCCTCGTGCGCCTAGTCGACCCAAACTAGACTGCTGTCACGAAGACATGCCCACGTAGACTGCGCGTTCAACCACAAGGTGGGCTCAAAGTGGGGGAGCACCGACATCGGCGAATAGTTGTCGTCCAGTTTCGCCCAAATGGCATTTCAAAATGGCGTGTCGAATCCCATACCAAATCTGCAGGGCTCAAGCCACAAAACCCGACGCGATGAGACCGCTCGCTTAGTGAATTCATCAATTTAGTGCTATACAACTAAGAGATCTTGAATGAGCCAGAACGCGAGGGCCATAGAATAGTTTAGCTCCACCAAACAAGGCTTAGATAGCGCTCACCACCAGATGTACGTATTACGTTGCAAACCGGTCCAGGACAGCATGGTAGCAGTAGAGGAACGTCTCGCTTGAGGGTCCATATGCGTAACAGCGGTACATGCGCCACGTGCATCCTGGTGGCAGCTTCTGCGTGGGATGAATCGACCTTTTCATGCATTATGTCCAGTACACTAGAAATCATCGCCGACATGGGACCGGCCCTTGAAAATTGAGTAGTGCTTACATCGATGTTTTGAAGTGCCGGAGCTGATTGTTCCAGACTGGAGACCAATTCGTTCGTCACAGACAAAGCAATACCTGCAGATTGAGCAGATCATCTGAGCTCCAAAAGACAGACAGCCGTTGTTCTATCTTCTAGTACGCTTCTCAGAGCACCCGCAACGCTCTCACATTCGTTCAATATGTCTCTCCCAACAGAGGGTTCCGAAAGGTCGTCTGCGAACTACGATATCATCTGCGTGGGCTTCTCAATCGAGGGACTCGCTCTAGCTGTGTCGCTCGCAGATCGCAAGACACAACACAAAATCCTCTTTATCGATCGCAATGCTGGATTCAAAGCCGGACTTGGCTTCCACAATACTGAGGATCATGCTGGATCGCTGTTCCTAAAGGATCTCATCACACTGCAAAACCCAAAATCAGAATTCACATTCATCAACTATCTTCATGAATCTCGGCTTCTTATCGGCTTCACGAACGTGTCGCAGATGAAGCCGTCTCGAGTTCTACTAGAAAACTATCTCCGATGGGCAGCCAAGAAAATACAAGCTCTTGGATGGGTCTCTTTTCAATCCGAGGCAATCACTGTGAACCCGATCCGATCGAACTCCACTAAGTCCTTCGACTCATGGGAGTTGAGGGTCCGTGATAACAGCACTGGCCGCATTGAGTTACTTCAAACACAGAAACTCATGGTAACTACGAGAGCACCGAAGTCAATATCAAGCATAATGCAAGGCGCGAGCTTGCGCGAAAATGTGCTTCTTATGCATCAATTCGAGAAATCTCAGAAGGCCATCGAGCAAACTCAGCGACCACTCAACATTGCTGTACTTGGATCAAGTCAGCAAGCTGTTGAATGCTTCCAAGAAATCGTCTCCGGGCAGGGAGATAATCGGGCTTGCATGATCTTTCCAGGCTCAGCCTTACGAGTCGAAGACAGTACTCCTTTGTAAGTCACACAATATACGATGATTCATCGCGCTGGCGATACCGCGCTGACTCATACCTCCAGTGTACAAGCCTTGATCGATGGAGATGGACTTCGCAACCCATACAAGAAGCTTCCACCTGAGATTCGCCAGCAAATGCTCGCAACGACAGTAGCTTCAGTTTTCCCGACAGTCAACCTCGAGACCCTCGAGAGTTTGTACGCGACTCTGTATCTACAGCACGTACGAAGCAATGATGCCTCGCAGCATCGCTTCATGCTTCATCCTTTCAGCCAAATCATCCGAGCATCGAAGACGGCCCAAGGCGTTCTTCTTCACAGCGTTGACGTCAGAACCGGCGAGGCGCAGACTCCGCTTGGACCTTTCGATTTCTTGCTCACCGAGGTCTATCGGGACGCTCGCCAAGGACCTAAAATTCTTGCGCCCATACGTCCGCTGCTCGAGAAGCAGACTTTGACCGTCGACTCTGAATACAATGTGAACTTCCATAGGAACACGTTCTCGTCGGGCTCCGGACTGTGGATGTTGGGCTCTCTTGCCTCCCAGAATATGCGCAGAGATGATCTCTCTATTCTTGCCGCTTCGGCTCACAGGGCGGTATCAAGTATCACGAGGAAATTCGAAGCATCAGATGCGAGCGAGGCTGAGACACAGTCTCGGTTGTGAGAAGCTCGCAGCCGGATTTGCAGAGTCATGCCATGCGCATTTGGAGTAGATAGCGGCTTGCCATTTGTTTGTGATGAGAGAAACGGCACAGCGAAACAATCGCAGTATTCTGGAGATCTTGGTGTCAACAATTTCGTCTCGTATCAATTGAGCAGTGTATTCATTCCTGCCATTAATTACGTATCTTGTGCCTTCATTTATTTAGTTGCGTGAGACCTGAGGCAACGTAGCCATTGTGATATCACCAAGATATATTCCAGAGCTAACAGAATGTTTTGCGCGTAACACAGCGAGCACATGGACATCGACATGAATAAGGACTACAACTTGGCTGAGCGCTGTTCAATAATCTTAGAAGCAAGATCGCGCAGCGCAAATTTCTTCACTTTGCCACTGCCCGTGATCGGGACCTCCTCCGGCACACCATCCTCACCCAGCCAGAAGATGAAGACAGGAACCTTGTGTCGGCCGAGAGTCTGTCTGATCCAGCTCTGGAGTGCATGTAGATTAGGCCGTTCAGCACCATGTCGACGCATCATAAATGCTGCGACTTGTTCTCCGTACCGGCTGTCAGGCACGCCGACTACAACCGCGCGATCGACAGCATCATGGGCGACCAAGCGTTCCTCAATTTCGAGCGGGTATATATTCTCACCACCTCGAATGATGATATCCTTGAAGCGTCCAGTGATGGTGCAGTAACCCTGAGCATCCATGACGGCTTCATCTCCGGTGTGTAGCCACAGTGTCCCATCATCATCCGCAATCATGCATTCCACAGTCTTCTCGGGATTATCCCAATAGCCATGCTGCAATTGATATCCGGCAATGCAAAGCTCGCCACGAACTCCGACGGGTACAATCCGACCATGACGATCAATGACTTTCGCAGAAGCGTGCGGCATGAGCATGCCAACCGTTGTCAGACGGCGGGCGATCGAGTCGGTGACGAAAGCATTGAAGCACGTTGGTGACGCCTCAGTGAGACCGTAGCTGCTGGTGAACTCATCCATGCCAAAGTCGTTGACAAGTAGTTCCATGAGATGGCGAGGTACAGGCGCACCTGCAATTATGCCGGTGCGAAGAGCGCTGCAGTCGAAATTCCGAGGACGTGGCAGGCTGAACAAAGTGTCGAACATGGCCGGGACGCCGTGGACAGCTGTACATCTCTCCTCTGTGATTGCGCGAAGCGTTGCGGGTCCATCGAAGATCTCGGCAGGATAGACAATCTTGGATCCGTGCGTAATGGTTGCGAGAAGGCCAAGGACGAGTCCGAAGCAATGGAACAGAGGCGGGGGACAGCAAAGTACATCGATCGGCGTGAGAGCCATGCGGTCTCCGATGAATCGAGCGTTATTCAACAGGCCATAATGATGAAGGGTAGAGACTTTTGGATGTCCGGTGGACCCGCTGGTCAATTGCAGATTACAGGGGTCGAAAGGACTGATTGACGCTTGAATGTTTTCTACGCCGTGACTCGGGAGTCCTTTTCCGATGCGAACTGCTGTCTGATAGTCTCCCAGACCATCAAGTCTTCCGGAAAGCAGAATGATGCGCTGCAGAGATGGGAGACTTTTGGATCCACGTGCGAAGGTTTGTACCATAGCCGTGTTGTCCGTTCGCCCTATTCGCGGAGTTGTGAAGAGAATTTTGCATTCTGCAAATGTGAGCTTCACCAAACAATCGATCATTCTAAACAGACTACACTCACCAGTATATGAGAGGGCATATTCGACTTCTTGTTTCGTGTACGTGTTGTTCAAAATCACCAGAATGGCGCCAATTCTCATACATGCAAAAAACACCGATGCATATTCGACACGATTTCCGGCAAGGATTCCAACTCTGTCGCCAGGCTTGATATCTTCGGACAAGATATAACGCGCGAGGTAGACGCTGTGTTCGCGGAGATCATTGTATGTCCATCTTGTTTGATTCCAGGGCGTAACGATGGCTTCACGATTGCCGAATTCGAGGCATTGAGTGTCTAGGAATGTCGCAAGGTTCTGGTCAATCAAGGGAGTGTCATTCGGCCCATGAAACAAAGAGTATGTGACGCTCTGCGTGTCAGCGTCGTTAGCGGGCCCGGTGATGGTCGACATCCTCGCTGTTCTAACACTTGACTCTAGCCGTAGCAAAGCTGTGCTGCTTCCAGTGTCATACGCTCATTATGACCATCGTCCACTCAGCCATGACAGAAGTCCGACGCCGGACACAACTCTGCAGTATCCGCCCGCGAACAAGGCAGCCATTTCATCGCCTCAGCAAAGCCTGCAGCTGTCGGTCAGGCGGCGAGCTCGCTTTCGCTACGCCGGTCTGAACCCTTGTCAGACTCTCGCGGCGCACCCAGCTGATACAAGGGTCTCCGAGATGGTGTGAGTAGGGGCCAGGCTGCGTGCAGGCAACGTGGAGCAGGGATCCGGACAAGGCGCCAAAAGTGGGAATCGAGGCTTGATCGTCTTGGAAACAACCCAGCTACCTCGCTTGGCTTCACGTGGGTTGAAGCAACATCATAACGACCAAGCAGGCTTCATACAGAAAGGAAGCTTTCCTTTGTGTAGCCCGGAGCAAGTTTTCGCCAACATAGCTAGCGAGTACGCTACCAGGTTGCTCGAACGCCACCAACAATGGTGTGACCAGGAAGGCACGAGATTATCTGATTGATAAACTCTAATTGGACCGCATGCCGCGCCACAGAGTCGAATCACCCCACGCGATGTCAAAAATCTCATCTTATCTGTCATCTAATCAGATAATAGCGCAATAAGCTCGGACGGATCTTACCTTGGGAGCTTGCAATCAGACGAAGGCGGAATGCTCCCGGATACTCTGTGGCATCATGTGTTCATACCATCCGGATCCTCCTCGCTTGTTTCGGGAATTCGGGTCAGGTGGTGTCATTCGAGAGAGGTCCGATATCGGTCAGAACTTCGCGCGCAGTAAGAACGTCACAATTCGAGATTGACGTGCGGGACTCGACCGAATCGCGTGCAAGTATAACACTTCCACAGAGAGCTGGTCACTCAGTAGTGATAACAATGATGGCATATCACTCAGCAGTGTTCATGATGACCGCAAATTACTCATTGGAAACATCGACCGCCTAGATAATCAAGACTCGCTCGAGGGCTATCGATCTCTTGGAACGTATCATTATTTTCGACACAGGCCTGTCTTGAACGTAGCAAACCTGATCATTCTCGGTCGATCGTCTACTGAGCAGAGCGCACTCTTGTCTGCGCGACTCGCGTACAGCAAATCGGTAGGGCGACGATACAGATAAGGGGAAATCCCATGCCTCGCGTCTTCACTTGTTGTGAAGAAATCCTTCAGACGATTGAAGTCCTTTCGTAATTGCTTGGTATATAGTCAGGTAGCACGCGAGATACTAAGGATGGGAAGTAATTACAGCACGCGTGAAAAAAATAAAACTTGCTGTGACCTTCACTCGTGTTGTCTAGAACAAGACACCCTTATTCTGCACTTCTTTGGTGAGCTTGATGTCCCTGATTACAGCAACCCAGATTATCGCCAGCGCCATGATTGCGGTACCAGCAATCAGCATTCGTTCCTGTGCATAGGCGTAAGCGGCACTGATGGCATCGCGCTCGGGGGATCCAAGGTCGTAGCTGAGCTGCACTTCGAGATTTTCGTAGATGACTGCCCAATCTGCATTGACGGACTCCGGTAGGAGGCGTTGAAGAGCGTCAGGCAGAGTATGGGTCCAAATGGCTCCGGAGATACTGCTACCGATCGCACGACCGATGTTTCCGAAAACACCGAGGAATGCAAGGACTGCTGCGACGTTGTTGTGATCGGCTGATGCAGTGACGGCGACTTGCATGACGATAATCATCACGCCTCCTGCAAAGGCAAGGAAGATCTGGCACATGATGTTGTAACCGACAGATACCGATGGGTTGCGGAAGTAGATCATGAGTCCTTCTCCAAGCAGGTAGAGCGGGACTGCAAAATACAGGAGCCACCGGAAGCGGCCGGTCTTGCGGATGAGAATGCCGACGACGAAAAGCCAGACGCCTGAGACCGCATCGAAGATGCTATTGATGTAACCGGCGGTAGTGATGCTGACGCCGTAGACAACTTGCAAGTAGCTGGTGTAGTAGCCGTTCCAGCAGTAGTACGCTATCTGGTAGGTAACGCTGAGCAAGCAGGTACCCAGAACCGTGCGCGAGGTCAAAACCTTCCAGTCCAGGAACGGCACTTTTGCCACATATCGTTCGACCAAGAAGAAGACGCCCAGTGCTACGAAACCAAGAACAAGCATGGCAATGATGTAGCTCTCACGCCAGCCATCTGCGGCGGCTCCGGCGATGGTGAATGGAAGCAAAGACAAGACGAGACCCGCTGCAAGCAGGAATGTGCCCAGAACTATACTGCGGTTAGTGGGATCTTCATCTGTTGCACAAAGTGGATCTTACCATCAAACTCGACAACGTAGTGCTGGACGCTTTGTACGAACGACCGCCCACTTGTCTCCTTCTTGGGCAAGATTCCAGCCTTTGCCGCCAAGTTGCGGTTATATCTCAGGAGTAGAAACATCGGCAATGCAACGGCAGGCAGGATGATGCAGAAAGCGCCATATCCCCATCGCCAATTAAGATCGTAGAAGCCCTGCGACATGTTCGGTCCGGCGAAGGTCGAGATGATGTATGGTGAGCTGGTGAAAGCATATGCCAGGCCTCGATCGCGAAGAGACGACGTATCGGCGGTGATGACGTCGATGCTGAAGATCATGCCCGTGAAACCAATGCTGTAGAAGACTTGCGCAGCGCAATAGGTCTCGATATTGGTGCATACCGCACTCAAGATCAAGCCGAGCGTTGCGAGAGCGACCATGGCGATGAATCCGATCGAACGGTCGAACAGGTTCAGGACTTTTGCCAAAGGCATGTAAGTCGCAGCGCCCATGACACTGGAGACGACGGCGATGACAGGAATCAAGGAGTGCGCGGCGAAGTCGCTGGTGATGTACGCCGACAGATTGCTGGTGATGGAGGCTTGGAATGCGTTAACAAGATACAACAACCACATGCTACATCATTTGGTTAGTTCCAGGCGCTCACATATCAATCGTCAGGAGGACTCACAGTGTGTATGCTGCGCCTAAAGACTTCTTTGTCCATGTCAAGGTGATGGCTTCAGCCTGTTGGACACCTCGTTGAGCCTCTTCGTTCGGAAGCACAGCAGATTCTGCCTCGCGAACGACAGACTCTGGTACTTTCTCGTTGGTCAATGTCTCAGCAGTGACCGGGACATCGTTGCTATCGGTGTTCGACTTCGGATCGGAGTTCGAACTCCGTCGAGTTTGCGTACGCCAGGTTGGCATATTGGTCGTGCAGAGAAAAAGTGAAGAATGATCGAGGCGACTATGGCAGCTCTCGCCAGCTCAATAATGCACACATTGCTTCCCATATAAAGCGTAATGATATGGACATGAGTTTGCGCAGGGTCTGAAAGTGGCGTCGGTCGAGGCACTCGCATTTCGACTGTGCCGTCCTTCCATCCCACGGACGACATGCCGACAAAAGGTCATAGCCATGCCGGTGGGTCGTGTTCCGAGCTAGGGCCGAACAATGCGTTGGGAAACTTGTGGGGATTTCCATGCACGCTTCCACGCACGCCCCAATCCGATACCGGCAAGGATCGGAGTCGACTTGGGATAACCCACGACAACCATCACACATCTTATCAGATGATCTTTTCTACCACGCTAGACTCATGTGCCCTGCGACGCACACGGGAGAGCATTAACCAAATTCGAGGCGCTCATCGTCTCATGATCCCACATGGGGATTAAACGAGCCTTCGAATGTGTAGGATGCCGGAACGCCCGGAATGCCGCGATGCTGCGCGCGGTCTGCTTGGTGCCCTCGACGCGATATTTCCTCGTTGACTGACGCCATGCCTCTTCTCGGATCAGAGCCTTGCCAGACCACTCGGGTTTCGTACGCAACAGTCGGCTAAGACAATTCTGGGCCACCCGTATGGTCTGCACCAATTTCATTCAGCGCTCTGCAGACGTCAACACATTTGCGAACTGCGAACAAAAAATCGTAATACCGATTTGAGGCATGCACACAAGACCGCTTGCGGAGTATTTCAAGTCCATCTGGCAACAGGGTTCGATCATTCGTCGAACTGGGCGCGCGCAGTATGGCTATCATGAGATCGTGAATATATGATATTGAGACTTGAGTGGGCCATGGCGAGCATCATTTCGGTTCTGATCATGCCTTCCGAACTCATTGATGCTTGAGATGTCGATCCATGAAACTATGGATAAACCTGTGGATCCATGAATCCATGGATGGTTCTGATATTAGGGTCACATAACCCCAACCCTAGGCTATCACCAACACAGCTTTGTCAAGATCAACAAATAATCACAGCACACATGTATTATGCGTTTTCTTGAACGATAACCATAAATACACGCATCTATCACGCAAAATCTACTTTGGACATAAACAGCACGACGCAATTCAGTGGTTCGTCGAACAAGAGCCGGACCTGTCGCCAATCAATGTCGGAGAACGTAGCGCCCTTGCAATCCGTTCAATATCGCGCCGGCCTGAGGACTCCCACACGACGAGTCGTACGGTACCGCCTTTTTATCAGCCAACAAGGGGTTGTTGAAACTTCCAAACAACTAATATCAGCCTTATCTCGACTGTTTTCGCGTAGCCTACAAGCGCTTCGGTGTTGCTATCATGAATGATTCATCATCGTCCTGTTCATTCTGTCTCAACCTTCGAGAGAGTCGTCAGCTCAGCGAGGACCTGACACACGAAGCCTGGGCTCGAGGACTGATTTCCAATACGTGCACAACGTGCCAGATCCTGGTAAAATGCATCAACATATTCAAACCTGATATGCTCGAAGGATCTTCTCTCGATCCGGAATGTGGAGTCTCTCTTAGTATCAAGGGTGACGGCGAAATTTGGGTTGAAAAGATGCCTTTTAAAACGAGCGATTTGGGCGATTCCATAAGTTTTCATGTGAATCCAGTCAACGGTGCGGCCATCCATTTCATTAGAAGTCATGTTACGATGACTTGAACAGACTAGGCTTCAAAACACAAGATATCACCTCATCCTTTCCTACCTTTCCCTGACATAGCATTCACTGACAGACTGTGGCAGAGAATGCCAAGTCAATCATTCACATAGGAAGAAATATGCGACCTATCGAACCAGAGCCAGGCATGAAGTCCGGATTCGACATGCTCCGCTCCTGCCTCGAGACGTGTTTACGGGATCATGTCACATGTGCTGAGGAGCAAGATCTCGACTTCCATCCTGCCCGACTTGTTCATATAGATCCCTCAGACCCTAGCGGCCAGACTGTGCGGCTAGTCGCTACCAAGGACCACCGACCGACGACCAGATACATTTGCTTATCGTATTGTTGGGGAGAGGATCCACAGCTTCTCACCAAATTGGCCAACCTAGATCAACATTCCAAGCAGATTCCTTGGAGAGGTCTTCCGAGATGCCAGCAAGATTGTATCACAGTAGCGCGAGAATTTAGGGTCGAATATGTTTGGATTGATGCTCTCTGCATCGTGCAGGATGACCGCACAGACTGGGGGAATCACTCCCAGCGAATGCACGTCATTTACAGAAATGCTCTCTTCACGGTAGCTGTTGTTGCTTCGAGTACAAGTTCCCAGCCTTTTCTTGGTCCGGACACTCCACATTATCGTGCGGAATACGCGATACATAACATCGAAACCTCAACAGGGTCATCTGGGAATCTCCAGATCCAGGCTCGACATGCCAGCGCCGCGAATGATCTTGGCCCCGACGTAGAAACACCTCTGTGGTCAAGGGCGTGGACATGGCAGGAGCAAGTGTTTTCCCGACGGATCTTGTATTATCTCGACCACAAGACAATGTGGAAATGTTACATGTCCGTGAACTCCGAAGCGGGAGAGGAACATCCCGATGACTCTTGGTTTACGAATGATCTGTTCTTCGGGCGGCCGAACAGCGAAAAAGATTGGTATCTGATCGTGGAAACCTACAGTGGTTTTCGAGGCCTGACGTATAGCACGGACCGTCTTCCTGCTTTGTCTGGCATGGCTTCGCACTTCGCCGAGATCTGCGGAGGTAGATACATGGCAGGGCTGTGGGCAGAGGGCATGCCTATTGGCTTGGCTTGGGCTAGTATAGTGGGAGTCTCCCCAGGTATTGTTGGACCTCCACAGCTTAGTAATGGTATACCATCATGGTCCTGGGCATCGGTTGGCGAACACGTTGAATGGAAGGTACGTCAATACATCGATAGAACTCGATGACCAGATGTAGCGCGACTAAACTTCAATCTAGACATTCTGGCCCGTTGACAACAAGGCCACGCGCGCAAAGATAGCCACTGCTAGTCTTTCAGACACCGATGACTCGGATATTGTTCTGGAAAATCGCGCCGAGCTTATAGACTTCGATTGCATGCCATCCTCCAGCAATTTGTACGGAGAAGTTCGACAGGGTAGCTCGGTGACATTGAGAAGCCAGACAACTCCTGCACGGATGCTGGTCGATGTAAATGGCAATTCAGTTATCGAACGTGAAGGCTGTATTCCCCAGAAGGTGTATCCGGATTGCCGCATCCTCGGATACGATACGGTGGGCAGAGCACCGCGAACAAAACTTTTACACGACCAACAAACGCTGAGAAGGGCGACCGAGGATGATTTTCCTAAGAACGAAAGCGAAAAGGATTCCGATGATCCTGAGACCCAAGAACCCTGCGAAGGCGAAGTCTTGTGTTTACTTCTTTACACTAACAACAAGTCAGGCAACGATATGTCGATGTCATTGATCCTTGCACCACATCCAAAATACGCTCCTGCGTATCAAAGATTGGGAATCTCATATGGATGCTTGAAGCAGACCAACAACCTCAAGACCGACGCCAATAGCGACGCCGATAGTGTTGACGAGGGCGAAAAGTATGCCGACTGGAGACAATGGTACGCGGGCGGCGAGATCCGAGATGTCCGTATCGCATAGGGTGGCAAAATTTACGAGGCGATCACTCCTGCTACTGCGTCAGCGGATTCTCTCGGCACCGCTCTACCTTGGAAATGACTCGCTGAACCCAAGGCAATCATAAATTCGACGACCATATCAAAGAGCGAAAATCAAAAATCAAAAAGCGATACGATGTAACATCCAACAAGATGGCTGTTCAACCACACCTTACGCTAAAGTCATAAGCAGACCAAGAGTCGATAGCATCCGTCGCGAGTAATGCAACAGTCCACATTAATTTTTCATCACAATCAGGAAATAGACGAGAAGAAGTACGCAACAACCAAGAAGGATATCACACCGCCGGCAGGAAAGCCAGCCCACGCTCCTTTATGCGACGATAAAGTCTCTCGAGCAAGTCGTGACGAACAAGCATCGTCGATACATCAGAGCCCAGGAACTCGCGAAAAAGAAATTGAGGCACGCGACAAAACGTAGACTCCAGGGCCCAAGGCGTGATTTCACGCCGAGTAGATTGCACAGCCCGCGAAGCAAGCAAAATAACAAGCCCGTCGCCAAGTCGTAGCAGATTCTCTCGTCGAGAATCTAAACTTTTCCTCGCAGACTATAGTACGCCTTGCACGACTTCCATCTAGCCCTCCATACATTGAAAAATGTAACAAATTACAACCATTTGTATCAACATGCACAACCACCTCTCTTGTGGCCCCAAGACCACACGCGCGTCACATCCTAACCAGCCCAACCAAAGGGCAACAAGACATAATGGAGTTATGAACAGCGATCTAGAGAGATCATGAAAATCTTTTTAGAGGGATAATTCAGATGTAAGCTGGGACTATGATATGATCTGGCCTGTAGATGGATCTGGAAGTAAAGGTGCGCATCTCGGAAAGCTTACCGGGAAGGAGAACTTGCTCAGGCAGCGGTCGTTGTGCCTCGGGCTATTATGGATCCGTATCGAGATTGTATCAGTTCCAAGGCTCTCATCGATCGCTTGTCGGTTGCAGGTTTGTGCATTTGCATTTGCACTGGACTCCGAGTGTGTGAATGTCCATGGATATCTACAAGTAGGCTGAAGTCTGAGGGATGAACGGAAGTGCCGCCCGGGCTCGGCTTCACGTGTCGAAATTTGTTGCGACCAGCCCTGATGGAACAATTCCGCTCATGTCAGGCTGAAACGCCTGCACGCCCGGCGATTCGAACGCGTTGATCATCGCGCCGCACCTTATTAATGCTGGATATTGACGTGTGCGCCAGTCATTATAGATCTTCGCCGGCACAATACAGGTGACATGGGTGTTACAAAAATTCTAAGGGTGTCCGTTGACATCGCGACTTTCCGTAAGCGAAACGCGCCACGGCTCAATCATTCGTTCAATACCATGAGCTGACAAGCTATCCAAAATAGTCTCTCTCCTCATATACGTCAGCATCGTCGGAATCTTCAGCCGCCCGAAAGGCTTCACGTGGTTCCGCAACACGGCATACGCAGCCGTGAGGATCCTGACCGCACGACAAGCGATTCTTGATCTGCGAAAGTAAGGAGACCGATGTCGAACGCACGCTGCTGCAAGCCACACCTCAGCCGCTAACAAAAGTACTTCCGAAACACATAGAAGGCAGACCTCCGTCGACTCGTACAAGACTTATACTTCGAAGCGCGGCTTGCCGCAGGAGATCACGCCGCTGGGGAATGACGCACATTTGCTGTGGATTGGACCGCCTGACGCCGAACATGTCCTATATCATTTTCACGGTCAGTTCCCCTCCACGACGGCGTTGATCGCGTACTGCCCGACTATAGCTTCCCGAATACTCGAGTTGATGATATTTAGGTGGTGGCTATCTCACCCATGCTGGATTGCCGCATTACCTCATGCTCCATGACTTGATCATTCATGCCAAGGAGCGAGGGAAATCCCTGAGGGTTGCGATGCTTCATTATGGTAACTCCTCCTCGAATCTTGTTGGCTGAGGCGTACGGCAATTCTGACTGTGGTGGTCAGGCCTTTGTCCTGAAACATCTTATCCCACGCAGTTGATCCAAGCTGTTGAAGGACTAAACTACCTTTTGGAAACATCCAAAATTCCAGCATCAAAGGTAAGCCATCCGTTTCCATATTTCATCAAACATAGTCACGATCAACTGATGGTCCCATGATAGATCCTCATTGCAGGAGACTCTGCAGGCGGAAATCTCGCGCTCTCCTTGATCGCCCACGTCATGCATCCCCACTCAACCATCGAGGCGATCAATCTACCTGCAGACGACAGCAAATTCATTGGTCTCTTCCTCGAGAGTCCCTATATCTCCTTCGATGATCGATCTCCCTCGTGGAAAGCCAACAAGAACAAGGATATCATCACCACCGCTCTCCTGCAGCGCTCAGCAACAGGCTACTTAGGCGGCGCCGCGAGAGACTTTTACAACGAGCCCTTTGCTGCACCCATAGAGTTCTGGGATCATATCCCTGCAAGAATCATCAAGATCTACTACGGGACTTACGAGGTCTTTGCGGACGATGTCCGGGTGTTTGGAGAGCGACTGAAGGTGAGCTTGAAGTATTACAAGAGCATCTGTTCGCTTACTGACAATCGCGTAGCCTGGCAATCCTCAGATTGAGATGTTGGCGGTTGAACACGATGTCCATTGTCAGAATTTGATCGATACGACCATCACTGAGAAGGTCGAGAAGTCGGGGCATTTCTTTCGGGATTGGATTATGAATGCCATCTGACAGATCAGTTTGTGATGTCGGTCGATCGGATGAGATCGGCCTCCAATGTCGCCCGATGCGTTGTTGATATCTAGAACTGCCTTTTCAAGAAACGGAGAACGAATATTCGCAGAATGTCACCAATTTTCGCCTCAGGCCAAAGCCGACGGCTCTCGGATAAAGATTCCGCTCGTCAGACCCTGGTTTGATAGCCCCGCGCGCCGCGTCTTCGGCGGGTCGAGAACGTGCGGCCAATGCGAAAAATGCGGGCGCGCTGTCACGATAGCATTGCGATAAGACGGGAGCTTTGTTATGTGAAATTTACTGGCCGAGGAAAAAGTGACGCATTCCGGGTACTGTGCATGGAGAGAGAAAGAAATTTATTTCCTTCCTGACACATCCCTGCATTCCTTGTGGTCCTCTTTATTATTGCACTCATATATCAAGAGCTCAGCCTCTCTTGATACAATCTCCACCTCTTCATCTCTTCACCCTACGAACTACCACACATCATGGCCAAGAAAGTCTGCCTCGCCTACTCAGGCGGTCTCGACACCAGCTGTATCCTCAAGTACCTTCTCGTGAGTCACAAGAGCATTCGAGACCCTTCCTCATAGTGTGGGACTGCACTGACACCTTCGTAGGAGGAGGGCTATGAGGTTATCGCCTTCATGGCAGATGTCGGACAGGAGGAGGACTTCGAGGCTGCCAAGGAAAAGGCATTGAAGATCGGAGCCACCAGAGTCTACATTGAGGACTTGCGCCGCGAGGTATGCTGAACGGAACGAGCACAACGTTGCCGATGATCCACTGCGACAATGCATTGACACTGGTGATAGTTCATCGAGGAGCTCTGCTACCCTGCCATTGCCTGCAATGCCATTTACGAGAACGTCTACCTTCTTGGCACCTCTCTCGCCCGCCCTGTCATCGCCCGCGCCCAGATTGCCGTTGCGCAAAAGGAGGGATGCTTCGCCGTTTCCCATGGTTGCACCGGCAAGGGCAACGACCAGGTCCGATTCGAACTTGCATTCTACGCGCTCCAGCCCACCATCACCGTCATCGCACCATGGCGCGACCCGGTCTTCTACAACAAATTCAAGGGCCGAGGTGATCTCCTCGACTACGCCGCCGAGAAGGGCATTCCCGTCACCAGCACAAAGAGCAAGCCATGGAGCATGGACGAGAACCTGGCACACTGCAGCTACGAAGCCGGCATCCTCGAGGACCCCAACACCACTCCTCCGGACGACATGTGGAAGTTGACCGTCGACCCGCTCAAGGGCCCGGACACCCCCGATGACTTCACCATCACCTTCGAGAAAGGTCTCCCCGTCAAGCTCGAGTACGACAACGGCAAGACCGTCACCGACGCCCTCGACCTCTTCCTCACCGCCAACACCATCGCCCGCAAGCACGGCGTCGGTCGCATCGACATCGTCGAGAACCGCTTCATCGGCCTCAAATCCCGCGGCTGCTACGAAACCCCGGGTCTCACCCTCCTCCGCTCCGCCCACATCGACCTCGAAGGCCTGGTCCTGGACCGTGAGATCCGCGGCCTCCGCGACCAATTCGTGACCTTCAACTACGCGAAGCTCCTCTACAACGGCTTGTACTTCTCGCCGGAGCGGGAGTTCCTCGAGGGCAGCATCGCGGCCTCGCAGGTCAACGTCAACGGTAGCGTGCGCTGCCGCGCCTTCAAGGGCATGTTCTCCGTCCTCGGCCGCTGGTCGGATACCGAGAAGCTCTACGACGAGAGCGAGAGCTCGATGGATGAGATTGGAGATTTCGCGCCTAGCGACAGCACGGGTTTCATCGCGGTCAATGCTATCCGTCTGAAGAAGTACGGTAAGGCCAAGGAGGCGGCGGGACAGAGCTTGGTTAAGAAGCTGTAGATGTGAGAGGGGAATTGTTCGGATTTTGATTTTTTTACCTTCTTTTTGTCTTGGTTTGATGAGGTATGTTTAGAAGATTAGGACAGGATGAAGAAAATCGAAATGAAATGCCACGAAATGGTATTGTGCTCTGCCTGCTGCAGCATATATGCAATCTATTTTTTTTCTCTTCATTCCTCGAAAGTTTGCCCCGTGTCTGAGCTCCTTTCGATGTAGACCTCCCAGGCTGTACCTCCATGTCCGGATACACGTTGTGTTCATAAACACGTGAGAAAATACCCAGCCAGACGAGCAAGAACCAAATTCGCGTCTGGCCCATGATACTCAACATTCGATATTGGGCGATGCCCAGGCCGAGTCGGTAAGGAATCGATCCTCAAACCCGCTCTATGTTCAAAGGATACCATCTCCGCAGTGAAACCTTCGAAACTAAGATCTTGCGTATGTTCCAAATATTCCCCGGAGGCATTCCGTAGACCGTGGACGAGGAATTTTGTCAGACCGGTGCATTGTCTGCTGATGGAGAAGAGAACGTCGCGCCATGATGGGCTGTGTTTAAGGGTGACATGTGTAAGTTCGAGATCGGTTAGGCTTTGACGTGATTGCGCCATGATGATTTGTAGTTGTGCTGCGGTCATCTTTGAGAAGTTGATTTTGAGTCGCTTTAGTGCCGCGATGGAAACGTCTGCAGATAGCAACATGTTCGATGGGAAGTCAACTTGATCGAGATTGAGATTCTCAAGGCGAGGAGCGTTGTAGAGAATATGTTGCAACCAAAGCGGGTCTGACTTTACTTCTGTAGAGCGTAATGATGAGAATCCCTTGCCTTGTTCAGCAGCATCGTGTGACAGCGTCAAGGTGATGTCGTAGCACTTTGGGCGGTGTAGACCCATGACCCTTCCGAGCTTCTTACGTTCAGGAAAATGGTCTATCGCACAATTGCAGCCGCGAATCTGCGACTCTTGTATGCAGATTGCTTCGATGCTGAGCTTTGCGCTCTGGACAATCTCATCAGCAAGCTGGAGAAATGATCCAGAGAGAAGGTCGTTGCCCACGAAAAGATCGTCGAAATTGTGCTTTTCTCGGACTGCCTTTGAGCATTTCGACAGATTCCTGTTGGCGATTCTGTAACAACGGAATTTGATTACTCTTGGACGCAAGTGATGTTCCAGTAGGATGTGTGTCAGGCGCTCAACTTTCAAGTGGTTTTGTATGACATATCCTTTGTCATCTCGGGGCCAGATCTCGGAGGAGTCCGTCACACGGTCGCAGTTGTATGGATCGACTTTTTCGCAATCGTCTTGAATCGAGAGCGTCTTCACGGCTTTTCCAAGCGTAGGATGACGGGAGATTTCCTCGAGATGCGTGAGACTCTTCCCCATTAAGCTGGTCTTGCGTGTCGCTAGGAATCGTCTCTCGAACTTCATGCACACCACAATATTAGCGTGATTCCATCGAGTATGTAGAGCATTATTCCAGAAGACTTGATCTTTGGTAACAGGCGACTCACAATGTGTATGATCAGGTCGTTGTATCTCTTGCACGTCAACCGCAAAGCACATAGGTCGGGATCATCTATAAGTTCGACAAGGCTCTCGATCAACTCAATAGGTAATATCGTGAGCCCAGACACTCCCTTCAGATCTTCAGAACAGCTGAATTGCAACATATTCGGTGCTCTCGATGATGAACAACCGTTACAGCATTTCGAGAGATGAGACCTCTTTATTCAACGCATATGCGGCATTTGGAGGAAGAGATGTCGACATCTGGCCGTACTTGTGAACCAGGAATAGGTTTGGGAAGGACATCCTGAACGAGCAGGATTTGGTCCTTTCGGAACCTCGCGTTGTTGTTGGAGTGGGAATTCGGCCCAGTTGTGTGAGTGGCTGCTGCCTGGATATTCATGTACGTGCCGTATGCCCACTGGAGACGTTCAATCATCTCTCTCATGAGTGAATGAAACATGCAGATTCGTCGGCCGTAAATGATTGGTGCGCTATTTGCCTGGAGATTTCATCTGCATCTTCGATTGAGTCATCAACAAGATGATGAAACACTTCTTGGGTTCATGCTCAGCTTGAGACGCAGAGCAGGGCTTTGGGCTCATCCTTTACACAGATGATGCCGAAGGTACTAGTGGTCAAATTGATCTTCATGGAGCTTGACTGTGAGGAATTCAATTCAAAACAGAGGGAATTGCGTTTCAGTTCTTCATCTGTGGAAAACGTAATAAATGATGAGCCATTAGAATGAGTTCCTCGACGCCGTGAAGCCGTTCAATGCCGCCACCGCTGGGAATATACAGTGGTATGCATGGAAATAAGTCTCTTTTTTCTACATCTAAATGAACATGCGCTTCTTGCGCCGATTTGATGATCAATATTGTTATTACAGGCCAATAGGGGAATAGCTGCAAATTGACGAGATATATGCAAGCTTGCTTCGCCCAAGTCCTCTCCTCCCCATCTGGATGCGCACTGCTGCCTCTCCGTCATTCTCATCGTCTCGTCACCCAGCGATACCAATCCTGTGTCGTATTTGTGGCCGCATTCGCAGCTGCTTGTGCTTGTCGATCTAACGGGCCACCGACGAATTGCGTCTCGGCAGCTGATGCATTCCGCTGGACGGCATCGGACACTGTGGACTGTGCTTGCTTCGCTGACGCTTTCGTCTGCTCGACTACCGAATGAGCAGCAGCCTGGGCTTTGGCGACGGTTCTCTCTGCCTGATCCGCCGTCGCATTTGCTAGCTTGCCGCCTTTCTGCTCTACTTGTGAGAGGCCTCCCGTGAGCCATGTTGTCGTACGTTTGAAGATGCCCGGACTGTTCTTCTTCGCTTCCTGCGCCTCGAATTTCGCCCGCTCTTGGTTGATCAACAATCGCTGGTCTTCAGACGCTTCGCCCAGGGACAATGCTCGTTTCGCAATCGCTAGTTCACGTGCGGCTTTGATCTCCTGCTCCTGTAACCATTCGTTCCTCTTCCGGCGATTGTGCATGAGCATGTCTGTGATTCCGGCGGTTGCGACCACACCAGTGATGACTGTGAGACCGATGAGGCCCAGGGCGGTGAACCGATGTGCGCGATCAGCCCAGACTCGCCCTATCCGTACAGTGCGGTCGAATGAGCTCTCCTGTCCTTGACGAGCTCGCGCGGCAGCCGCTCGTAGACGTGCAATTTTCTGCTGTCCCGTCTCGCCTGCGACCGGTCCTGCATTGCCAATGTTTAATCTCCGGCCTGGGGTCGGTGGAGCTGATGACGCGAATGATGGTGATCCTGCTGTGTTGGAAGTGAATGAAGGTGTCCCGGAGGTTGAATGTGCTGTCGGCTTGCTCTCTATGTGAGGCCCGGTCGCAGTGAAGCGCGTGGCATCTGATGGCGACCGTGACATCCTTACGATATGTGAGATCGGTCGACAGATATTGCGATGGTGTAGCAGTCCAATGTGAAATGATGGAGGTTTGCCTGTTGATGATCTCTTGAATCTCGGGTCCCCTTGAAAATGTTCAAGCTCCACACGTCAATGATGCATGCTCAGCGCGGCAGCTACCGATCGCGCGTGAACGGCCAAATCTTCCACACCTGCACCTTCGCCGATCTGGCACTAATCAGGGTCCTCGCATCTTTCTCACCAACGTTCACGATAGATGCTCTTGTTGGTGATTTAACAAGATATCTCAAATATCGGTCTCAGAATCGACAAGTCAGCGGCGATTGCAAAGTCTTGTCCAATGAGAGAGAGAGAGGACATGGAAGGTATTCTACGAATTGTCTGAGTTCATCTGCAAGATTCCGCATTGAATGATCGTTTTCCAATATGAGCGGCACGCCGGATCTCCAATCCATTCTTGCAACACTCGCAAGATACAGCAATAATTCCACCGCTCCTTCAACAACACCGCCAGCTTCGGCGAACATTTGGATCCCAAATGCCGCAACACACGATCCACCTCCAATTACAAGTCATGGCCCAAATGATCGGTCCCGGGATCCCAGATTGGCCAAGGCGGCCGAGACGCCTGCTGTTGCAGCTCCACCGCCAAAACCCATAGACCCTTCCACAATAACAACATGGTCCGAAGGCCTGCGTTGCGTGACAAAAATTGCTGCACACAACAGCCAATTCGTCCCGACCATCAAACGGGTGAGAGTCGATGATTCTCAAGTCCTCGACTGGGTCACTAACGATCGTTGTCAAACGAGCAGATGATGCAAGACCAGAAATCGCACGAGATGCGTTGGTACTCCGAACGTCAGACTCTCAAACAAAGCCAAATCAATCGAGCAACATCGAGCGCAAAAGCCACGTCTATCTTGCAGGCATTGAATCCCGGGTTCGTAGCGTCACAACAGCAGTCATCCGGCCAGAGCGAGGCGGACAAGGCTGCAGAACTTGCCGCTTTTGATCGAAAGATTTATGCTGCGCAAGTGGCGATGGACTCAGTCATGAGTGCGGAGCTGAAAGGGCTCGGTGTGCCATTCTTCGGTACGAATTCCGATTTGATCAGGTCGGAGGATAGAGATGTTGCTGAAGGTAACCAGCTTGATGAGCTTCCAAAGTGGAGTATGGTGATCACGGATTCGCAGCTGTTAGATTTGAGGCGAAGGATGATAGGCCATCTTGAGGATTTGTATCGTGATTGAGTGATGATGATTGCCGCTGCATGGTGCGACTTTACCGATCCGACACGTTGTGTGTGACTGTTCACTTCTACTCGTTCTCCTGCTAGCGATTTACGCAAGCATCTCGATCATTCATATATCACTGTCCATTGCCGGAATCCACTGGCGCATAAGTCTGTCTCGCTCTCGTCTTGTCTCGCAAAGTCCCGATGAACGGCTTCACGACTGCCCACGCCAACAGGCCCACCGTCGCGAGGATGAACATGTAGATGACCACCTGATCCTTTGTACTATCACGCTGGAAGCAGGTTGTGAATATCTCATGCTCAGGCGCTTCCTTCCCAGACGCATCCTTGCAAATCGGGAGGTTGTATGAGAGGCAGAATGACTTGGTACAATCGTTACACGTCCGCGCTTTCAGGTCCTTGTGTTCATCGCCGTCACCATCGAAGTCGCCGCCAGGTCGAGAGGTGCCATCTTTGGAATCTAGAGGGATGATAGTACTGTTGGTGAAGCAGGTGCATTTACAGAATGAGGTCGGGTCTGTGAGCTGTCAGCCAACCGATTCCATCCTGTATGATGGGATGAGACGAACTCGCAGCGAGACTTAGCGATAAGAACGCGAAGAACAGCAGGATATACTGCCAGCGAAGTCGCACTGCCATGACTATTTCGTGATTGGTATCGTTAGATGAATACGGGTTCACGCGTGATCATCGAGCCGAGTTCCTGCGTTGCTCGTCATGATCCATGTATGGCCGAATCATGCGACAGCACCCAGCCCTACTATCAGGGCTGCATCGCCGAATTCGAGCGCAGGCCGAAAAAAGATCGCGCGATCAACATTGACTTTATGCGCTCGCGACGGGAAATTTTTCTGCGTATTACTTCACTTCGTCGTGCGCGCATGTTTTTTACGCTGCAATTCCAATTCATTGTCTGAGACTCGATGGGATCGGTTGTTGCTGAGTCCTCAAGCGTAGAAGAGGCACAACGCATTCGACTGCACATCACACCTTTCAACGCAGAACTTCTCGATCGATTCGTCCCGCCGGCTATTCGATCGCAAGCATCTGATATTTCCTTCCATACCGTCCAGACTTTTCCCGAACGGGGATTCGGCTACGTGGAATTGCCGAAAGTCGAAGCGCAAAAGATCAGACAGAAATTGAACGGTATGACGCTCAAGGGTTCTAAAGTGAAAATTGAAGAGGCGCGGCCGGAGAAAAGTCGCAAGGACAAGAAGCGAAAGAGTTCAGGCGGAGCAGGTGATAACACCGAGGTGGTGGAGCAGAGTGAGAAGGCCACGAAACGGGTGAAAAGGGCCAAAGCCGAGCGAGGAGAAGGCATTATCCCTGGCCACGAGTTGGATCCTGGACGGATAGTCAAGAGAGGATGGCAAGATACAAACCCAAAGAAACGAAACTCCAAGAAGGATGAGAAGTCTGGAGATGTCAGCTTGGAAGGGAAGAGCAATCATTTCAAGACTTCCGTCGCACCCAATGCAATGCCTTTGAAGGCTTCGAAGAAAGAGACCAAGGGCGACGCAAAGAAGAAAGACAAGGAGAAGAAAACTGGCAAGCATGATGTCGTAGTGAAGGAATTCAAGAACACGACTAAAATACTGAACGCGAAGAGCGCGAAGGCCTCCAAGCCGGAGACTCATTATGAAGATGGCGTGGGTTGGGTGGACGGGGAGGGGAATGTGATTGAAGCCGAAGCACCATCCTCTCGGAGAAAACGTGCATTCTTGACAATCCAACCTGCCTCCAAGCCAGAACCAATACAACCAGAAGGTCACGAAGCGGTTGAATCATCAGAGAGTGTATCAGAAGCAGAAGAAGTTGCCGAAGAGGAAGCGCCGAACAAGAATGCACTTTCAGAGATTGGACCCGAACGGTCTAGCAGCGAAGCACCCAGTATCGCGGCCACAGCGACGTCCATCGAAAACCCCATCTCAGCCGAATCAGAAGCAGAATCACCCAGCACGCCACCAACAGAAGCCATACCTCCCCGGACAATCTCCCTCCCAGAGCGCGAAATCCACCCCCTCGAAGCTCTCTACAAACGCCCCGCTTCCTCCAAAAAATCAAACAAAACCGGCGAATCGCTCCCTCCAATAGACACCGGCTTCAGCTTCTTCGGCGGCGGAGACGCGGTCGACAGCGCAGCCAAGTCCGCCGAAGTCGACAGCGACGACGATGAAGACAGGACTCATGCCGCCTTTCCGACAGTGCAACATCCCCCTCATACCCCCCATACCAAACTGGACCTCGAATGGCGCGGTCTCCGCTCCGGCGCTCCAACACCCGACACCGCGGCGATCGGAAAGCGGTTCACATTCCCCATTTCCGGCAACAACGACAACGACGACGATGAGAACGGCGAGGACGATGACGAAGACGAGGCAGACGACGACGATGAAATCCTCGATGACGTCGACGCCGCTTCTCCCTCTACCCGAAAAGCCATCGGCGGCGAAGGCGGAGACGGGGAGGAGAGTGAATTCCGGAAATGGTTCTATGAGAACCGCGGCGAGTTGAACCGAGGGTGGAAGAAGCGCCGACGCGAGGAGAAGAAGTTGAAGAGGCAGAGGGAGAGTCGACGATTGGGGAGGAAAATCGCCTGAGCGAGGGAGCAGTTGAGGGGATCGTGGGCAGTTGGTCGAGACAGTGGAACAGCGGATGAAAGAAAAGGAATGTTGTGCAAGTCCAAACGAAGACAGTTCCATAATGCGGGAACAGATAATCGAACTGAAACCCGTCTCAGTATGCCCACCTGCCATTCTATCTCCCATATCCTTAAGGCTTTACCGCTTTATAACCAAACATCATTCATCCCTGACCTCCCGTTGCTCCACAACCGTCTCCTCTTTCCTCCATGAAAATATTCCTCTCCGTGTGCCCTGCCCCCTCGACTCCATTCCCTCGTTCTCAGACAGAGAGAGCGAGAGTGTCATACGGGAGCAGAACGCCATCCACGATGAGGAAAAAGTTTTTAGTTTCGAGGTCGAGTTTCGTCTGCGAGAAACGCAAATCACCCACGACGAAATCCACCCGACGTTGAGCCATGTCGTCCAGGCGCCGGTTCATGCGTAGGCATGCCATGTTGTCTTTTCTTGCTGGCGAAGAGCCTTTCGTATGGCATGGGCCTTTTTGAGCCTTGCTAGGTGGCGAGTGCGATGGGGCCGGGAGAAGCCATCTTAGTTTTGGAGGCGGGCGAGGGGATCGAAGCAGGAAAGAGTGGAGAAGCCACCACGCTCGACGGAAATTCCCTGGAAAGACAGCTCGAGGGTGCGGATGATGTGATCGGTGTGATCTGCGATAAATGATCCCCCTGCTGTATGATGGTATGTGGCAAACTTTGACTGAAAATTCTTCATGTCGGGAGGGCCGAAGGTTGGCGATTTTCGTGCTGAGGTGTGAAGTCCTGGTTGTCTTTTTTCCCGTCAGTTTCCAGAGATAGAAAGAGTGTCCTTCTTTCTCCCTGTTCGTGTTAGTTGGAAGCCCTGTGGGTAAGAGAGAGGGAAAGATAGAAGAAGGAAGGAGATGAGCGAGAACGATGACAGACAGGAGAAGAAACAGAAAAGAAGAGAGAGAAAGAAGCTGGTGGTATTGATGTGAGGCAGGCAGGTCTGTGAGAAGAACCTTCGAGCAGCGGCTCCTGCAGAAATCAATGCGACTGCCTCGGCTGCATGATCATGAGATACCGATTCGTCGAATCAAGCAAACCTCGGGGAAGAGAGAGTGTGTGTATGTTTTGTTGAGACCAGCCCGACTCCGCGCCCATTCCGATGTCTTCCTTCGCACCGTCTGCCGCCAGGAGCAATCAACCTCCAATCTTGATCTGCGACGCTCGCCGTCGGACAATTCTTCTCACCACAGCAGGATCTGCATCCGCCAACAAAGAGATCGACCGTCTCCGCGGTGTCTAGGCCCTTCCCATTTGGCCATCGTGCGGAAAATCATTAGTAATAATACATGGGTATCCTCTGTTCGTCAAAAGAAAGCGATGTGTGCCGTGTTCCCACCCTCTTCCAACAAAGAGGAGACTCGAAGAAGTCGTTGGGCAGACAGCGAGAAGCATCTGCCCCGAGCGGACGTCTCCATCTTTCGCTCCTCTTCGAAACGATCCATTCCAGATGGGCAGGAGAAATCACGTGCAAAAAAAAAAGAATGCACAGTGCCCACTACTCCCATGAACGGCGAAGTCGACAGAGTAGATTCGAATAAACCATCTTGAACCCCACCCACCATCCATCCCTCAAGAATCAAGACAGCGACAGCGACAGCAGATCTACTTCCCGCTCTTCTTGGCGCTCTTGGCCACTTTGACCTTCTTCGCCTCCTTCTTCTTGGCACTCTTCTCCTTCTTCCTCTTCTTCTTGGTCGGGGGAGGAGCTTCGCCGTTGGCCTTGGCCTCCCTGGTTTTCCTCGTGGCGTCTTGTTTCGCGCCCTTCTTCTTGGGGACATGTGCGTGCTCGGCCTTGTAGGCCGCTTTGGCGGCAGATCCATGGTGTTTCCTCGGACCGCGTTTCGGACCGGAGGCCGGGATTGGGAGGGCGTTGAGCGTAGACATGGGTCTGCGGTGAAAAGCTCAGTCAGCTAGAGTGCAACTGAGTTTTTCTGGCAGGGGAAGGCAGAAGAGAGAGGGGATGTGCTGGTGTGTGGGCAGACATCCTCAGTAGCGACGCCGTGAGGAGGGCACATACATAGAAGGCTGCAATTCTTCCGCGGGGACGTGTTCCGCACTATCGGGATAGTTGCGTTCGAAGACGCGTCGAAGTCGTGCACGAGTGTCAAGATAGGAATAATAATTCCCGCCGAGGATGCATTCCAGGATGCTCTCCGAGCTGGCCTTGCCAAGACGAATTTGATTGAGTCGTCTTTGGACCAGGGCATGCGCGCCGCGGAAACAATCGAAGACTTCGGCGATGAGGCGGGATCCGCCGGAGATGTCGTTGTCGGCGCGATTCGGGTCGATGATGGTGAGGCGGTCGTCTTGGTATTTGACGTTGATGCGGTCGCGGTCTTTAAGTTTGTCGAAGTAGGAGGGCGGTTCCATGATGATGCCGGTGTCACGATAGTTGAATTTGTTGCCGTACAGGTCGAGGAAGTTCATGAGGAGTTCGCCATAGCGGGTGTGCGGTTCGAGGGAGGAGGATTGCGATTCGGGCATGTGTTGGAGCATGCTGACGACGAGGCAGATGATGGTGAAGCCGCCGATGCCGCCGTGGAAGACTTCGTTGAGGTTGCGCATGCAGAGGAATTGTTTGATCAGGGCGACGAGTATTGGCATATCTGGAAACTGCTCTTTCCATTTCTTCAGTGTCCCTTGAGCCGTGAGCCCCGTGTGGTTTTCGAAGGAGATGTCGACCTTGAGTCCAGTTTGAAGGTCGGTAAATTTAATCAAGGGCACTTTCGCGAATGCAATGATATCAGCGCCCTTTACAGGATCGAAAATGCCTGCTGAGCGTAGTACGCTCCGAAGCTTCCGCTTATCCGGCATTCCCAAGCAGAAGGTTGGCACGGCGGAATCCAGGTATCGTGGCGAGAGTGCAACCAGATCCATGTCAGCATTAGGCAGATACAGACCAGCTGGATACGAGCCAAAGCAGTAAATCTGAACACCGCGGCCATGGTACCAATTTTGAATAGTCGTCTGGATCCTCGTAGCGATGTCTTGTCGGACGATGCGTTCGTACTCGGTTGGTCTGACGAACTCATAGAAGTCGACGATCTCTTTATGTAATCTGCTTGGGTCAAATTAGTACCTGACGAGAATAAATGCAGGAGGGAAAGACTCACTTCAGGCCAACGTTCGCTGTGAACTCTGCGCTACGTGGCATCCATGGCGTCAGGTTGTAACCTGTTGGCTCCCACTCCTCCGTGATGATCCCGGCAAGCGTGTCATCCGGAGAGATTTGGGAATACGCTCTTTTCCGATTCTTGCCGGGTCCAATTGGGTTACTTCCCACACTGGCTTGATCATCGTCGTTATCAGAAAGAAGACTGACGACGGCCGGTTCGTCATCAAATGAGATGAAATCGATATTGTCCTTCACAGGATTACTCGACGCAGCATCCAGCATCGTGTCCAGTTTCGCTTTCCGGATCGTCTCCACGATGTCCTTTTTCGGTCCGTTTGATTGCGACGGCGGTGGTAACGCAGTATACGGATCCGGATTTGACCACTTGGGCTGCTCTATCGGCACCACTTTCTCGGTCCTGCGACGCTTGTGGCCTTCTTCGTGCTCCTCGCCTTCCTCGCTGCCGGTATCGCTCTCCTCGGTATACTCCCCCACATCGCGAAACTTCGGCTGGGTGTCACCGTTCATGCCTGCGAGTTGTTCCGGCGTGGCTTCTCGGGTACTCCGCGTGAGTAAATCACGCGAATGCGCCGGACGCGGGCCAAAACGACGGCCTCGATCACCTCTTCCTGCATGAGCGCCACGGTTTCCCTGCGGGCGATCTCGCGGCCGTCGATTCGGCCTGGCGGGTAGTGGCTGTTCCTGCGCTGAGGGGAAGCGCGGCGCTGGCGGGCCATGATTCGACTGGAACGTGAAATTCTCCTCTGCTCTTGAGGCGTGGCGATCCGAAGCTCCGGCGCCGCGGAATGAATATCCTGAGCTCCCGTGGTCTCGTGGAGGTTCGTAATGTGAATCGCGATCGCGGTGATAGCTGTCTCTGTCGTGTGGCGGACGGTAAGTGTCGTCGCGATCGCGGAAGGTGTGTCTTGACTCGTCGCGTCGGTCTCGGGGTGGATTGCGCCTTGACGAAGGCGGCGGCGGAGGGAGAGGATGTGGGTCATAGCGGTCTGTTGGACGGTCGCGCCGTGGCGGACGATATGTGCTCCCCATGATGAGTGATCAACGTGTCAAGCAAGCCGTGTGTGTGTGTGCACACGTGTGTGGCGAAAGGCCAAAGGTGGTTGACGGAGACGATGCTATCAAATTATTGTGTCGTCGCATTAAAAAAGTCGGATTTGCAGGTTGACGTCTTTTTCGGCGGAAGGGATTTCCGTGGTTGCCGACAAGACAATGTGAGGCGACCAAAATCGAAGGAAGGAAGAATTGGCAACTGCCGAAATGTAGAGAGAATGACGACCACTCAATCGCATTCCGCGAGTACACTACCAGACATCTTAATGATGTCGCTGTACGTGATCTTTAACATTGTAGAGGTGCGATGCCACCTGAGACACAACAATGGCGGCGGCACAAACCTTCACGCGGTGCACCGTAATCACCTGCATACCAACAGCCACCCCGTCCAGCAATCATCTACAAGTAGCATGCATGAAGTGAAAACGATAATCCCACCTACACGCAATGTAAAAATCCGCAAAAACACCTTTCGAGAGCAGAATCAGAAATGCGAAAATACAGCCAACAACTGCACAATCGCATAGCTTATAGGCGTGATGATCCGCACCATCATAGGTGATAAACGTACAACCTCCTGCCTGTAGCTCATGGCTCCATGAAGATGATCCTCAGAGGACGATGACTGCTCTGCTCTCTCGAGAATATAGACATGTATCTCGACCGTCCGTCGACGCGCAAACCCAAACAAATCAGAGAGAGAAAAGCCAAAGCAAACCAAGACAGCAGTACTCCTTCATTGACAACCATGTCATCGGCAGAAAGGGAAAGAAAGGAGAAATCCGAAGATGAGGAGCATTTTGAAGAAGGTTTTCACATTTGTACTTAAATCTCTCGCTCTCCTGTCCCGTTTCCCCCAGAGACCCATGTGGAAAACCCAAAAGTACAAAATCCCCCGGCGGCGAAAGAAGTCGAGGGATGAAGGATGAGAGAGAAAGAACAGAACGCTATTTCGGGGATGAGAAAGGGGCGTGTCGGAGATGATAAAAAGGGTGGGCGTTGCGTAGCGAAGCATAGCGAAGAAGGCGCTGCAGTGAAGAGAGCAGCGGCGGCGGCAGCGAGGAGCAAAGGGGTGAAAGGGGAGGGGAGGAAAGGGTATATCTATCTAATCAGGGCCGGAATTTTCATCTACTACAACAATGACACCTCACACGTCTCTCTCTCTCTCTTCAAGCCTCATCCTTGTCGGCCTCGGCAGCAGTAGCAGGGGCGGCGGCAGTGGGTGGCGGTGAAGCGGGGGTTTCTGCATCTTCGGGGCCTTCGGCGCCGTCGAGTGCGGCGAGGGCACTATTGTTCAAAGTCAGTAAGATGGTTTTTCCTCCGAGGGAGTGGTTTGAGTGACTTGAGTGCAGTAAAGGCAAGGGGGAGTGGAGTAGGAGGAGTGAGGACATACCTGAAAGCATTTTGAGCCGCGCTCGGAGGCTCGTCTTTCTTCGCATCGACGGGTGGCGTGCTGGTGCGTGTTGAATTGCCAGATCCAGGACCGAGACCACCGAGACCGCGACGGCTGCCGGTGCGGGCGCCGAGCATTGAGGGACCGAGACCACCGCCGGGACCCATGCTGCCACCGACGGAGTTGCGGTTCTGGCTGCGCTGTGAGAGACGTTTGAGGTCGTCCATGGCGACGTTGGTCCGTGAGTAGTCGACGGGAGGTGGTGGGCCACCGGCAAAGCGGGCGTCGCCACGACCTTGCTGAGGACGGCCACCGCCGGGACCTCCGCGAGAGGTGCGTTGACGTTCGGCCTCGGCCTTGGCAGCCGCAGCTTCGGCATCTGCGTGAATCTCTTGGATGGTCTTGGGGCCCTTGTTGGCGTCCTTGCCGCGCCAGCCGGCTTTCCGGAGGTCGACGAGATCGAGAAGCATGAAGCGGGGACGACTGGCAAGCGCAGCATTCTCCAGGACGTTGTTGATGCGGCCAAAGTACATGGCGATGCAAGGTCGCCCTTGTTCCTCTTGGTCCATGGTGTGACCGATGGCTTTGAGGAGGGTGGTCAAGTTCTCAATGGCAGCTTCATCTGGGTCGCCTTCGAAGTTGAGGAGCTTCAGGACACACTCGTGCATGATACGGACCGTCAACATCCGAAGCTTGTAGAGCTGACCAATGAACTGGATCAAACCGAGACCACGTCGCTTGGCAGCGGCGGCGATGTAGTACTCGTCTGACAGAAGGGCCGCCTCCTGTGACTCACCCTCAGGCTTGTCGGGAAGATTCGCTTGCCAACCCCGTTCGAATTCTTCTTGACATCGGTTGAGGAGGTACTTGCGGAACAGACCACCTCCGATGACGGGATTACCGGCCTTGTCTTTGATGGTGTCGTCCCGGATGTCCGGGCTCATGGTGGTCAACATCTTGTGACAGAATTGCGCGTACATGCCAGCCCAGTGAGCTTCATCACAGGCCTTTTCGAAGGTGAGCTGAATGACCTGTCGCAGGGTGCGGCCATCTGTCTCGTGCTTGGACTGCGCAGCAATCTCCAAAATCTGGTCCGAGATCTTCTCGAACTTCTCAGGAGTCATCTTGTTGAGAGCGGCCTTGACCTTACGTTGGACCATGTCAGGGGCCATGAGCGCGGTACCACTTGGGTCGGGCTGAGCGGGGCCATTTGTGCCTCCGACAATGCTACTAGGTTTCCATCCACTGGTGGATTTGTCTAGAGGGGCAACGGCCTGGCCAGCAGTGAGCGGCATCTTGGAAGCAGAGTCGGCGTCTTCGCGACGGCTGCGAGTGCGGTCGTCACGCTTGCTACCACCGCGACCACCGGGTCCGCGTTGACTGGTTTGACGAGCACCACCAGGTCCGCCCATAGCACCCATCTGCAAAGAGTTTGTTCGTGACATGTTTCCGGGTGCACCCAGACCGAGGTTGCTCGGAGCGCGCACCATACCTGGCTGACCAGGTCGAGGAGGACCCATGTTGTTGGAGGCTGCGAAACGCTCCGCAGAGGTAGTACCAGAGCCGACAGGAGCACGTTGAGCGCCGCTGCCGAAAGCACCCATGGCGCCACCCGGGAAGCCCATTCCAGAGCCTCCTCGTGATGCTTGACGACCACCGGCGGAGGAAGGAGTACGCGCGGTGTTGGGACGAGCAGAGTCATCACCGGGGCCGAGCGTATCACGGACTTTCTGATCCCAGTCCACAGAAGGCTTCTCCTTGAAGATGCTCTGGAACTGCAACAAAAAGTCGCGGTCGTATGCGTGGCCCTTGCGCTGTGTCGACTGGTTGAGAGCCGGGTTGGGAGACTTGAAGCCGCTGGGATATTCGGCCTCTTCTTGTAGCGCGAGGAAACGAGCCGATTTGAGGGCTTGCATACCAGGGGTCGGCTCAGCACGCTCAACAGTCTTGTTGGTCTCGAGCTTGAGATGAGCCGGCTTGGGCTTCTGTGCTCCGGCACGCGGTGGTGCGGACTGGGAAGCGGATTGCTCGTTGGAAGAGTCCTCCGAGGTCTCATTGTCTTGCGCGTTGGCTCCGGGTCCCAAGGTGGGCTTCTTGAGCGAGGCAAAGAGCTTCTTCGCCTCGGCATCAGGCTCTTCAGCCTTGGTCTCCCCATTGCGCTCACGCTCACGAGCCAATTCGCGCTCCTCGGCTTCACGCTCCTGTCGCTTGAGCTCGTCATCAGTGTTGAGTCGAGCGGCTTCGTCTTTCTTGCGAGCATCGGCTTCAGCCTTCTGCTTAGCCTTCTTCTCGTTGTAAGCCCTCTCGCGCTCCTCTTCCTCACGCTCGAGAGCCTCCATTTCGGCGATCTGTCGCTCAAGCTCCTCATCCTCTTCGCGCTTCTTCCGTGCCGCCTCATCCTCATCGTTGGCAGGAGCATCCTTGGCCTCGTCTGATTTCGCTTCGGCGGCCTTGGCGCCTTCTTTGTCGTCAGCAGCGACAGCAGCGGACTTCTCAGCAGCCGCCTCAGCTTCCTTGACAGGGGCGTCGGCGGGTGCCTTTTCAGTCTCCTTAGGTGCCTCGGTTTTGTCCTCGGCCTTCGTCTCACCAGCCTTGGCTGCGGCCTCTTTCTCCTGCTCTTTGCGCTTCTCCTCCTCAATCTGTCGCTTGACTTGCTCGGCAAAAGCGGTCTTGGTCTCTTCCGAGGATTTGGGGGCTTTGCTCTCGGTGCGGTTGTGCTGGGCGCTCGGGACACGCGGCGGAGGGGTGGGAGCATTGGGTGTTGAGACGATCACAGGACCTTGCGACTGGGTGGAACTGGTGGCGGCTGCAGCGGGTTTGCCAAAGTTGACGGCATTTCCGTTTGCATCAGTGATCTTGATGGCGCTGGTCTTCTTGGGGCGAACAAAGCTGCTCGCAGCAGATGGTCCCTGTGGTCCAGGAGCCTGCGAGATGCCCTGCTGAGAAGGAGTCGGGGTGTGCGAAGTGTGGCCAATGCTTGACGGAGGACGGCTGGAATCATGCGAGGCTGTACGGGCCATTCCAATGCCAGGTGTTCCTGGGTTGAACGGTGGCGCCATGTGCGCGCGTGGCGGTTGGAAGGCAGCACCCGGGTACTGCGGACCAGGGCTGGGACCAGGCTGCGGGTAGCCATTGTAGTATGGAGGGTAGAAACCGGTGTTGGGGTCGAATCCGGGATACATTTGAGGAGCATAGCCCTGCTGAGGGGCATATCCGGGATACTGTGGCATCTGCTGATGATTCATCGGACCGCCGGGCATGTGAGGAGCGGCGGGCATGGGACCGGGGCTGGGACGAGCGTGGTTCATATAGGGTGAGCTCGGGGCTCTCTGCTGGCCGGGGTATGGCGACATTCCCCGTCCCTGAGCGCCAGGCATGGGCCGGTAGTTTTGAGACGGAGAACCCATGTAAGGAGGGTTTCCGGTGAATCCGCGACCACGGCCTTGACCTTGTGGGGTGAAAGGCGGGCGCCCAGCGTTGACTCCTTGGTTGGACAGCTCACTCTGCATGGACTGGGAAGAGGCGTGTCTCTCGTGCATGGGCGTGCCGGCTTGTGAACCAGATCGCATCTGTGGAGCATATGTCAGATTTGGGTCAGGACACAAGGATTCTGACTTTTGACCACTCACCATTTCGTTGTCGGCACCAGTGCTACCGAAAGCGAGGCCGTTCATTTGACCTTGGATGCCGGAAGGCGGACGACCACCACTAGCGGAGGGTTGAGGGATCGGGGTGGGCGAATGAGCTGGAGATGTCGCACGAGGGTTGCTCGAGGGCGTGGACAAATTGGCATTCTGTGGCTGAAAGGGAGCGCCAGACTGGGCGTCCGCAGGCTGCGAACCGAAGACGATAGGAGGTCGACCGTTCGAGCTCACGGGTCCGCCGTTTGGGGTGTATCCCGAAGCACCCGAGGCGCTGATAACGACCGAAGGCTTCCGGCCATGGTCGCCTTGTGGGCCAGATCCGTTGCTCATATTTCCGCCATTCTGTGAAAACTGCGAGCCTCCTTGTGCCATAGAACCGTTCATGTGGGATTCTGAGGCAGACTTTGCATTTTGCGCGGGCGCGGAGGCTCCAGCCGAGGATGGAATCGACGCCGTTTTGATGGCGCCGGAGGATCTCACTGGTAGCTGTGCCGGCACAGCTGGTGAGATCGAGTGCGTGGGTGTGTGGGTCGTCGTGGGTTTGTCGCTCGCGGGATTCTGTGTGGGCGCTGATATCGCACTCGTCATAAGCCTGGAAAGGTGTGGAGGAGGTTTGCGAAGTGGCGAGATCTGAGAGATACCGACTGCGTCAAGATTCACGAAGAAAAAAAGCCGAAAACCTCAATCAACAACTTTTTCTTCTCGCGTTGAGATGGGCAGAAATCGCAGAGCAGTAGAGTGGCGATGAAGAAGAAGACGAGTGAAGGATCCGGGGGACAGGAATCGCTATGCGTCTGAATCGATGGATGGCGGTTGGAATTAATGGGACCGTTTGATGGATCGTCAGAAATCGGGCGCTGTCGTTCTCTTTCGAGGTGGACGAGCACGGGAAATTTTGGGCCGAAGTGCGACTGTGGAGGACGACAGTCGCGCACTTTCTCTCTGGAATAGGATAACTCGGATGGAGATACCTATGAGTCTGATGTCGACGGGGAGAAAAAAGACACCCTCAACAACAACGGGAAGTCGATGATGGGATGTTGGTTGGTGAGAGAGGAAGAGAGAGGGAGGAGGAGAAGTACAGTACAGTACAACAGTGGTGGTATGTACCGTAGGTAGTAGTGTAGTATCCGAGAAAGCGAGAGGGCACGAATTTCCACTTTCACACACACACACAGACGGACAGACCAGACAGAAAGACAGGCAGACAGACAGCGCTCACACACACTATGTATGTATGTACATAACATATTGCAGCACGCACTCACGCACTCACTCTCAATCACACACTCAACATCGGTACAGTACGGCATAGTACATCAGACACTGAACACGGCCGCCCACATGCACGCACACACTCAATTTCTACAATTTTTCGCGGCAAATAGTCCAGCCGGGGTGATGACCGAGTTGCGCGGTGGTGCTGCTGCCGTCCAACATCGGCGGGATATTTTTGGGGGGAGGAGGAGCAGGGTGAGAGAATGATTTATTAGCGTCTGCCAAGGCCGGAGAGATAGAGGGAGAGAGAGAGAGAGAGGACAGAGAGTTAGGAGGACAGAGAGAGAGAGAGAGAGCCCTGGAGAGATGGACTTTCCCACCAGCTGGAGATTTCTCGGGCGGCAGAGACACCTGAGCAGCCTCCAGTCGCAGAGAGATGGATGATGAGTGATGAGCGATGAGAAAGACAAAGCGGCATAATCATAATCATCGTCATCATCCACCATCCGTCCATCCACCCATCCATCCATTGTTCGTTCGGTGCGTTGGATCCGCGCTTCCGTCACGGTTTTTTGGCGGAAATCTGGCACACGCACCCACTTTTTTTTTCCACCTCACCCACACCACCACCCACCCACGCCCTATTTCGCCTGCATTCCGTCGTCATTCACATGCGCATAATAGAAATTCCAGGGCACTCAGTATTGTATTCTATTGTATTCATCTGGTTGCTGATTCATCGCTCTGAACCATCATCATCGTCGTCGTCAGGGTTTGCACGCTTTGTCGCCTGCGATGGATCTTCACGATGACAGGTCCTAGTGTGATAATAAATTGATATATCCATTGTGAAACGGAAGTCCGAACATCACCGGTATATACCTATCCCACCTATGCATAGTAATCCATCCACACGCAGGGAGAATCTGACACATATCCGTCGCCAGCTGTTGTAACGCCTTCGCCTTCTTGCGCTCGTCGACCGCGGAGGAGATGGGAAATCACCCACATTTCCGAAAAGGAACTCCTTCGGTGACGCCACGGCATCACACTGTCTGTTCTCACACAAGCCTGCGCTGGCTGCTGCTGCTGCTGCAGTTGCTGTTGCCGTTGTGACTGGTGATGATTCATCAGACACTCTCGGCATACAGATCGTACAACACCCACATATACGGAATTGAACAGCGACTGGAGGCGAAATCCCGCATCACGACCTTCAGCGCTGGCATACATACCAACCAATCTCTCGCGGATTCCCAGCTTCCTCTCGGTATCGTCCCCTTGCTCCCGGCCGGCAGCGCGCACGCACCTGCCGAATGGAGGACCACCCTCCGCGGGAAGGTACCGTATGTACTCGTACATCTTCCGTCCCATGGATTGCGACCGTAGGAGGGACTCCTGGCGATCTCATGTATTTGATGTGCTCGATGTACATGTTCTTCCCCCTACGTATTGCCTGCTGGGAAAAGCAGCGACCCGCCGTTGCGGTTTCAGGGCCCCGAAAGTCTCAACGGCTTTTGGGCAGCAGCGGCGGCGGCGGCGTAAGGCTATCGTTCGTTATTATCCGACGTTCGCTTCGCGAGGAGGTAATTTTATAAATTTCATGCTCTCCAAAAAAGTCCTTCCGTGCCGAGGTCATCGAGCTGGAGAACATTGGAATTTTTAACGAGCTGGATGTCAAGACGAAAGGAGTCCCCACCTGCATCAGTTGGTTGAGACATACCTGTATTCACTTTTGACTTGCCTATCATCCATTGTCATAATCACTACACATCAAAATCGTAATAACAAACACACTATCGCCAGCACAACTATCCACAATCATTCCCATATCACACTGACAAATTCACCAACCATCCCCAACGATGATAAGTATAATCTTCTCCCCATCCAAAAATAACAAACCTCTCACTCAAGCCAACAAGACGGAAACAATCATCCTGCATGCACCTGGGAACCCTTCTCGTCAAGCAGCGGAGACGTCCATCCGAAGCGGGAAGACCAGCAGGAGGACCAAACCGTTGCGCGCGTGCATGTATGTATGCAGGTGCATGTGAAGGTGCGTGTGTGCAGGTGTATATGCAGAGAAGAAGGGAAAGGGCGGGCATGCGCATCGTACATGCCCGCCCGCCTGCCGCCCGCTGCCCTGTCCGCCGTCGCGGCGGGTATCGGCTGGCCGGTGGAAAGTGCTTGCATCTTGCATATGCACGGGCGAGAAGATTGAGATGATGTTCAAAGTGTTTAAATATGCCGGGATTTTTATTGAATTGCTTCTGGATAAGGCTTTGAATTATCTTTCGTTTGATTATCTGTATCCCTGCTGTTATGCTATACTGGCCGTGGGAGACGGTGGTAGTCTACATCGATCTTGTTGGATGTTTTTGCATGATTCAGGAGAACATAGTGCCGCGGGAGGACAAGACTAGCTGTCGAATCATCTTCACACGAGACAAAATCTCATTTGGGGCAAATGCATCCCGTCTCGTCGTTGCAACCCTAAGCCCTACGACCACCTGCAGCACCACGAGCGCTATACAATAATTTCATTTATAATCCTCCAACCACCTACCTAGGTATACTTCGCCATGATGCAGTCTTGATCATATGTATAACTACAACAGAAGCTACGGTCTCGTCAGCCATCTGACGTTTGCCAAGCACATTCAAGAGATTCCCTTTCTGAATGCGGACTGCTGCATAGCAAGCTATGAGACCTAACATCTGAAATTTCAGCGATCGTTCCGAACCATCTACGGATCTGTCGAGACCAACAGCGACCACGACCGGTGAACTCTCTTTTCCGGCGCCGTAGATGAGCGATTCATATTTCTTCGTGAACTGGTACTCGAATGGGGTGTACCTCAACACCTCGCCAGTCTGCGCATGTCAAATATTACCTTTTTCCACACACACACACAATATCATACATGGCTGGAAGACTCGAAGCTTAAGCAGCGCCCCAAAAGAGAGACATCACAAAGAGGCATAGAGAGCGAGTGTTCCCAATTCCATGGCTAGAAACCATGGCGCAGCGTCCTGCAGGGAACTTCTTTCGTATATTCGATTGACGTGCTTGCAGGGGAGAGGAACCAAAAGAAAAAGGGGGAAAGCAGGTTTGAACGATGAATCCGGTTCCGGGGCTCTGGATTCCCCCGGCCCGGTGAACCATGACGCTCGACAGAGAGTGCGTGTCGCCAGTGGGCGATATACCGTACGCTGTATCATCAGACGAGACGAACCGTCTTGTACGCTGCGTGGGTTGGGATCGTCTGGTGTTCTTGTCCCCGACGACACATTACAATTGGGCTAGACCCACACGATCTGCATCTCTGGAAGGAAGGAACCCATGAGGGTTCTCGAGATACAGTAGGTCTTCCCATGCTATGTCAAATATAGCGTTGGCACCATTTCCCAAGAACACACGTGCCTCCCGTCTTGACGATGCCGCAAATTCTCGGCGACGAACGGCACAGAGATCGATAGTGCTCCAGGTGAGCCTTGCGCAAAAGTTCCTCACGGTGATCCTCGTCGCTAATGAGAAGGCCGGTCGACCGTCACCTGCACCTGTGGAATTGAGAGCAAGCACTTGGCGGATTGCAGTGGTGTTTTCATATGGCCGACCGATATGCGGCTTGCCTAGGTGTTTGAGGATCGAGTCTGGCGTCGTTGACGATATATTCGGGCTTCAGGTCTATCTCGTCTACGGAACTGCATCTGTGATGTGTTCGCGATCGGTGGGTCGGACGTAATCGTGGGTGCTCAAGTCATCGCTTCTGATGAGCCGAAGAGGGATCTCTCCAGGCAGGTCATTTGTTCGCGGCTTTTGAGGAAATCTAGACGAACCTACAACCATGATGATATGGAAATCATGTCCCACAGGATGAGTGAGTGATAAATGGATTTATTCAGACGAAGGTCCCCCGAGGTCATGTGTACAGCGGTGGAGTCAACTCTAACATGCCTCAATATCGTCATATGGGGTTCAGGGTCCAACGGGGATAGAAGTAGATGCCGACAATCATCGGGTCGATAATAATGCGTTGAACAGCTTTTTCCATGGCGGTCGTAAACATGCATGAACAAACGAGTTTGACCCACCCATCGATCAATCCGATGCACATATAAGCCGTGACGCGTCGCAGCTCTATTTCCGCAAGCGCATCGGCATGAACTCCGGCTGGATATCCGGAGAGGATGTTCTCTCCTTGTCTTGCCGGTCGTTCGGTCCGTGATTCGTCCGCAATCAGTCCGTGGGCGTCATCAGAGATCATTGAAGCATCTTCCATATTCACTGCAGACCCAAAGCTGAATTCTACAAGATGTTACAACACATAACCACAACTCAAGGCTAGGAAAGTTCGCTTCTTCTCCTGCCAAGCGAGCAAACGAGCACACCCTCCCCAGCCTCATCTCGCAACTCGTTCGTCAAAAATGTCCGGATCCACCAAGCTAGAGTATGCGATCATCGGCGGCGGGATCAGTGGCATGGTCCTGGCCCTGGCCCTACATCAACGAGGCCTATCCGTCACCGTCTACGAGTCAGCGGCCCAATTCGGCGAGATCGGCGCGGGTGTGGGATTCACGGAGAACGTCGTGCAGGCGATGCACGTATGCCACGACGGCATCCACGAGGTGTTCGAGGGGATCTGCACCCACAACCAATGGCCGTCGAAGGAGCACATCTGGTTCGACGTCTACGACGCCTCCGGGGAGGACGCGGCTTCGGAACACATCTTCGGCGTGCCCAGCAACTTCGGCTCCGCTGGCATCCATCGCGCCCGCTTCCTCGACGGGCTGATCCAGATGATGCCCGAGGGAATGGCACTGAATAGCAAACGATTTGAAAGCGCCGAGAAAGGCACCGATGGACGCTGGAAGATCAAATTCGTTGATGGCTCGACTGCAACGGCGGATGCGGTCATCGGCTGTGATGGAATCAAGTCTTCGGTTAGAAGGTGGATGTACGGCGAGGACCATCCTTGCACGGCTCCGACGTACACATATAAGTACGCCTACCGAGCGTTGATCCCGATGGAGGACGCCATCGGTGCTATTGGTGAGGAGAGGGCTATGAACTGCACCATGCTAGTAAGACCGTTCCGACATACTGAATGACCGAATGTAAAGGAAAACAAGCTGATCGTGTTTTGTAGATGGGGCCCGGTGCCCACGTTCTGACCTTCCCAGTCGACCATGGTCGTATCTGCAATATGGTCGCCTTTGTCACTTCGAAAGACGACTGGCCCGACCACCACAAATTGACAAGATCAGCGCATCATTCTGATGCACAACGAGACTTCCAAGGTTTCAGCCGTGACGTGCACAAGCTCCTGGCATTGGTCAAGGATGATCTGGATGTGGTAAGACCCTCACGCCACCTAGCTTTCCGTTTGACGCTTTCTGACACGGACATCCCGCAGTGGGCCATCTTCCACCTCGGCGACAACCCATTGCCGCATTACAACAAGTCCAGCGTAGTCTTGGTCGGCGACGCCGCGCACGCGACTTCGCCGCATCACGGAGCTGGCGCCGGCATGTGTGTCGAGGACAGTGCCGTGCTGGCCGAGTTACTCGCCCTGCCCGAGGTCCGAGATGCGCGAAGCATCGAGAAGGCCTTCGCCGTATATAACGAAGTACGCCGCGAACGAGACAACTTCGTGGTGCAAAGCAGCGCTCACCAGGGCGAAGCCTATGAGTTTCTTGCTCCAGGGATCGGTAAAGACTTTGACAGGATTAAGAAGGAGATGATGACGAGGAATGCTCGAATCACTGATGTTGACATCCGGAAGATTTGTGACGATGCAAGAGATGCGCTGCGGGCAAAGTTGGGGGAGGCATGAGCGTGAGTAGTTGTGCTTGTGGACGAAATTCACGCGGATCCGAATTCGAATTTCGACGAGGTGTAGATAACGGACCACGATGATGAAGGCATTATTGGAATCGATGACACTCATCAGAGTTGAAACAACACAGTGATACAAGCGAAGAATGTAATCTTTGTAGAACAATAAACCATACAGAACCGAATCGGACCGCTCTTGCCCTTCCTTCCCCATAAACAAAACAATACCCGGCCCCTGAATCACCAGTGGACACCCATATGTGCAAATGTCCTACTCATTCCCCATGAGAAAAGCAAAAGTGGAGACAAAAAGACCCTATTTCCAGCCCGAGTCCAAGAAGAACCAGTCCACCATCCTCTGCCGGAGGGAAAAAATGGCAAAAAGCAAGAATGTCGTCAGTGGGAAAAAAGCCAAACTCGATACAGTACATGGCAGCCAATCGGATCCTTCAGAAAATGCCGTGATGTGAAATACCAGAAAGATCCCATTCCTCGGGGAAAAGAGTAGAATGGTCGTCTTGTCAAAATTGAAATATGCATCGCGACTCTGCGCAATGCGGTGTATCGAAGAGGGGGTATTCTTCCGACCTTTTAATCATTTGTACCCTTTTTCTTCCCTTGTTCTCTCGTCAACGCTATCGTCAACTGATGGGAAGTAAAAGCCGACGGGCCGGGCGCCAATTTTCGTCATACAAGACGCGAATACGGCTCCCAATTCCGATGATTTTTCGATGGTATTCAATTGTATTCCGGAGGATAATAGACGTTGTTCCAGACGACGCCCGTTGGACTCGATAGTGAAAAGTCTGTTGTTGCTGACCCCGGCGACGTTGTTGGCGGTGGTGCGAACGGCGAAGAGACTTGCCCAGGACAGTCACTGGATCGACGCGGTTGTTGATAGCCTGTGTGTTGGAAATTCTGATGAGGCATCTGAGCCGAATCTACGAAAATTTGTCAGCACAATGAAGTCATCGTGATAAATCATTGACACTTTTGTGTCTTCGGACAGACGTACAACTTTGAGGTAAGATGGCACCTTCAACTCCATGGTATTGCATGTTCAGGGCTTGAGGGGATTGCATAGAGTAATCTTGATTAAGCTGCGATTGAGGAGCCATGCTGTACCAGTAGGCACTTCCAGTAGGACCCATTGGTTGATTCAAAGCGGAGTTTCCCTGTGGAATGTTGACGGGGCTTGTCGATGGATGCATGGTCGTGGCATCGATAGCGACTCCCCGACTTCCGGTTGGAAATGAGGACTGCATCGGGCTATCTTGTGGTCGACTTATGCTGAGACCATATGCTGGGATTGCAAGTAGGTTGATATTCGATGGACGTGGAGGTTGTCCGTGCGTCGACCTCATTTGATAGCCGAGCGTAGTGTTTGTCGGAATGTTACTGATGTACGATTGATCGTACGATCCGAGTCTGGGAAAGTCGGCGTTGGTAGAGTTGCCTCCTCCGGATGCGTTCGGTGTCGTGTAGAAATTTGCAAGTCCTGATGTATCCGAGGGACCTCCAGCAGACGCATCTAGTATCGTTTTGGGATCGACCGCAGCAGGCAACTCCCGTGATCTCATGACTCGCTCCTGATCTTCGACAGTAAGGCGCTTAAGCTTCGCTCTCCTGAATTGACAGCGTCAGAGCTGTTGATCTCAAAATATAGACTGTCGGCACTACTACTTCGCAGGAGTCATACCTGTTCTGAAACCATACTTGAACCTGACGAGGGCTGAGGCCTGGTATCTCTTGAGAGAGTCGCTCGCGGTGTGCGGCATCGGGATGAGGTTGTCTCGCAAACTCGTTCATCATGAACCGGGTCTGATTGTGGGTGAGTCTACCAACGGTCAGTGGTCGCATTTCCATACTCTCGAAGAAGCCATACTCACCGAAATCTCTTCATTCTTCTTTTGCGAGACAATCGTTCGGCTGGCGATAATTGCGATTCGTCAATACCGTCATCCTGGTCCTCGAGACTTTCAATTGATTCGTCTTCATCGAGGATACTGTGATGAGACGACCCAGGAGATAGCTGTTCGTGCTGATGTCCGGGAGCTGATCCATGCTGTGGCACCTGGAAGCCCCTCGGACCACTGTGCCGAGCATATTGATGATAGTCGAAATGCTCCGAATCATAAGCCTGAGCATGCGGAGGATTGTAGCCGTATGACAAAGTCGCAGGTACCGATGGCATCTGAATCGGCCCCGATGAATATCCATTACCCTCCCGGGCCTTTGCATAGAATGATTCAGGAGACATGGGTGGTGAAGGCGGTATGCGCTGCATGGAACACGAGTGCGAGTTCCGAAATCGGGATCAAAGTATAGCGGAAGCGGGACTTTAATCAGAGTATTCCAGATGTCCGAAGGTACCTTTTCGACCGAGAGGGTGTCTGCACTCTATCCAGATCTCCTATTGACGGTTGCTGGGCATTGGCAAAGTGTCCTCTCCCTGCTGAATGAACAGACGCGTATCGTCGTGTGTTGTATAAGATGCGTCGTACCGTCCTAAAAAAAGAATTCGTTCAGCGTATATGGCGTTTCGAAGATGCTGAAATGGTTGCGTTGTTTGCGGTCCGGGATCCCAGAGTCTTTTCAAAGTCTTATCGTTGCGAATCAATACCTCACAACAATGTAAATCGAAATCATGCAAGGGGATGTCCAGGGTGCAGACATATCCACGACAGCTGAGTGCAAAGACTAGTAGGGGCGCGTAAATGGTCCGGTCGACGACACCTTCCCCACCAGCAATATGCAAGGTGTGGAGGCAGGACACAGCCAGCCCAACTACTCAATAGACAACCAAGTATCATTTGTCATGTCATTGGTCCGGAGACATCGGGCAAGCCCTTAAGAGCACGTTGATAGCCCACCATCTCATTTGGTGGGTCTCGAGGGTAGGAAGACGTGTGGGTATGAAACTTGCCCATGAGCGGGAATTACGGGATTTCCATTTATCCGGATGGGGACTGGGAGCACCAGAGTCGCAGACGGTAGTGCTGCTGGCAATGTGCAGCGAGCTCTCTAGGAAGTCCGCCCGATACGTGGAGAGAATAGCAAGCTACGGACTCGGTCGAGGCCGTCGCGGCAGAGGACGGTGTATGCAAACTAACATGATGCAAACATCAATGTGGCGTTAAATAGCTTGAGCTCGGTCAACATCAGGATCGCCCAAGTCACATTCTCATAGCGGCCATTAGACGTTCAGCACGAAGATGCGCTCTAGCCCTGATTGACCAATGCAATCAAGGCGAGTTATGGCAGAGCTCGATCAGCTTGGTGGGTATCGATGGCTCTCGTCTGGCGTTCAAAACAAGCTCTGCGTACGAGATGGTTCGCTTAGAGACGCTCAACATGCTATTGGGTCGGTCGTGGAGATCCTTGGTAAGTACGACGACCAAGCGAAATTCGGTGTCGACGCGTGGCTACTAAAACCAACTTCCGACAGCAGGGTACACTAAAGAAATAGACTCTGAGAGTTCGCTAGAGTCGACAGGGATCATTCGAGGTGTTGGCCGGAGCGATCGTCCGGGCGTCCTCAAACAGAAACCAAGACATACGGCACGTCCAGCCAAGAGGTACAGTGCAATCGTATGGCGATCCTCATTGGGGGTGCCAATAGAGTTGGAAATGAGTGCCGGCTTGTCGATCATGTATCCTGTAATGAGCCGAAGTGAGGGTTTTCCCCATCCGATGGCAACCAGCGAGCCAGATCCAATATGGCCTGCGGAGATGGGACGGCGACTCGGAGGGAGCGACCAATCTATAATTGCTGGCCTGACCTAACGCTGATCAGGAATGGAGGATACGGGCCATCTTCACTGTGATGACACCATAGGTTGGTTCGTATCAAAACGGCGTGATGTTGGCATTGGTAGGGATGAGGAGGTCAGACCCCTTTGCTCCATTCGGTCTCGGTTCCTAGCTCTCTTGTCGGTGATGGTCTCAGCATAGGCGCGGAACTGGCCAAGCATCGACGGGCTTTTTTCCCATCAAATATTCGCAGCGAATGACGACTGTATCTAGAAGCGTTCATGCTCAGAGGGCTTAGCGGCGGTCAACCGTTGGGTTTATCGAGAATAGGAGCTAGCGGGCCGACTCCCACGAAAAAGGTGAACGCCTCTCCGGAGGTTCAAGGATTGTCGCCCTCCATCTCCGTTTACTTGCTTTTTTGTGTGCTCATGTCTTGCGGCGTATTGCTGAATCGAGTATCGTGAGTGGTGCGATGTCTCAAACATTTGAGAGCTTCGGTTCCTGCACGTGCAGACGGACGTGCGGCTGAGCTTTCGGCTGTCCCCTTTTTGTCTTGGCCTCTACTGGTATTATGCTTTCCAGGGATTGGGCCACCTAGGTAGCCGTTGGATGTGATTAGCACCACTCGAAGTCTTCTCCCTCACAAATCGTGCAATGCTCCCATGCACAGTTGCCGAACATCTCAACCTTTGCATGTGATGATTCACGATGCGGGTGCCATGCGACACGCCGAACTGCCAAACCCCGCAAAATCTCCACCTTTTTCCGATTTAGGGACGGTGGGACGTCAACGTTCCCAGTGGTCGATGGCGGTGGAAAATTTACTCCACACCGCAGTTTATCGATCGCTAGACCCAACGGTCCCTCCGTCGACTGTAGCGATTGGTGCCTTATTCGGATCGCCTAGTTTTTGATTCTTCGAACCCATGTCCCACGGACTTTGCCGGGCATAGAAATAGATTGCTTATATGCACGTCTAACAACGCTGATATTGATGATGATGCTGCTGCTGAACAACCAGCAAACTTGGAAGCACTCACACTCCACGACGTCAGAGCGGTGTGGCAGTGGCTCATGCAGCGGTTAAGAAGCGCATCGAGAGATCTTATGCTTTTTCGTGGTGCGGAAGAAGGCCCATCTTCTGGACTAGGCGATGGTACCGGCACTTGCGATCGAATGTCTCTTTGAACATGCACCGATACATTTAGCAGAGCACCGCGCGACAGGAACAATACCGTCAATAGATATGACTGGTTATGTCCCGGGCTTTCGTATTTCCGTGTAGAGTCACCCCTTCGCTTGGATCTGACGGCAAGATTCATGTTTTGATTATCGAATGTGCCTCTTGTCAAGCGAATACAGGGAGAATGTCATTCCAACCCTCAGCATGAACGTGCGCTTGCACTGCCACAGTTTATCGTACGCTAGATCAATGCAGGAGTCGCTGATAATCATGAGCAGACGAGATCTGTTGCGTCAGTGATATACTGCAACGCTTGTATTGCTTTCCTATGTAGCGAGAGAAGCAGGCTACTGCATTGTCATCGGAGCGGAACTATTTGTAATCTAATTCGATGTTGGCAGATCAGGACGGCCATGCCCGCTAGAAGATCGGCGTACGCCTGATCGTGAAAAGCAAATGCGTTGCAATGTACGTTGTCCACGACTTGAAGGCGAGTCCCTTGTTGCGCATCATTGACGTACATCGGTGGAAATACTGATCAAAGCATCTTATATGGCTGTTTTGCGCAAGGCGCTCAATATTGCCGTTAGAGTGCTTTTTCGATCTGGATCTCTTGATGGGCATCTGGATTGGTGGCAAAGACCCACGCACGAAAAGGAGTGGGTGTACTGCTAATTGCTGGTGGTGTGATACATATCTGAACATGTGGCTAGTGGTGGTCCAATTGATGGCTGAGAAGCAAACCCCCTCAACCACCGTAGTCCTGGGCTATTCGACGGCATGACCTTCCGCTGCGGCCAAGTCGGGTCCAACCTCATCCACGCTACGATCTGCAGATGATTCATCGCGCTGAGGCTCCTTCGGTCTGATCGCAGTCTCCAGGTCAAAGTCCTTGGTGGAGTCCACTCTATCTAAAAGTGCCAGATCTGTTGCTCGTACCGTTCGTAATGCCCGCCATCTCTTGTTTGCAATGCTGGTCTGATAACGGGCCAGTTCTGCATCATCGGCCATCTCAGCATCCAGCTGATCCATTTTTATCCCCTCAGTCAGCGTCTGGATACTTGGCGACTCGTACCTCGTATGTAATGCGAGTGACTGAATGTCCCCAGTGCTCTTTTCATCGAGGAAACCTAAATTGAGTCCACCGCCAGATCTTTCAGGCATACGTCGTGGGCGCGTAATATCCTGTGCACCCTTACGCGCCGCCATTTCGAGGTCGGTGGACACGGGCGGCCTCACAATAGATGGACAGCTCTCCATCTTCCATCGGATCCAATTCTTGTCCCTGGCAAGCACGGTCTCGATCATTCGACAATACTCACGACCGTCTCGTGTCGATCCAAGATAGGTCGTGATTGTCCCTCTTGTTGACGTGGCCCATTTCGCATCTTCATCACTGAGGGTGTAGGCATAGAGTAATGATTTGTTCTGGAAATTGAGCGAATCTCGCTTCTTCTTCGCCATTTCCGTTAGGGAAAGTAGGAAATCAATCAAGATGAGAGCCTGCACAAGAATATGCCGTTGAAAAGCGAGATCGCTAAGCTCAAGGTGAAAAAGGTCACGACTGGTCAGATATTTAGGGTTGTAATTGTCAATGAGGCCATCGTCGTCCTGGTCCATTGAAGCATCTTCGCCAGATTCCCGCTTCGCTCTGTGATGGTCAGTGTCAAGCACTTTAGCCTGTACCACAGTCGGGGACTTTTTGAATTTTGCAATGGTGCTTGAGAGACCCTGCTTGAAGGCTGAAAAGTTTGCACCTTCATACAGTCGAGTTGGATTGGAGAAGTCATGTTGTAGTCGCCAGAAGATCGGATAAAGCTCATGATTTGGTAGTGTCCGCTCGTCCTTTTTGCCACCTTGATCCTTTGTATTCGTGGACTTATTGCTTGATTTTGAAGGATCTGATGTGGTGCCATCTTCTGGTCTCTGTGAGGCATTGTCGACATCCATGCCGTCGTCGCCATCATGAGCTGCAGCCAGTCCCTGCTCATCGAAGTTCGTGGTATTGTCTGTGTGAAATTCTCCTCTCAGATTGACCGAGCTTTTGTCTCCCAAAGGAAACGTCTGGAACAGGAAAAAGAAGACCCGACCGCAGAAAATCGCGTCCTCAGCGCGGCTTAATCGTCTCAACAGTTCATTGCAGGACCGCAAGAAAACAAGGTTCTTTTTGTGAAAGTCCTTCTGGGCGAGTCTCTCGCGACGAAGTTCTAAGTAATCAAAGACATTGCGACACCCATACGTGGTTTGACTGTCAAGAAGTTCTTCGAGCAGCCAGCAGACCAACTCTGGTGTACACATGCCATGATCGCCACAGATCAAGATGATATCCAGTAAATTCCAGACGGTCACGAATTTGGGATCATCGATGTCGGTTGTGCTGATGAGCTCATAGAAGACATCTCTCGTTGCTGTCTCGACCAAGCTGAACCGGTAGACCTGATCAAAGTCTTGTGGTAAATCATCATGTAAGCTCGCGATCGGGCCGAGAAATTCATCAACGTGCAGTGGAGGCTCGATCGTTGTCTGTGGCTTGCTGACTGCAGCGTTCTGGAGAAGACCGTGAAGTTTCGTAGTAATGCCAGCGACTGCACTGAGTTCTTTGGCGGAGGTCACCGCCATCGTAAAAGATTACGCTGCAGGTTACTGGCTATCCGACTCACTGCTGTACTTCATGAGCACTCTGTGTGGATATTGAACATTTCTTGGTGGTATACAACGATATTGCACAATTTCTAGATGTCGCAGGATCCATAGACAGCCCAATATGAAGCTTGTAGATGCATGTTGGAAGAGACGTCCAGTCCCCATTTCACGAACGGCCCGCACCGCAATTTCGCTCCATCGACGCGACCAAGTCGCGTCTCCCATCACGACGACGTTGTTAACCCCCACTGCCCTGACCAAAATACATCTTGTGAGCACTGAGACATATTGTAATTATTCTCGAAACCGGCCGGAGATTCAGGAACAAATCAAATCAAGAAGCATACTTCAGGGAAAAAGGTCATGGCATCTGTGGCTGCGCCTGTCGCCCCTACCAATGGCCGCGACGAACTGGACAGGATTATAGACTACGAGGACACGGTTCAAGATTTCATGAAAGATCTGCCACTACCAGAGAATCCAAATGTCGGAGCGAACGGGGGACCTCAACGGGAGACTCGCGATGAGGATCAAGAAATCCAGATCAAACGCAAAAGGAATCCAATACCAAAACTAGACGAGGACCGGTTAGTAGTCTCTTCGTCTTCACGTGGACGTGGAAGTCATGTTGGCAAGGCGAGCTGACGAACAATTCCAGGTTGTTGTCGGATGCGGGTATTCCAAAGCTACGCAAGATTGCAAAGACAAGGCTCAAGTTCCGCGGCAAGGGCCATGAATTCTCCGATATGTCGAGACTGCTCAACACATATCAAATCTGGCTAGACGATTTGTATCCTCGAGCCAAGTTTCGCGATGCTCTCACAATGGTAGAGAAGGTCGGACATTCGAAAAGAATGCAGATCACAAGAAGAGCGTGGCTCGACGAGACAAAACCATTCCAGAAAGAGCCAAGTCCGGACCCGACTTTGTCAAATTCCAATGGTCCCGAAGTGTCTCGTGGGGATGTCGGAGATGAATATTTATTCGCCGAAATGATGGCGGAAAACAATGCAGAGCAAGGATCTCGCTCTAAGGACAGTACCGGAGACACGAATCCTCCTGCAGTGTCCGCCGCGCCCCGGGAATTCTCTCAGAACAACGACGAGCCTGATGAAGATGAGCTTGATCAGCTGCTTGCAGAACAATCAAACACCGGAGAGGTTCAACCTCGGCCCACACAGGCTCGACGCGGCCCGTTTATGGACGACACAGAGGACGAAGAAGATGATCTGGATGCGCTCCTGGCAGAACAGGGTCAAGTACCAACAGCAATGCCGTCACGACCATCGACTTCAAAGCCACAGCAGCATGATGACTTTGCAGCCGAAGAAGAAGCCATGGCAGGCATGGAGGATATGTGGTAAAGGGTATAGTGATTATGCAACAACAGACACACAGGAACACTCCGGGTGAAGGCTGGTCCGAGAAGAAGCTACTCAATTTCCATGGCTCAACAAAAAGCACGGGTAATTCCAACCCCACGGCAAATCAACAAACTGCATCCTTTGTGTCAAGCCAGCGAACACAGATCCTCCTCGCTCTCCGCTCGCAAGAATTCATCACAATCGAAAGTTTTGTGCCACCTGCGTCTCCGCGGATAATTCCTCTGTCGTTGTCGAGGCATTCCAGCACTTCTCGCCAGAAAGGCCCGCGACAGATCCATCAGGAAACGGACATGGTTGCACTCGATATCCTCAGGGACCCATTTCTCCGCGCCAAAATCCAGGTACATATCAATGATGAATTGGCGCGCAGGCGAATCGCTCGGGGTGCCGTTGTACAAAGCCATGACTGCAGAATGACTTGGAAACGTCCTCGTACCGTCCTCGGCAACATCATCTGTCTTGGCGACCATGGCATCGAGGACGCTATCACAAAACGCATCCGCCTGGATTCTGTCGCCGAAGGAGTACAATCTGGCCAGGAATTGATACTCGCCATCGTCCAACGGCAAAGCCGGTGGCGCGAGGGGTTTCGATGCGACCTTTCCAAAGTACGACCAATCCACGTACGCGGCGACGACTTCGACATCGTCGTCGGGGAGCTCCAAACTTCGGATCTCTCCCTCGCGCCAGTTCTTCTCCAGGGCTTTGCGGAAGAACGGGGAGTGTCTGCGGAGAACGGCTTCGTGGACGGCGAAATCTTGCGATGCGCTTCCGGAGCCGACGTGTAACATGACGATTCGATTGTCGATTGTGCTATGTCATCTGCATTAGTTGATGAATCATGAAATTCGCGAGTTCAATGCAAACGACAGGAGATTAGTGAGGTTTTCCATACTGTGCCCTCCGGACGATTCTGGTGCTACTGCAATCGCACATGTTCTCTCATCCCCCTTCGTTCCGTTGTCTTCTGTTTTCCTTCTTCGGACAATTTCCAAAATAACAAACGAGGAAAGAATTAATTTTCCGTGAAGAAAACTCAAAAAGACAATCTTCACCTAAGCGTCGAGTTTCCTGCACGATATCTAAAGACAGTGTTCACTTGCTACACAATGATGCCATCGTCTGTGTACATTTTCTATTTCTGATCCGGCGTCTTTCGTGAAATCGTGGTCTCATCCACGTGCGATGGGACAGCACGAGACTCTACCTATGTACATATTGTCTTGCTGTGCCACGGCCGTCGCATGGTCGTGTGATGACGAGAAGCCTTCTTCCAGCAATTCAAATGCCCTCCCGTGGTGGTCGTATTCCCGCCAAAACAACATGACACTGTCTCGAATGCTCTCCGTCGAACAACGTGTCAGCACCTCTCCGAGCAGCCAACTAATCATTCCCATACGCGTCCGCCGGCTACGCACCCTGATCGCGAGGGACTCGGCGCCTTGCTCCGCCTCTCGGCCTGCGTGCCATATCACTTCCGCTCTGCTCGTCGCTCCGCCGGACAGATTAAAATGCATCCCAGCGATCCGGGTCTCGAAGATCCCGCGAATCCACACCATCGTCAATCCAACCTGGTAAAAATCTTCCCAACACACATCCGCCTGCCCGTTCCAGTGGCACCATCTCGCCCGCTCTAGAATCTCTAGCAGCCTGTGCTTACTGAGACAACCGTTCCAGCGGAAACACACCTCACCGTCCCATCCAGCCAGCCGTCCAGCGAAAGGATCCCCAAGGTTTGCAACCTCACACACCATTCACGATCCCCTCCACACGCTATCACCGTCAATGTGTGTGTGACTGAGGAAAAAGTGTGGGTGTGGAGGTGAGACATGGAGTGAGACAAGGAAACACCCCAGCCCCAGGTTCAACCCTAGGGCAGATCTCCCCCCAGGGCTGCCACCACCACCCCCGATTATCCATCTACGCCGCCGGGGAGAAAGGATCGCGCCAACGAAGCGACGCGACGAGCCAGTACAAACCTTAGAAGCGAGCCCTGGAGGAAGAGCGTCAATGACGGCGAAGGTTAGGGCATCGTATCTGTTGACAATAAGCCTAATCCATAACAAATCGCGAATGTTACATGTCAACAAGACGGAAATTGGCGGTGACAAATCGAGCCGGAAGATCTTCGACAGGAATTGAGAGAGGGAGAGAGAGAGAGGGAGAGAGAAAGGGACATCATCGTGACGCAGAGAGGATTCATTATCGTGGAAGAGGGAGAAACCATGTCATATTGATCACCACAGAGCCCTGTGCGATGATTCGCCCAGGAGAAGCACACGAGAGCACCAGAAAAGCCTCTACTTCCACAGCTTGCTCAGACTCATCTCCTTGTCGTTCTGGCGGTTCAGGACCTTCGCCGTCGCGAGGTCGAAATCCTCCTGAGTGACGTGCACACGGCGTTCACGGAGCGCATACATGCCAGCTTCGGTACAGACACCCTTGAGCTCGGCCCCGGAGCACCCGTTCATCTTCTCCGCGATTTTCGTGAGGTTGATGCCGCGGGTGAGGTTCATAGATCGGGAGTGGATGCGGAGGATGTCAGCGCGGGCCTCGGTGGTGGGCGGGGGGAATTCGATTTTGCGGTCGATGCGACCGGGGCGGAGGAGGGCCGGGTCGAGGATGTCGAGACGGTTGGTCGCCATGATGATTTTGATGTTCTTCGTCGGCTCGAAGCCGTCGAGTTGGTTGAGCAGTTCTAACATTGTGCGTTGCACCTCGCTGTCGCCGCCGGAACTTCCCTCCACTCGGGAGGACCCGATCGAGTCGATTTCGTCCATGAAGATGATGCTGGGGGCGTGCTCGCGCGCCATCACGAAGAGCTCGCGGACCATGCGGGAGCCTTCGCCGATGTATTTCTGCACGAGTTCGGACCCGGAGACTCGGATGAATTTGCAGTCGGTGTGGTGGGCGACGGCTCGGGCGAGGAGAGTTTTGCCGGTTCCTGGAGGTCCGTAGAGGAGGACACCTTTTGGTTGCGCGATGCCGAGTGATTCGAATAGTTCGGGGTGCTTCAGCCCGAGTTCAATGACCTCTTTGATTTGTTTGATCTGCTCGTCTAGTCCTCCGATCATGTCGTATGTGCTGTCGGGAACCTTTTCGACCATCATGAGCGACACCAGCGGATCGACCGAAGATGGCAGTAACGATGAGAGTTTGTAAGAATCCGATAGTAGTGTGACTCGCTTGCCAGCGGTCAATTTGGAAATGTCGATGTTGTCCGCCACATCCACCACTAATCCACCTGATTAGCTTCACTTGCTCTTCAATTATTACATCTCCACGCCTTACCATATTTGCCCTCCGGATGTACCTTGACCAACACCTTTTTCGTTCCCATGACTTTGACCACCTCACCGACATAGCTTCCGGGTTGCTGTAGCAGACCCAACTCCTCCCTTAATAATCGCACTCGGCTGTTATATTCGTTTCGCTGTGCTTCTAATCGTCGCAACACTGCCTGCCCTTGGATGATCTCGAGCTTCATACTCTCGATCTTGTTGTGGAAGAAAGTGTCGAGCGCCATGGTGGCGGATGCGGTGATGTCAAGCCGGTGGTCTACAGATGTGATCTATGATGATTCGGAGGTGAATTGCTGAGCACACTGGCGATCAAGGTGCGGAACCGACCGAGGAAGGACTGGTGACTTCGAGGTTGGGATGTGTTGTACAGGCGCGGGTTGACTGGAGGAGTATGTCGGTTGTTTCAATACAATGATCCGAGAACAGCTCTACGTGTGAGGATACCTAGACGATGACACAGGCACGCGATGGCGTCGATGCTGCTAGATGCCAAGCCCTATGTTTAATCCTATGGCATACCGTACAGGATTGGACGTGATGTGGTGCTGCGTCGCGGTATGCCGTAGCTGACGGACTGCGAGATCCTACCAACGTGAAACAATCCGCCGCGCACACACGCCACGCACGCACACCTGCATGCATTTCACGGTGACAGTAAGGCATTATCTGCTCTTGATCTGACTTATAACTTTGGCACCTTCGTCAGTTGAGATCTATTGCTCTTCCCGCTAATTGCGTCGCCCGAGTCCGAGGGCGCATATCCGATCACTGCCGATGGAGGTAGACGTTCCCGATCGACGTTCACTGATGAGATTAATCGATACCCGTAAGAAGCTTGGAATGCTGGACAGGCTATACGGTAGGATCATGCAGCGCTCAATATATAGCTAATCACACGGATGGTTTATGATTCTTCGGCCCCCTGTTGGACAGTCGTCGTTGATGCCAATATCGAGACTGGTCACGAAGCGTATGAGTGGTTCAGCGTGATGGACAACGAGCATCATCATCGATACTCACCACCTGGGCATGTGGGGAATTCGCGATCACGTCTCGATGATCCAGGACGATTCGAGACGTCAGCTGCTCAGCCAAAACGTACTACTACATACCTAGGTATGTATGTAGCCCGACCCATTGCGGATTCGTCAGCGCTACAGATCCTGCCTGGCACTAGGAGGGGAATCGGCAGGCGGAGCATTGCCAAACCCTGGAGGGTTTATTTCCAAAATGTCCTAGTGTCGATAATGACATGTTTGTTGATGGATGTCTTCACGCACGTGGTTTGTCCATCGACTTGTAGGGAAATGGTAGATGTCGTCTTGTCAGTCTGGACTGGAATTATATAGAACAAAGACACGCTCGTGGTAGTGTATCGGGCTGCGTTGGACCTCAGCACGACATCGTCACGGTCATTATATTTTTCTCAGCTGTATGATTCACGCCGCCTTTGCAAAGAACTAGAGGTCGGTGGTTGGATCATCATCGCGCATGAGCATCCCGCCAAGATCCCCATCAATTTGGCGCCTGAAGATCCGCCCAACGTCACGGCGCAGGTTGGCCGACGGCCACGGCTCTTCCCCCAGCACGCGCGAGAGCTACACCGACGGCCTAGATCACTACTACTGCACATCACTGCAGCGGTGTCCGTGTATCTCCGCTGTACAACACAGTAATCCTCCGCAGAAATTCGTCTTGAAACCTAGAGAGCAATTGAGGGTTTGGACCGTGAAGCTGCTGCACCGTTGCCAAGGCCCGGACTACTGCAGTGTTGGACCGCCTTTCGAACGCTCCGGGGGTCGCTATGGCCAACGCGCAGCATGATGGTGAATCGCCGGCCACTATCAACACCGCATCAGTACCAATCTCTGGTCAGCAATCCGCCATATCCGCAGCTACAACTGCTACCTATGACTTTGCCAATACAACGACCACGACGCCCTCTACTACGAGGCGAACATCAATTGCCTCCGTCGGGATGAGTAATGAGAACAGCTCCAGCTCACAGCCTCAGCCGCCATCCGATGGTGCTGCTGCTTCGTCGACAACGGCTTCGGCCAGCATGCTGTCCAGCCAGGTGAGCGAGGGCACCGCACGTCGACCACGGATCAAGGACTATGGTGAGACAACCCGTTTGACAAACAATATTCTCCGAAAATTTTCAACTATAGCCACTGACTTTACCGTCCTCGTCTTGTTCTTGTTGCAGGCAGTACTTCATCATCAGTACGACCCACTGGTGCACCACCAGTAACCCCGAAGGCACCACCAGTAACCCCGAAGGCACCACAACGACCAGGCACTATCAAACGACAGAGTTCGTCGGCTGCACCCCACCGTGGCGCCAAATTCTCCGTGGATGACGATGCGGATGAGGTGGATGAGGACCTCCGTTCCGCTCGGCGAGAGTCCCGATCAGAGACTGGTCGCGAACGCGAGAGACCCATACGCCGACGAGAAAGCACACTTCGAAGGCGGCCGACCGTCCCTCAATTGCCAGTGGTTCCTGCAGTGGAGGGTGAGGACGCTGAGGATATGGGAGCATCCGTAACGGGAACAGATTTCACGACCACCCGAGCATCAGCCGAACCAGACGTGTTGGAACGTCCGGGAGAGAGTATGTCGAAGAAGAACTTGGACGAGGACGAGGAGGAAGCTGAAGAGGAAGTGGAGACGCCTTCACCTGACGAGGATGATGCCGAGATCAGCGACACGGAGAGCTTCACTTTGAAGGATAGACAAGAGGCGATCAACGAGACACATCCTTTCGGTATCAGGATATGGAAGCCGGCGCTTTACAAGAAGAATCGATCGGTCACTCGAACGGCTGAGGGAGATATTCACAGCGCGCCTGGTGGCAACGTCAGTCGCTGGCTTTGGCTCTTCAACGGACTGTGGACCATAATCTTTGGATGGTGGCTCTCTTTGGTCGCCGCCATCGCTGGACTTGCATGCTTAATCCTGGGCGTCTTCCGAATGAGTAACGACTCTGGCTCTTGGGAATACGGTCGGGTACTACTCAACCTTTCACATTACCTGTTATATCCGTTCGGCAAGTATGTTCGCCTCGAGCGAGAGGAAGCTTACATGGACGAAGACGAAGGGCTGGGTCGAGATCTCAGCGAGTATGAGAGATGGCAGGCCGGCGACCTTGAAGAAGGCCGATTGTTCTTTGGTCCCACTGATGTCCATCGCTCCCTCGTTGGACGCCGGAGGGACGAAGAGCCCGATCTGGAGGATAACGAAACGACCAGCTTGCTGGGTCGACAACAGCGATCGGGATCAGTCACGCCACAAACCAAAGCTCGAGCGAAAAAGCGATTATTCGGCCGTGGCAAGTGGGGATTGGGACGAGTGGTATTCTTCCTCTTGTTCTACATCTTCATTGCGCCCTGCCTTTTCCTGGTCAGCGGACTCTGCTGGTTCATGGTGTTCACAATACCTATGGGCAAAGTCACTCTGCTGCTGGTCTATCATCTGCAGCGCCACCCACTGGCCTTGAGCTTTCACACTGACAGCCACTATTCGAGAGAAAGTGCTCAACCTCGTGGCAGCAGCGATAGTGTCATTCTGCTTTGTACATACCGTGCAGTTGGGTTGAAGTACTGGAAGTACACGATCGACGGCACCAATATTTTCCTCATCAACCTGTTGGGACTGGTCGTCTTCACCATCTTTGACTACTTCGTCCTGAGCAGTGCACTCCATGTCGATGCATGGGTCACCTCCGACGGATTCGTTTTCGTTCTGGCATTGGCATCCATCATTCCGCTCGCTTATTTCATCGGACAAGCTGTCGCATCCATTTCAGCGCAGTCATCTATGGGAGTCGGTGCCACTATCAATGCCTTTTTCAGCACCATCGTGGAAGTATTCCTCTACTGCGTGGCACTCCATCAAGGGAAAGCGCAATTGGTTGAAGGAAGCATCATTGGGTCCATCTTTGCTGGTATTCTCTTCCTCCCGGGCCTTTCTATGTGCTTTGGTGCACTCAAGAGAAAGACACAGCGATTCAACGTCAAGTCTGCCAGTGTCACCTCGACCTTGCTGCTGTTTGCCACCATCGCCCTGTTCGGTCCCACCTTGTTCTATCAAATCTACGGCTCTCATGTGCTCAATTGTCGACAATGCACCACGTTTCATCCCCATCCCACCGAAACCGAACGCGATTGCCGACGCTGTTACTTCACCCAGACGCCTGAGATCAACGACAAATTCTTCAAAGAAGCGCTTCAGCCTTACATCTGGTTCGCCGCGCTCTGTCTCTTCCTCTCTTACGTCGTGGGCTTGTTGTTCACACTTCGCACTCACGCTGCTGTCATCTGGAACAATGAGCCCGATGAGAAGAAGGAGCCTCGCGACCTCTCGGTCCCACAGCATCACAACCTTTCCTTGTCCGCCGTGACCACCATGGATCCTACATTCCCTGCCCGTCACGAAACGATCGGTACTATCCGCCCGCAGGACATTCGAGACAGTCAAATGTACAAACGCGTACTCAATCAATCTCTGAAACAGGCTGGAATCCTTACTTCGCCTGTCAAAGCGGAGTCCGCCCCTGATGGCCCCAATAAGACCGATGGACAACAGCAGCCGCCCCATCTAGTCCCGCCAAAGAGCTCTTCTGGTGATGATGTTCTCGCCGCCAGTGGCGCCCGCGTACAAGGCCTCAGCCTGCAAGACAACCAAGCGCTCGTCCAACAAGTCGCCGAGATTGCCGCCACCGCCGCCACCGCCGCCGCTCGCGACGTCACTCGCATGTCCCGCCGCGCCAGTCTCCTCAGCAATAAAGCCCACCATCACGCCCGCTCCAACAGCAAAGACGCCAAAGCCACGACCCACGACGGCCACTCCGCCGAACACCCCACCCTCGCCGCCACCGGCCCCGCCGCGCACATTCCCGAAGAAGCCGCCGCGGGCGGCCACGACGCGCCCAACTGGTCGCGCACGAAATCGACCATCATCCTCCTCACCGCCACCGTCGCCTACGCCGTCATCGCGGAGATCCTGGTCGACACCGTCGACTCCGTGCTTGGTAGCATCGACATCGACGAGAAATTCCTCGGCATCACACTCTTCGCTCTGGTGCCCAACACGACGGAGTTCCTCAACGCCATCAGTTTCGCGATGAACGGCAACGTCGCCCTGTCGATGGAGATCGGGAGCTCGTACGCCCTGCAGGTCATCTTGCTCCAGACGCCGTGTCTGGTGTTATTCTCGGCGTTCTATGGGCCCGGATTCTGGCCGCCGAGGGATCTCATCGATCATGTCTTTCTGATGATTTTCCCGCAGTGGGACATGATCACGGTGATCCTGGCGGTCTTCCTGATGGGGTGGATCGTCAACGAGGGCAAGAGCAATTATTTCAAGGGCAGTATCTTGATCTTTACGTATCTGGTTGTGGTGGTCGGCTTTTGGTTCAGTGGGTATGGGGATGCTGAGGTGAGCTCTTTTCTTTTCTTTTCTTTCCCTCTTTTGGGTGTTTTCCCCATGATTGTTTTGGTGGACTTTACTGACGGTGCTTTCTTCAGATGATGGGCGTCGATCGCTTTGATACTCTCGCCCTTGGCCCGGAGATCCAGTCCTTCCGCACGATCGGTCAATCTACTCGTGGTCGCGCTTGGTGAGTGCGACAGAAAGCGATCCTGCAGAGGGAATTGGTGAGGTGAGGATTAGAGACGATTTGAATTTCGTCGCGCGTGGGAGGAATGTGAAGTGGCATTGTTACATTGGGCATTTTCGGCATGGATATTGGGGAGTTCCTTGGTGGGTTTCCTGCAATCGGGCGTATATTGTTTCAAGGGCTTAATTAATTTGGGGTTCCGGCGATCGGGTTTAGCTTTTAAGAGAAGAGTCGAGGTTGAAAGAGAGAGAGAGAGAACAATCGGAAATGACAAGAGCTGTGACTTGTAATATCCAAAGACTTATTAGAGTCGACTGATTGATTCCTGTTTGTTCTTACTACAGTCCTCGAATGCATGCTCCTCTAAAATGTTGGAGGGCAGGTGGAGTGGACGAGAACTCGCACGTGTCAAACGCCGCCGAGGGTCCTCTTTCGTGACCGAACCCCGTCCGAGCGTCATCGACTATCTAATCTTAACAATTAATTATTTCGCAGCCATCGCGAGATACTTCCTGACCCGGTGCTGTTCCATCAATACGACGAAGACATCGCACGGCTGTTATATCTGAGAGACCCATTAATTTATCTCACCATATTTCCGTCATCATGGGTTGGTTCTGGGCAGACACAACCTCCTCCTCAGCAGCGCCACACCCTATCCCTACAGGCAACGCCTCCAACTCGCCTCCTCCATCATGTCCGATGCATCAGAAGACAACAACACCATCAGCACCGCCACCATCAGCAATCCCACAAAATGAAGCACCATCATCACGACCGTCAGAACCCACGCCCTCCTACGTCTCCAAGTTGAACCCTCTCAACTACATGCCCACCCACATCTCCAACAAACGCGAATCCGACCACCAATCCGTCTCGCTCCCCCTCGAGCGCGAAGAATCCACCATCCCCCGCGGCGATGGCCAGGGCATGTGGGACTACCCTTCGCCGCAACAGATGTACAACGCCATGCTGCGCAAAGGCTACACAGACACGCCCGCCGAACACGTCGAGGCCATGGTGGCCGTGCACAACTTCCTAAACGAAGGCGCCTGGGAAGAGATCAAGGGATGGGAAGCGCGCTTCGCGACAGGGTTGAGCGATGGCTACCGCCGATGCTCCATGGGCGAAGAGAACACCCCGCGACAGCTCGCCATCGAAGCCCTCAAGAACCGCAAGGCCACCGTCGAGGAACCCACCCTCCTCCGCTTCCAAGGCCGACCCAACGACCCTACCCCCAAGGCGCGCATGCTAGGCTTCATGGCATGGCTCTATCCCTCTCAGTTCGCGAACAATCCACCCTTCGACCGCCACGACTGGTTCGTCCAGCGCCATCTCCCGAACGGCCAGACGAAACAGGTCCGCTACGTGATCGATTACTACTCCGGCCCGCCGGAACCTACCGGCGAGCCGGTCTTCTACTTGGACGTCCGGCCCGCGATCGATGGGCCTACGGGCGCCGCGGAGAGGATGGTCAGATGGGGAACGGACGTCTGGTGGAGAGCGAGTGGTGGGAGCGTGAGGGAGGAACTCGCGAGGGAGAAGGCGAGGCAGGCGAGTTGAGAGTTTCACTACAAACGACGACCTCTTGATCTTCCTCCCGGGATGGGATATCTTTGATCGTGCCTCTTTCCCCTCTCTTTCTTTGGGAAGATCCCTACTTTTCTGGAGAGTCGAGGAGTTCTTCGAGGCAAGCGCGATTCCTACGCTATAATGATGAATGAGTGAGGCGATGGATGGATTCTGTTGGCTTTTTCTTTTCTTGCACTGTTCGAATCTATGCATGTATATATCCTTCCCTGCTTTCTTGTCATCTAAATGTCCGATGTATTACTATTTAGACCTTCTTCTCTCCTCAACTCTTTGCGATATTATTGTCATCGCCCAATTCCAAACTCTCCCTCAAGCTTTCAAGCTTCCCTTCCCTCATCCATGCACGACGAGGCAAAAACTGGCGCCAGCTGCGCATGAAGCAAGCAAAGCCAGCGAGCAAGCCATGCGGGGACGGACGTGTCCCAGCCTGATTCGTCGGGGTGCGGGAATCCGAAGCCCACGCCCGCCCGCACGCGTCCGCCCACGGGAAAAGCGCATCTCGTCTCCCCTTCCAAGGCTCTAACATCGTCCTGAGATCCTTCGCCCGGCCGGTCGAGCCTGCAAGATGCGAGGCGCGTGGACGGGGCCGGATATGCACGAGGTTGTGTTACGCGGGCGCAGGGGATCCATGGCTTGCGATCCTCTGCTCTGCTCTGCTCTACTCTGCTATGCAGCGCTGCATGCATATATATAGATCTCGATGGCTCTCTCTCCCCCTCCCGCCTTGCGCGGTTGGCAGGACCCTCGCTTTGCGTGTGTGCGTGTGTCGGGCAGCGATCGAGCGTGCGCGAAGGATCCTGATACTTTTGGACTTGGACCTCACCTGACCTGACCTGTACTGAACTGAACCGAATCCGTGGGGAGGAGATAAGACGGCCTTTACTCCTCGTCATCGGCTCTATCATACGAACGAACTCCTTTCTTTGCTCTTTCCGGCGCGAGATCTGCGATACGAGATCTTATATCATTCGGATGTCATATTCGATCTTGTGAAAGGAGGGAGATACCTACCTGCGAAACGATCAACACTGTGATCGAGGGAGAAGAGGTTTCATCTCAAGATCACCCGCGCAAGCTGGAGGGAAAGCCGGTTCTGGGAGGTGGACTCGGGATGGCTTACGAATGACCACGCGCGCCGCGTCGTATCACATCACATGTCCACGACGTTTCCGCCGATTTCTCGAGGTCGCATGTCCTGCACGCATGCACGCTTGCAACACAACCGAGAAGGAACAAGGACGACTCCGGTTATAACACAGCTTGCTCCCGAAAGAAGGTCTCGGGACGTCACCATCTCGTTCAGCGCATGCTACAGTGGAGATGGGTCGCGGCCAAGATACATCGACACCTCCTCCTCCTCACCTGAGAATATCGAGACAATCTCCGACGAGCCGAGATGATGTTGTTGGTTTGTGAGAGCACCTCTGACGCAAGCATAATCGATCGAGAGAGACGACTGTTGCTCCGGAGAGGTCTTCCTCGAAAAGGGACTGGCTAACAGGACGAAGGATACGAAAAGCAGCCAATCATTTTCCGTACAATCATAGAGAGAACAAAGTCAACCGTGGTCACATCGATTGACGGCACGACATTACTGCAGGTGCAGCACTGGTCTATCACACCGCAAGTGGACCATCGTGACATTAGAACATGGGCGGCACCATCTCCAAAGACGCGCTCAACGAACGCTGGATCCGCGAACCGAGCCTAATCCAATTCCCACAATTCATCGATCCCAGCGATCCCGATGCAGAAGGCCTTCCAGTGGTCCCAGTACTCCGACGACGGAGAAGTCAGCCCTCGAAGCTATGGGTCGACGAAGCCGTCGAGATTATCCCCGAACCTCCCCCTGAACCCGAAAGGAGTTCCTCGGCGCCGCCGTCGATCAGCACGGCTCGTACAGGAGCGCCGAAGAGGAATCCAGGAGGACTCTTCTGGACATTCGGTCCGACGGTGCGAAAGAGGAGATCGATGAGCGATCTCCAATCCCTCCGCTCGAAAAAATCCACGCCCACAAAGAAAAACAAGAAGAAAAGCCCACTCCCGAAAAAGAAGAAAAGGCCCTCCAAGAAATCTCAACAGGGTCCCACATCTTCTGCCGACGACCCTCCACCCCGCCCTCTCAGCTCCTCGTCCTCGTCCTCATCATCGTCGTCATCATCGTCGTCCTCCCCCGAACCGCCACCACCTCCTCCTGAACCAACCTACTCCTTCTCCAACCCGCGCTTCGCCAAAGTCGGCACCGCACCCCCGGTGATCCCCTCCGCCACGACCCTCGCGGGAACACAGCCGGGCCAACCCTACTCCTTCGCCAACCCGCGCCTGGCGGCCTATCCGCGCACGGTCGCCGCGAAGCCGAGCTATACCCAAGGCGAGCCTCTGCCCAGCAAGAAGGCAGCCGCTGCTGCTGCCGCCGCCGGGAAGAAGAAGAAGCAGGCGGAGTCTTCCTCGTCGAGTTCCAGCTCGAGCAGTAGCGGGGATGAAGTCGAGGTGCCGGTCGTGGTGGAGAGGCGATCGCCAGAAGTGAGGGGCGGTTCGTTGGATCTGTTAGGTGGTGGTGCGGGGCCGGGAATCGGATTGCCTGCTGGGACGGTGGCGGCGACGGCGATGATGTTCGGCGGGATGGGTAGAGGCGGGTTTGGGACTGGTGGGGGACTCGTTGGCGGAGGTGGCAGGGGTGGTGGTGGAAACAATGCGAGGAGGAAAGGGAGGAGGTGATTATTATCATCAGGATGAGACCATTGGAAGCGGGCGCCTGGAGGCAGGCTGTCTTGAAGATCGTGAGTTTTGCGCCGAGTGACTGCTCCTCAGCTGTCATATTGAACCGATAACCCCCTACTATCTGAAGCATACAGAAATGTTCTTGCATCATCTCCAAAATCAACACAAATTTCCAACACAAGTATCTCTGAGTGAAAGGGGAAAATGTCGCCATCGAAGAAATCTCGACTCGATTCCGCCCATCACGTGGCTACAGTCCCGTGTGTGACATTTGCCAGCAAAGCCAGTCGGAGGCGGAGCGGCACGTACGCGTCCATTCGTTCATTCATGTCTTCCATATCCAGGTATTTACCTAGATAGCTTTCATGGCGGGTCACATTGATGGATGGAGGAGGGATGGACGTAACAAGCAGCAGCCGCGCGGGAATGCAATGGAAATTTTCTTCAACATCTTTCACTGCTCGAATTCCTTTCATCTTTCTCCCTTTCATTCTCATTCTTGGATCACTACCATCTACCTCGCAGTCACCAACGACGATCATCAATTGCGATACACCCATTCGACTTGCACGGGTTACGTGAATGCCCTCGGCAAGGTGTCCAGCGTCGTCTTCGTCAGGCCATTGCCTCATCCAGTGCATGATCAATCTCGACATCTCTTCGTCAGTCGGTGTCTGCATGGCGGATCCTGCTGATTGAAGAGACACATCACATTCCAATCGTCATCAGAAGGTCACGAAGCCTCACAAAATATAACAAAGACTTGCCATCATCAACAGAATTCCCACCTCGGACAACTCGTCGGCATGTACTCGCCCAAGTCCGGCAACAAGTCAAAGACATCTCCGATCACCATCAAGATCACGAAGTCTGCGAAGTATGAAGAGCCTGCGACCCTATTCATACTGCTGACCTGACGTTTGATCATGCTGACAGCCATTTCACCTCTAGACCAGTCAAAAACGTCGTCAACGATGAGATCCCACTCGGTCGTCCCGACTCCCAACCAAAGTATGTGTGTAAAAGACTCCATTCACATCGACCGAACACGAACCGCATGGCAGTCCCCGCTAACCACTACCCACTCATTCATCACCGGCAATAGAGTCCGCTACCTCACCGCAGCATTGAGCAGCGAAGAGAAACACGCCCGTGTGGCACCTCAATGGACCGCCGGCAAGATCTATGAACGTCTCTGTGCGGACACCCACATGACCATGGCCAATGTCAAGAGTCGCGTCTGCGGAGAAGGAAACAAGGCGTCATCACGATCACGATCAACAACACAAGCCGGTCGCGCGGGCGGGAATCACGGGAAAAACATCATCTCCATCAAACAAACCAAGACCTGCGAAGACGTTCTGAGCAACGATGGGAGTTTCCCCTCTCAGGGAATACCCGTTGCTGCAACAGCTACAGCTACAGCTACAGCAGTATCCGAGAAGAAGAAGACAGGTACGTCACATCCAACCCATCCTGCCCGACCTACCTCAAGCGTTCCCATACAAAGATCCAGTGGGTTGTCCTTCGCTCATCATGTGTATCTTGAAAACTTCCCCACAGGTTTCGCCAGCATCGCCATCGAACTGCCCGGCTACGAATCCTACGACGCCGACGACGACGACGTCGCCAAGCGCAAGAGACGCGCCGAACGCTGCTGTCGGGACTGCGGATCGCCGGTGCCGGAGCACATCTGTCAATTCCCCTTGGAGATGTGATTTGACTGGGTGGGTTTGTCTCTTCACTTTCCCTGCTCCTGTTGTTCTTTGAAACCCGAGTGGTGGCATCGTGAAGATTCAATGGGCACCTGCAGAAGAAACATGGATATCGTAGGGATTCCCATTTTGGGATTTATGGATCGAGTCGTGGACGATGGAGGACGGACTCCAATCATGCTGTCTTCATATATTCATCGTCGTGGTGGTGGTGGTGGTGATGGTGCTGATCACCATCGTGGATCGTAAGCAGTCACAACATCGTGGGGGCAGCGAAGGACAAAGTGACGTATGTAGCCCACCATCCACCCCGCTCTCGTGATTCAGAGGCGCCAGGCAGGCAGATAGGCAGGCAGGCAGGCATTGATGACAGCAATGCCCATATTCCAGGAGGAAAAGACACATTATTATTACAGGACAATATAATAATTGACTATCACCAGCTTCATTCTTCTTACTATTATTCTTTTTATGTCGTGGACTTTTATCGTTCCAATCTGAACCCCTTCACCCCTCCCTCCCTCTCCCTCTCCCCCGAGGTCGTACATGAAAACGTGAGACTCCAGTTGCACACATGCATGCATACATATATTCATGCATTCATTCAACCATTCATACTATACCCGTTTTTGTCTACAGAAAGGAGGGAAAACTCTCCGACGTCCGCCGGGCTTCCCGCTCCGGTAGGCAAAGAGGAGCAGGTACTGTAGTCCGCCGAAAGTGATGGGTTCAGGTACCTAGGTGGGTGATTATGCAGCTCGGGCCCGAAATGGCCATTTCTGCATACAGTTCATTATCACCATCACTATTACTACCATTGCTGTCTTCGTCTCTTTCGTCGTCGTCGTCGTCTGTCCCTGCTGTCGCACCTCGGAATTGCCATAAACCATTATCCCGTCGACGCCAGGAAAAACATACAGCATGTCCCGACCCATTACGCTATTTTAGAAGGGGAAACCACTCGGTAGAAGGGCAAAGTCTGCTTTTCTTTACTGAACTTGTTGCTTGCCTCGCCTTGCCTTGCAGTGCCTCGTACTAGTGCGTCTGTCCGTGCGATTCGCATGCGCGGGATGGTTGCGCCATTCGGGGCGAGACACATGCGGCGCTACAGGCACTACGCGCACTACAGGTACGCAAGCTGCAAGCAAGCAAGCATGCAAGCGAGCGATCCATCATCGTCGTCCATGCATGCGCAGTAGCCGGTGCCATTACGAAAATAGGCAGGGTGGTAGGCAGGTAGGCAGGCAAACAGAGTTTCCGTGCGGAGCCGTATGCTTTCGGGACCGTCGGCGACTTATCACTTCAGTCCTGGACGGAGAGAGCACGTTTTCCTTTCCTTTGACTTTCTTTCTTTCTGCTCTTTTCCCCGTCTCCTTGGCTTGGATTATGCTTTCGCCTGTTTGCTTGGTTATTATCACATGTCTGATTTTCCTCCCGGAATTAATCGATGCGGAAGAATGAGGAAAAACATTGCCGTCTCGTCCTTTTCCGGACGGGGGCATTTGGTGCGTAGCTTTTTCAATCCCGCTTCGAAATTCCGCCGCGGAATTGTGGTCCCGGCGGGTGGTGGGATGGCCGATGATGGATGGACAAGGGAAGGAGGAAAAACAAGGAAGAAAGGAAGGTTTCGTTTCCTTCTATCGATGTCCCCAAAGCGCGGGATAGGATCGATAGAGAGAGCGAGACACTGCGATAGGCACACACACACTTGCACACACAAACGTGCTCGGTGGTCATCGGTACTGTACCTACACTTTGTTTATCCTGGATGTATAATAATACATAGAAGCATATCTCCCACCCTCTGCTGCCCGCCGTTCTCCTCCACTATTGACGTCCTCCCAAGATTCTTTCCGGCTCTCAGGCTGTCTGTGAGACTTTGCCGTGGGAGTCTATCTCCGTTGCGCCGGACCGTCGCATTTCATGCCGATTCACTCTGTGCCATCACCGCCATATTTATCTTCACCTGCCGTAGAACAACGACAGACCAAGATAAAAAGGGACCTCGCGGTATCGAATAGGCAGGGGATTGAACGAAGCAGGTGTCGTCGTTTCTCACACATACTACTACCACAGCTTTCTGTTCTGGGAGGGATCGAAAATCTGGTAGCTTTCTGCGCCGGTCCAGGAACGCCCGACGCGAAAGTCCGACCCTAGGGAGCCATTGGAAACATCCGGCCGGCTTGTTCACAGTCAACGTCCTGCATTCGTAGTTAGGGGTAGGGGCCTGCCATTGCAGGTGGGATAAAATAATTTTCTGATCGTATCTCATTCCGAATATCTCGCTGGTCTGGAGAACGTATCGCGGAGTACGAGGGAAAAAAGATCAAGAAGAAGAAATAGTCGTACTTTGCCGAATGAAAGCGATGACGACGACCATGGCTCCATCACCATATGAAGCAACCACCCCCAGCATTCACAGCAGCAAAAAATATGGACCCTCGTCACTCCGCCGAGTCCGTTTCACCACGGCGACGTCTCATCCAAGCAGCACTTCACCTCACAATCTCCATCGGCAGCAACCGCCGGTGACCATCTCGTCCTACTACCCCTCCGCAGAGGATCCCACGGATCATCGATACTCCTCCCATCATCACCGGAGCAGCATCGTCGAGCCTCACCAACCGCTGCCTCATTGCCATTACAAGCAACAACCACAACAACACCCCCCGACCCGCCACGTGTCCTCCTCCTCAACATCATCGAAAGCCTCATCCCGCTCCACCCGCTCATCGACATCGACATCGAACTCCACATCAACAACAGATCCCACCGCCGCAGCACCGACCTGCGTCTGCCAATGCGGGAATTTCTTCTGTTTTGGTGGCACGCGCTGCCACACGAACACGAGGACTACGCAATCCCACCAGCAAGAAACTGCTAAGTTTCCCACCAGGGCGAGAATGTCGCCGCATCGGACACATCGAAATTCATACATGCCGCCGCCGCCGCCGACGACGACGACGCCGGCGATGTTTCCCCCTGTTGATCACCTCTTCACGCCGGAAGATTACTATCGCCGGACTGGATGATGATGATGATGATGATGATGATGATGATGACGACGACGACGATGATGGGAAAGGAAAAGAAAAGAAAAGAAAAGACCGCACGACTCCGCTTGGAGGACTTCTTCTTCTTCTTCGTCGCTCTACCTCAATCTCCCAGCCCAGCCCAACTCAGCTCACCTCACAATCATTCGAGCTTTTTTCCGATCATTTCGCCAAATCCTTAACGGCCGATATGATTTTCGGGGGCGAAGCAATTTGGGAGAGAACGTCGATTCCGAAGGAAAACTCTGTTCCTATTTCGTTCAAGGCACTTCTTTTTGCTCGTCTGTCTCCTTATTGGTTCGAGGGCACATTCCGCCTTTTTTCCGCTTCTCTACTTCTCCGGGTTTGGGCTTTTTTGCTTTTGGGGTTTAACACAGGACCTGTTTTTTCTTTTTCCTCTTCATTTCCAATGTCTCTCGCGGAGAGAAGGCAGGGGAGGGGCGAGTATCTCTCTCGTTTCTTTTCTCTCGGGTTTCTGGGAGGCGGGATTGTCCTTTTTTTTCTTCCTCTCGGGAGATGTCCAGCGCAGAGATACCCGGTTAGAGCGAGAGGAGAAGCGCAGTCAGTCAGCGAAGGGCGAGAGGCGCAATGAACAGGCAAAGAGGGAAAATCCGTGAGCAATCACATCGGGACTTTGAGTTTTCAACGAGGCGTTTTACCAGGGTTTCGAGCATATGAGTTTTAATTGTACGATGTTTTGTTTTTCCTCTTCTCCACGAGCAGCGGCAGCCGGGGATGGGATGGGGATCGGATGACCGGACCAGTACAGCACAGTAGTCTCGGGTGGGAAGACGCGAAACGAACAGACAATCTAGACATCTACAGTTTCTTTTTCTTCTTTCTCTCTTGAATGAGATTCGAAGCAAGCAAAGAAGCAATGTTTGCTGAATCATTCATCTCGACATTTCGCTTCGGTCGATTTCGACCCTGCCTGCCTCCTTGAGAGAGGGGATCTTCCCGGGCCATCAATGCGAAAACATCGGTTCCGCCTTCTCGTCCGCGAACGGAAAAGACAGATCTCCGAGTCGGCGAACAGGGCTCTCTTTGCCCGCCCTGTGCATAGCTCGAAATCGGAGTTTCGCGCAGGAGGGACAGAAAAGTCCTAGGTCATATGAGATACAGCCTAGATTCTGCCTCCCTGCACCATCACCGCAGATCAAACGCCAATATCAAAGCCAATATCTAAGCCACGTGCTCGAAAAGCTGGTCATCGTCCACCGGGGAACGGACTTGGCTTTGATCGGATATTCGTCGGGGATCTCCTCGGAGACATTCGGACCGTCACCCCCGTGCTGGCTCTTTCGAACATCGGCATCGGTGTGTCTTATAGTGGACCGACTCCCCGGTTTTGTGGCGGAGAGGGAGAGAGGAAAGATGCGACTCGCAGATTGGAAAATGATGCTTCGTTTGGGATTCTTTTGGGGGATTTTTAGGATTTTCTGTGATGGTGGAATTCATGCCGGCTTTTTCACTTTTGCTCGTCGTAGTCAACGTCGCCGCATCGTTTCCTGAACCGCCGGCCTTTCGACAGGCAGATCCTCGACGTCTGTGTGTCGCCCCCTCCCGGGAACAATGCACTTCCGAAGGAGTAGCGATTTCACGTCTTCTTCTCCGTCGTCAACGGCAACTCGTCCAAGCCCCCGATCCCCTCGACCACAGCGTCGAAGTCCAACCCTTCCTTGGCGAAGGCCTTCTTCACCCGCGCCGCGACCCGCGCCTGCTTCTCGCGCGAGAACCCCCCGTCCAGATCCCTCTCCTCCTCGACGATCTCCGTCCAGGTCCAGAACAGGCTCTCCTTGCCCGCGGCCGTGAGCGTCTCCTTGAACGCGACGACCTTCTTCCTCTTCTCCTCCGCCCCTCCTCCAGCCGCAGCGGCAGCACCTTCCGAATCACCCTCCCACCGCCAGACCACCCATCCGATCTGCTCGATGTGCGCGAAGACCACCTTGTCCAGCTCCCGCAGCGAGATCTGCCCTTGCTTCACCAGCGCGTGCGCGTCGCACATGAGCTCGAAGTCCAGATCCCAGCTGCGGTCCATGAGGAGATAGCCCGTCTTGCTCATCTGGGCGGTCGCCACCGCGGGGAGGACCCTGACTTTCCAGAAGGGGCTCCCCTCGACGCTCAATCGCCCTCCATCGTCCCGTCTTTCGTTCTTCCCGACGAGATCGCCGTTCGTCCACCCCCGCCCGATCCGCACCACGACCTCTTCCCGCTGATAGCCCAGCCGCCAGCGCCACACGCACGGGTTCACGGGCTGCTCGAGGAAGAAGGTCAGCGGCCAGGGCCCGGCGAAGCGGAAGAACAGGAAGTCGAAGAGGAAGACGGCGGTGCGGCGCAGCAGGATCAGGAGCTGCTGCGTGCGGGTGGTGGAGGCGAGGTCGACGGTGGCGGCGTTGATCTGGCCCAGGAGCGAGCGCACCAGGTGGTAGTAGAAGGGCGCCGCGTGGCGGAGGCGCCAGAGGAGGAGCAGCGCGATCCCGCCGTTGAGGAGCACCGGGATGAGGAAGATGGTGCGTTTGTGCTCCGGTGGGTGTCGGTCGATGTGTGTGATGTGGACTTGCGCCGGGTTGAGACGTTGCAGGAACGGGGAGAGGGAGTCTGGCGCTTGCGTAAACGGTTGGGGGATTCGGGATTTGTTGGAGGAGGAGGAGGCTTGTTTGGCGCGTTTGGCGAAGGCGCGGGCCATGATGGCCAATCTCTGTGTGTCTGGTTCTCGTTTTGTTGATTCTGCCCGGTTGGTGTGAATGGTGTTAAAACAGTGGTGAGGCTGTCAAATCGGGTGGTATGGAGTTGTGGATTGGAAATGGCTGTTGGGCGATGATGAGAAGGAGACAAATTCGAGAAATCGAGAATGACGCGCGAGCACTCTGGAAAGGAAGCCCGCTGTCCTCGGCGCACTTACCTCTCCATCATACCTCACACCAGGATGGAGTTGGTTCTCGACATTGATAATAACTCACCAGCCTGCCTACTGATCAACGACCCACAGCTCTCTTTCGGAGCGGTTTCCGCGGAAATAGAAGAACCCATACTCTCCGACTCAGATATAAGATATTCCATGTACCCAGAGCCCATCGTCTCATCAATCGTAAAGAGAAACAGCCCCGAAGCCTTGGTGGGCTGACTCAGCGCCCAAATTGAACGACATCTTGCCCTGATCGACCGGTCCGCCCGCCTGCCGGAACCTACCATCCAGCCCATCGGGATCGGCATGGACTATTTTCTTCGTGCATGAAAGACTAATACGAAGAAGAGGAGGAGGAGGAGGGTTACATTTCCCGCCTCATCAACGATGATGCGGCACACCGTCGTCGCGAAGATCTCCCCGATTTCTAGGACTAACCGTTCAGAGGTCTCGGAGGCTCGGAACGGATGCGACTCGATCTACACGCATGATGTCAAGTGATTTACGTTTTCTTCGCAGAGCCTCGATGAAAGCTCGGTGCCGCCCAGATGGTGACGATGACGACGAGCTGCTGCTCTTATTACGGCGACTGTGCTATTGCTGACTATGCAGCCGCGCCGGGAACTATTGATTCTTAGAGCGATGTGCTGTATATCCAGCAGCCGGACGAGGACTACCCACTGCAGCTAAAAGCTGACACTCGAGGGAAGTCTCGTCGAATTGTGTTTCTCAGTGGTGGATCTGCAGTCTCGTCGTCATCGGCGCGTCCTTGAAATGGAGATTTCGGAAGATTTTCGGTCTCTCGTCTTTCTTTTTTTTATTTCTCCTTGGTTGGACCGGATGCGCGATTTGATTCGACCGACAAGGCAGGTCGATCGCGATTGTGGCACAGCAGGAGTTGATCCATTCGATTTGTAGTATGGCATATTGCAGTTAAAAAATATAGAATTTCATAGTAGTGATTTGAAAAAATCACATGTCAAGAAGAGATAAAACAATAACTTTTTGTATTTCCTTTTCGTTCAGATCGTGAGATCATACGTGTAAGAGTCTCATGTCCAAACCGAGACCCCATTCTCAAGAGAGGCAAGAACACAAGTGTGAAGCAAGCGACCAAGTTTCAGGCAGTCATCTAGTGCTTGGAGGCGGTAGCGACGGGCTTCTTGGGGTTGTGCTTGATGGACGCCGCGCAGGCCGTGATAGTGGAGGTACCGGGGAGGGTGGTGGTCTTGATGCCGCCGATGCAGACCTGTAGGTTGGGAGATATCAGTAAGAATGGCTTTTCTGAGAGAGAGAGAGAGAGAGAGAGAGAGAGAGAGAGAGGGAGGGAGGGAGGGAGTGACAGAGAGTCCTCTCTATGGAGAATCGAAGAGGTAGGTGAGGAAACTGGACATACCGGTGCGCAAACCCCACCGACAACCTTGGTCTCGGTCTCAACCACGCAGCCCTTGCAGTCGATGCTCTGTGTGGTCGTCTCCGCGGACTTGGTGATGACGCAGCCGCGGCACGCAGGCTGGTAGACGGTCGAGGTGGAGGTGCAGGTGGCGCAGGCGGTGATGGTCGTGGTCGCGGAGACGGTGCTGGTCTTGGTCCCGCAGGCGACGAGGCATTGAGGGCCGCGGGTCGTGGTCGTCAAGGCGCAGCCCGAGCATGCGGAGTATTCGGTCGCGGTGTAGGCCGAGACCGGGGGGCAGCAGGCGGGGAGGTGGGTGACGGTGTTGGTGCAGGTGGGCTGGAGAGCGCTGGAGGCGGCGAGGGTGCCGAAGAGGGCGGCGATGAGGATGGTGAAGGATTGCATGTTTGTCGGTCGGTCGGTTGGTTATTCTGGTCGAGAGAACAGAGATCGGAGAGATGGGTGAGTGGGTTTGTTTCCGTTGCCGTTGAAATGAGGTTGGCGGTTGACGTTTCGATGGGTTGTGGTTATTTGGTCAATGCGGAAAATATAAAAGACGGGTGCCACGTTGAGACACGAGGCGGCCAGCCTTATATAGGCATATCCCGCAACGACTTTTGCATCGGATGAAATTTTCTCCCTCTCCTCGCGAGAGATGTATATCCGAACTAGTCAAGGATGATGCTGATGATGGGAGAGTACATAGGCCACCAGTAGTACGCATGTACCAAAGTTAGGATCCGTGACCGAGCGAGATGAGGAGGTTCCTCTTTCCCTCATCCTTTGCATCTGACCATGATTTCCTCCTTCCGCACCTGCCCTGACCACCACCCTCTCTCGTCACAGGGCAGGATGTCACCGGAGACCAACTTGGCACGGAAGTGCTTGTGTCACTACCCAAAGACGTCTACCAATGTGAAGCCGCACCCGGGCCCGTGTCAGATTCTTAGGCGGACACGGCAATGGAGGAGGACAACACCTGCAGCAGGAACGACGACGCACCTCGCATTTCCAATGGACATTTCTCCCCCTTAGCTCCAGCACACCTGCAGACCTGCAAACGACAATGATCAAGGGAGGGTTATTTTTCTTGGTGGCGCTGACGTCGTGCCGAAAGTTATAATTACACATGCCTAGGTGCTGCATCAATTTTTGCCCTGGGGTCTGCCCCGCTCAATGGCTTAGCGCTGGTTTAAGCTTTCGATCCAGGGCGATTTGATGCCTATTCGGGTATCCATTTGGGTGACCGGAACAGGCAAATCCAGGGCTGATTGATGATGATGCACTATGCTGTCCTGCGAGGAGATTCTGTCTTTTGGTTGCTGCTGCTGCTGCTGCTGCTGCTGCCGCTGATGCTGATGCTGATGCCGCTGATGCGGCTTGCGCGCCGGCAGGGAGTGTGTCGGTAACCCGTGGGTTCATTCGTGACAAGCTTTCCTCTTCCAGACCACTCATTTTGTGATCTTGCACTCCGAGTTCCGAGCTTAGTGTGGCCTAATGATTACCCATGGCGAAGAAAGTGGACGGCGCCCATCGCGTACCGGTACGTCTTTCCTCCCGAATGTCCGATGAGCCTGCAAGCCCTGACTGACCGTTATTTTACGAAGGAATAACTTCATCTACAGGACAGTGCCCCCTCGCTTGCGTGTCCGTCATGTATTGGAGCCCTTAAAATTATGCCCTAGCTGGTAAGCTTACGCTCCGGAAATATTGTCAGGAAGGATCCTACCGAGGCAGACCTGTCGCAACAGTCCTTTTTTCGCCTACGCTGTCTGCCACGTGGGTCCCAGCTTTCCATTTCGGTGCCTTTTGACGAGGCTGACGGGTGGCCGAGCCCAGGCACGCCCGACCAACTCTCTCACCGACCTTGCAGTCCTGCAGGCGTTTCCTCGTCTGAACGAGGCTTGATCCAGACAAGAGTCTTCCGGTCAATACTGTACATAAATAGGTGTTCAATATTCCTTCGCTTCGCATGCAAGGTATTGGATATACATATAGTTTCTCTCCCGAAAACGCCATGGTCAAGACGTGGTCCTCTCGATCAGCGCCATGTGGGACATTGCATGCGTGTGAGACTTCTAGCGAGATGTAGACCCGTTCATGTAGTTCACACATCAAAGCATCGTCCTTGGCCATGTAAACGGAGTAGGTGATGCGTCACTTTCAGGACGAAGAAATCACGTCCACCGGTGTGGGAAGCTGTCCCGTTGTGCCTACCTTCTCGCCCATAAAGACTCAACAGCAAGGCAATTCAGGCCCTCAACGTGGCTTCGCTTCTTTGCCCTCCACTTTCATCCACATGCTGGTCAGCAAGGATGTGAAGTCATCAGCAAGCGAGAGATCGCATGTTACAATAGGAACTATGCACGCGGACTCGGATGAAGCGGATATACACCATCCCTGCATTCCAAGCAGCAGCAGCAGCAGCAGGATTGGCGTTGGTAATGAAAACAAGGGAGACTCCAGTGGTTGGCATGCCGCGTCAGCGCGTAGTCATCAGACAGACGATGCTCCTCCACAAGGATTTTGCCAGGCCCTTTCGCAGTAATCGGCGTTGGATGTATACGTGCATCGCATAAGCTGACAAGATAGTCGATGCGCAATGAACTTTTCATAGTAAACAGCTATCAGACGGGCCTCATCATCAGCCTCTACATGGCCAGGGGTACTGCACATTGGCAATGGAACTTCGACCAGCAGAATCCCGTCACGCAGGGGATCACCACAACATCGTAGCGTGACATGTCGTCGAAGTGTTGTCTAGAAGACATCTTGTCGTCCTTTTGAAATGAGCTTCAGCCCAGCGCCGCCATATCCGGGAGAATATTTCTCGGGCGCTCACATATATGTAGAATCTGCGGAAGATACAGCGCCCGAGTTTGGCCCATCATCATCGTCCTGAAGGCAAGCACGAGTTACGAGCGTCAGCACGTGATTTTCACCTCTCGGTCACGCCCGCCCAGGCGCTAGTGGCCGACGGGCCGTCACAGCCTCGTTCTTTCGCTGACGGGCTCTAGTTGTCGCACCATCATCACACTTGAGATCGTCAACCGTACAACAACAACAACGTCAAGTCAGCGACGGCGACGACATCGGATATCCACTTCTATCCGTGAATTGTCGCACAATCCTCCGACGACCCTTCCTGAATCCTCAAGGCTCGTCCTGCAGAGCACATCACTGTTGGACTGTTGGACAGAGGCCTGAACGCCACCCCCTCCCGCGCGCGCGCACCTCCCTCATTTCCGTCCGTTTCTCTCTTGGAACCATGGCCGCCGAAGTCTCCAACACGAGGCTCTACCTCGGAAACCTCCCTCGCAATGGTACGCAATGATCCTGTTCCCACGATGGTTGGTCCCGTCAACTGTCCACCTCCGCATCTTCCGTCTACCGCCGAGGACGCTCCATGAAATGGCCTTCACGGTTCTCGCGCGCCCGCGAGCGTCTCCCGATGCAGGCCGACTCCTGGACTTCCTCCGAGTGCGCGATGACGGTCTGGTCTTCCTTGCTTGGTCTATGTGTCCTGTCTGACGTCGTCGTTATTCCTCTTTCGCGGGATCGCCCTTGTTGTCCTGTCGGGATACTCCGGCGCCGTGTGTTTTTGACTTTGCCAAAAAATGAAAGCCGTTCCGACATCGCTCCTCGCCTTCTGACCTCCGAACATGCCTGGCCTCGCTGACTGGACAATGCTACAGCTACCAAGGCCGATGTGGAGAACCATTTCAACACTCATGGCACTGGAGAAATTACCGAGATCAAACTCATGAATGGGTTTGGTTTCATTGAGTACAAGGATGCGATGGATGCTCGCGATGTAGTCCCAGGTAAGTCGCAGAGCAACCAGTTCGAGTTTGGGATGTATGGCTGACCTAAGCACTAGCTTTTCGTAAGTCACTCGTTTCGGTGTACGCCTGATGGAGACAGACCAGCACACCCTTGGCCACCACTTCACAGCGCAGATGATGAACAGGTTATATGCACGGCTGGATTCTCCATCGCGCCTCATCAAGGCAAGCCGCCGAGCGATTCAAATGCTAACATGCATACTTCTTAGATGGATCCGAGTTCATGGGCGAACGTCTTGTCGTTCAGTTCGCACGCGGAAGCAACCGACCCCGGGATGGCTTCGAGCAACAGCCCCGTATGGCTCCTCGCCCTCGCCGGACAGTCCACCGCATGACCATCAGTGGCCTTCCTTTCGAGACCAGCTGGCAGGATCTAAAGGACTTTGCACGTCAGTCCGGATTGGATGTGGTGTACAGTGAAGTCGGCCGCGATCGCGATTCGCAGGGCAACGCAAGAGGGTAAGATTTACGATCATCACGCATATCAGCTACTCATCTGACAATCGAAAATAGATTTGTCGAATACGAGACCGCCGGTGACCTCGCAGCGGCCGTCGAGAAACTCCACGACTCCGAGTTTAAGGGTGCTCGGGTGCAGTGTATTTCCGATGTAAGCTCAACGCTACTGTTAATTTCAAGGCAACCGCTGACTCCGTTCCAAGACCCAAAGCGAGATTCCTCGTCCCCGTGAACGCTTCCGATCTCGTTCGCCCGGCTACCGTGGCGGCGGTGGTGGTCCCGGCCGTGGCTATGGCGGCGGCCCACCACCTCCTGGCGATGATTACTACGATCGTCGCGGGCCTCCACGCGGATACTCTCCACGCCGCGATGACTACCGTCGTCGATCTCCGCCTCCAGCCCGCGGCGGCTACTACGATGACACCCGCGATGATCGCTACGGCCCCCCGCCGCGCGCCCGTCCTCCGGTCGATGACTACCCCCCTCCTCCACGCTACGCCGATGACCGTTACGGCGGCCCCCCGCCGCCACGCCGTCCGTACCCCGACCAAGAACCTTACGGCAACGGTCACGGCCGTGAGCCCTATGGCCGTCCTCCTCGCGATGAGCTGCGTGATGGCCCCCGCGAAGGACCTCGTGATCCTCCTCGCGGTGGCTACGACCGTGGTTACGATGCTCCTCGCTACTAGTCGACTCGGCAGAGGTGGAGGCAAGGGTGTCATGGGACCCTTCGTGTTTGGAAAGAAGACCGGCAGGAATGACAGATCGAAGTATGAGTTCCGACGACGTGTGATGGGATGGGATGCTGTTTTTTTTGAGATGGGGCTTTTTCCGGACCGATGCTGTATCTGCTATGCCGTGTATGAAGAAGGGAAGAGAGATGAGGTTTTCGTCACGAGGCACGCAAGATTCTGTCTCTGCGCAGAGGTCCTCCCGCCATCGTCATCATCGATGGTGTGGTGTGGGGACCCCCCTCAACTCGCAGGGAGAAATGGGGATCACGTCTGGATGCTGAAATAATCACGATGTCCTGTTGGATCAAAAGGTCCAGGGGCAAAAGGAAGAGGGAGAGGAGATTTCCTGCTTGATCACTCACTGGTATATTACTTCGCGCGTCGTCGTGTATATCACATCGTTACCGCTTGCCTCATCCCTCCCACCATTATTTTCCCCAAAAAGTAAAAACAAGGTAAGAAGTAAAAAGAAAGAAATGCAAAGCCCCCCTCCCTCCAGGGCTGTTTGTTTCCACCCGTCATCTTCACCGATTCATACCCGATGACAATCCCCCTCATCTTATTCTCATTTTCACCTCAGCCCGCTCAACTCCACCACCCTCCTCCCCACCCGGCTCTCCTCCGCCCGGAAGCAGACCTCATGGCTGCGGACGACCTCCTGCACCGTCACGCCCAGGAACTCCCGCTGCGCCTGCGCGACACTCATCCCGCCTCCTCCTTGTTGTTGTTCCTGGGTCGCTATCACCGCCTTGAGGAACTGCGTCGTGAGGCCTGCGTCGCCGCCGCCGTGGTGCGAATCCGGCGGGATGCGCGGGTGGAACGTCTCTGTGTTTGTGTCTGAGGAGGACGGTGAGGATGAGGAGGAGAAGGTGTGCACGGTGATGGTCTCGCTGTCATAGCTGATCTCCCCGCGCGTCCCGTAGATCCGCCCGCGCCGCTCACACTGCGCGTGCGTCTGCGCGATCATGTGCAGGGCGGCGGTCTTGGGGCCCCGCTCTGGTGATGATGATGAGTCGTCGTCGTCCCATTCCAGCACCACGAACTGGTCGTCGCACACGTCGTTGTCGCTCTCGTACACGCACCGCCCGTACCAGCCGCGGTCTTCGATGTCCGCGATGGCCGTCTGCCCCCGGATGTAGTCCTCCGAGAGCGTGGTCCGGAGGGCGTGCGCCGCGGCGTCCGGGCCGGACGTCTGCAGGATGGCTCCGAGGGCTGGGTTGACGACGTCCAGCGGCCAGGCCGTCATGCCCCGGGCGAGGTGGCGGTCGTGGTAGATTTTCCAGGCGGAGAATTCACATGTGGTCGTGGAGAGCGGACACGTCATGCAATTCGTCGTCGCGGCCCCGGCGGCGCGCGGCTTGCGCGCCCGCCGGAACTGCTTCAGGCTGCCGCTGGAGCTGACGCGCGCGGGCAGGTGCGGCGCCTCTCGCGCGCCGTCGACGGGCGAGCACAGCATCCACAGCAGGAAATCGACGTCGTGGCAGCATTTGGTCAGGATGCTCGGCGCGCTGGTCCCCTCGCGCCGCCAGTTGCCGCGGACGTAGGAGTGGGCGAAGTGCCACCAGCCGACGGGCTCGGTGTGTTCGATGGAGAGCACCTCGCCGATGACCCGCCGCTCCCGCACGAGGTGGCGGAGGAGCATGTTGTGGGGGCTGTAGCGGAGGACGTGGCCGATGGCGAAGATCCGCTCGGGCGTCTGGCATGACAGGGCCTGTTGGATGCGGAGGCAGTCTTGGAGGGTCGTCGCGAGGGGTTTCTCGCTCATGATGTGCAGATTCAGGGGGGCGAGGGCGAGGAGGACGTCGCTGTGTTGACGGTCCGGCACACAGACGAAGACGGCATCGACGCGGCCATCTTGAGACTCGTCTCCTCGATCTTCTTGGAAACCGCCATTCCCTTGTTGGTGTTGCTGCTGCTGCTGCTGCTGCTGCTGCTGCCGTCGTCGTGTCTCTGCGGCGATGAAATCCTGCCACGAGGAGTATTCCGCACCGGGTTTAGGGTTGGCTCGACCCCAGATGTATCTCCCACCAAATGTACGCCGCTTTGGGGCATTGGGCTCCGCGACGGCAGTCACCTCCGCTAAGCCCGAGTCCAAGGCGGCGCGAGCGTAGGCGTGACCGCGAGATCCTGCACCGATGATGAACAGTCGGGGTTTGACCGTCGTGGCCGTCGCCGTCGTCGTGGTTGTCGTCGTGGTTGACATGTCGACATACATCAGCCGCTTGGTGTCGTCGCAATCGGTGAAGTGGGGCCCCTAAGCAAGCCCACGTTGTCGTCCCTCACCTCATGCTGGAGGGTTCGAGTCAGTGAGAAGCGGTCAGGCGGTTGCGATTCAATTGGGGAGGTAGGTAGGTACTGTAGAGTAGAGCAGATATCCCGCGCCCGCCGTGACGAGATCTGGGGTTGAAGACCCAGGCGGAACTCTCTCCATGGATCTGGCGAGTCTCTATGGTGGTTATTGTCCTGTCCTGTCATTCATTCATTCATTCATTCATTCGTTCATACTGTAGTGTCTGTAAATGTCACTACAGGAATTATTACTTGGACCGCCGTGTAGACAGATACGAGTCGTCGAGTCGACGTCTGAAGTGAGGGGCGGGACGACTGTTGCAGAGAGGTGAGTGATGATAGTGTTCATAAGGCATGTATAATCATAATCATAATAATCATAATCATAATCATAATGATACAGTACATAAAACATGTGCATTCGGTGTATGTACAGTACAATACATAGTAGGAGTAAGAAGAAGTCGTGGCTGGTCTATATCTTCTCGTGTTGCTTCGGGTGGTGGGTAGCGCTGCATCTTGACCGACCTCGCTGTCGTTTCTCCGCATTCTTGTTCTTCACATATATACACACATACATACCCATCACACAACCACCAACACATACATACACATACACACACAACACAACAGACACAACATCATGGCCGCCGCCCGCGCCCAGCAGATCTCCGGCCACCTCAACTACCCCAAGGGTTTGTTGCACGGCCAGGTCGCCATCATCACCGGTATGGAAATACACAGGATCACCGTCGTCGTCAAACTGCGGCTCTGCGACACAGCAGGACACTGACCACCCATTCTCCGCTTCCTCAGGCTCCGGTCAGGGCATTGGCGCCGAATGCGCGCGACTCTTCGCCAACGAGGGCGCCAAGGTCGTCGTCTCGGACATCGACGGCAGTATGTGACTCCTCGCTGCCATACGCACAACCGCATCATCTCCGACGGCGAAGTTCTGACGTGGGATCGAACGCACAGAGAAGGCTGAGGCGGTCGCCGCCGAGATCAACAAGAATGGCGGTCAGGCCATCTCCGTCGCGGGCGACATGCTCAACGACCAATACCTCGTCGAGCTGGTGAAGAAGACGGCCGAGTTCGGCAACGGCAAGATCCACATCATCGTCAACAACGCCGGATACACCTGGGACGGCGTCATCCACAAGGTAAAGCGATCCTCGAGGAACGGTCTTTCCGAGAACCCTCCTTTCTGACTACTCTCTTCTCTTCCCTCCACAGACCACCGACAAACAGTGGGACACCATCCTCGCCCTCCACGCCACCGCCCCCTTCAAACTCATCCGCAACGCCGCGCCCTACTTCCGCGTGAAGGACGGCGAACCGCGGAGCATCGTGAACATCTCCTCGACCTCGGGCGTGCACGGCAACGCCGGACAGGCGAACTACGCGCTGGCCAAAGCCGGCGTGACCGGCCTCACCAAGACGATCGCGAAGGAGTGGGGCCCGGCGTTCGGCGTGCGCGCCAACACCGTCGCCTTCGGCCACATCGCGACGCGCCTGACCGCGGCCAAGGAGGAGGGCGCCTTCATCACCACCCCGGACGGCGAGAAGGTCGCGTTGGGCATCCCTGGCGCCCAGAAGGCCGTCAAGGAGGCCGGCGCCGCCGCGTACAAGGACATCCCGCTGGGCCGGCCCGGCACCGCCACCGAGGCCGCGGGCGCCGTCCTCGCGGCCGTGAGCCCGCTGTTCGCGTACATCACCGGCCAGACGATCATGGTGACCGGCGGACGGAACATGTAGGATGTCACGATGGGAAAAAGGGGGGAAAGGGGGAGAAATTTGGGAAAGATGGGGGAAAATATGGAATCCTGTTTTGGAAAGAAAGAAAGAAAGCAGCCCGGGAAAATTCAGGGGGTGGGAGGAAATATCGGAATATTCGAAACCAAAAAAATCCCTCAAAATTGAAGAAAAGAAATTTCACAAATCATTGTTTTCTGACAATTCCCTCCCATGTGCCATTATTCTTTTCCCCCAGCAGCAGCAGCAGCGAGAATCGTTCCCATCCATTCCAATCGTCCAAACTCGAGAGGAAGTCTGAGAGGAGAGAAAGAAAAAAGCCCTTGACGCCTCGCGCTCTCCTAATTATTCTCCCCAACTCAACTCAACTCCTTTCCCGCCGAACACTCCTTCTTCCCATACACAACACCTCGTCTCTCTCCCTTTCACCTATTTGGACGACGGAGATCTCGCGGATCCCATCATCGATGATATTCTCGGCGGACGACCGGTGTGTCTTGCTTCGATCGCTGAACTCGCCGCTTTTGCATCCGGGCGATGGGATGTCGATCGGGTCGGCGTTTCGAGGTCCGTCGTCTTTTTTTTCCCCGCTTCTCTCCCGGATAACTCGCGTGAGAGTTCACGTCTGGGGTTTCGTTTCCGCGCGCTGGCCTACGATGCGGCTCGTCCGGGGTGGATCCCCCGGAGAGATGGGTCGCGGGACTTTCTTCACCGTCGCTTGAAGGGCTTTCTCTCTGCTCTTTGATGCTGGATGAGCGCGAGAATCAAACGGTAGAGCTTGCGATGAGGCCACATCGTCGATGATGAATGCGATCTGGGGGGAGCGTCCAAGTCCGACTGTCAGGGGATATCGTCGTCGTCGTGGTCCACATCGAATCAGTCATCGTCGTCATCATCATGATACCAATTCCCACCGCTCGCGAGATGTCACAGCGCCCGATACTCCGCTCTCTCCGTGGCCCAGGGCAAGTCCCCCCCATCGCCAAACATGCGCTCGAACCTCTCCTTGCCGATCAAGTCCGGGAGCTTGTTGTAGGAGTGCCTGATCGAATCTTCACTCATCAAGCCCAGCTTGGAGAACCCTTCCAGGTCAGGCCGCCAGAAACGTTCCCGCAGGAACACGCCGAGGCCGAATGACCACCGGGGGGGACAGGCGAGCGCGGATGCGAGCGTGCGGATGGGGGTTGTGATCCCCCATTCCATCGCCAAAGCGCGGATCGGCGAAGCCCAGTCGTTTCCAGTCATCCCTTACACGGGAGAACCATATTTTGACGACGGTTGTGAGGATATAGAACCTTGCGTAATCGTCGGGGAGGAAATCCCGCACGGAGGCATAGGCGGCTGTCAGACTTGAGGTATGCTCATGGCCTACCGCGAGCCGGCGCAGCAGGAGGAAGATTCGATCGAAGTCTTGAGCGGGTTCAATCTCGATCCGATTTGGATATGTGTTCAACCAACTCGCGCATGTCCTGGAACTATCTCGGATGTCGGCGACCACGAAGGCCCATCGCCCAAGAGAGGATAGATGTTTGCGAACAGCAACGGCGACGTCGCAATTGTCCTCCTCATGCGCCGTTTGTGGCGCGTCTTCGGGCGTTGATGCTTCCAGCTCAGATAGCCTTATGTGACCTGTGAGAATCTGGGGCGAGAATGCGAAGATAGCACACGTGATCGAGGGGGCGTTGCTGTGCCAGATCAGCAGCAATTCGCGGCAGGTCGACGAGAGGTGCAAGACGGATTTGATATCGTGGCACTGACAGTAGATCATCGTCAGAAGCTCGATCGGAAGATCTTTCGACCTTGCCATGGTGGTGACGGAGAGATGGACCGTCGTTTGTCGGGACTATAGGGACGGGCGATCTAGCAGGGCCGCGGGCGCGAACAGGCAGTGAAGACGCGATGATGGGTCAATCCACATCGAGTTCCTTACTCGATTCTCCCAGGTCATTACTCGTCATACTTGTGTGGATGATGCCTCGAGCCTCTGGGAGATGGAGATATGTATGTATTTCGAGGGCGACGTGTATTTGGACCTCCGAAAAGGCTGTACCTAACAACCCCGAAAATAATGCAAATATAAGATATAAAGTACCTATATCTTTTGCATTACTCGATAAGAATCAACGTTCTCATCACATGGTACTATGGAGATACTGTTGTTTAGGGTTAGAGTATCTCGCCTTCCTTTCTTCCCCTAGCCTTACTCAAGCATATAGAAGCTTTGTATGACTTGTATTAGCTGTAGTAATATTCTGTATCGTCAGCCTCTAAGATGAGAAATTATAATAATTCAATATACATAATATGGGAACCAACCGATAGAGAAGGAGAAGAGGAAGAATAGTGACATGATTATCATTATCGTCGTCGTTAATATTACTCTAACTACGACCCGAGTGCTAGCTCCTCCTCCGCGCAGCCGCCCTTCTCTCCTCCGTCCACGGGATGCCGGCATCACCGAACAACAGTCTTGCACACTTCCGCCCGAACTCCACCACGAAGCCCTCCCAGGCCTCGAGGAGGAAGGATTCCTCAAAGGGGGAATCGTCGGTGACGGGCCGCCACAGGGACTCCAGGACGGCAACGTGGACGGCGAAGTCCCAGGCCATGGGCAGGACGCTCTCGCTGGGTTCCACCCGCAGGTGGTCCCATGATTTCCACGTCGGCTCGTCCTCGACGGGGCCGATGCCCATGCGGGGGTAATGCGGCGCGAGGGAGTCGTCCTCGAAGAATTTGACCACGCGGTAGAAGATGTCGAAGGCAGCCGGCGAGAGGCCGTGCAGGTCGGCGTAGACGGCCGGGCGGGTGAGGGGGTGCTCGTAGGCGGCGCTCAACCGCCGCAGCAGGAGGAAGTGGCGGGCGCAATCGTGGAAGTCTGGGATCGGGCCACATCCATCGGCCAGGTTTCCGTCTTCCCAGTAGAGGTAGCCCATGGTGGATTGGTAGCCGAGGAGGACGCGAGGGTTGACCTCGTAGATGGCTTGGCTCGCCCAGGCTTGGAGGATGGTGGTGATGGCGAAGGCGGATGGTTCGATTGAGGAGAGGAACTTGCGCATTGAGGCGTTGAGGTCGAGGTCATCATCATCATCATCATCATCATCATCAACATCATCATCATCATCGTTATCCTCCTCCCCTTTTTCCCGCGACGACGACGATGTTAATGATGTCTTTCCGTGCGTAGTTGCTGCCTCGAGTTTGGCCAATTCGAGAAAAGCTAGCAGGTGATCATGTGTGAAAGGGAGCGCCGCGGAGGTGATGGAGGTGGTACTGCGGCGCCAGATCTGCTGGAGTTCACTACAGGTCGCCGATAAGGACAAGACGGTTCTGATATCTTGAAGTTGGTGAAAGATGATGGTCAGGATTTCCACCGGGAGGTCCATGAGACCCGTCATGTTGCCCGACGACGAAGGGAGTGTTTCATAACTATGTGAGTTACGAGGGATATGCTCTTGCAGATAGCCTCACGGAAGAGCGCATTCTTGCTGGGGAATTTTCATCGTGAACAGAGAGCACCTGAGCCTCTCCAATCGAATCGTATGCTCGCAGGAAGCTGCAGTATCCGAGGATGACAATGGACAGGGCGCAAGGACGATGGGATGAGTCAGCTGGGCTTAGGGTATCGAAGCATCGACTCCCAGCCCTGGTCTCTTGCTTTCCCCAGCCTCATCACTCACGTTGGGTGTACAGTACAGTACAGCAGCTTGCTTCATCATGGTTGCGTCACCTCTCCTGATTGTTGTTCGCTTGCGACGATCCACCTCGAGGCTTCGGCACGAGGATCTTTCTCATTTCTCCTGCAGATGGAAGAGTGATCGTTGTCCCTCCTGGGTTTCGCGTGAGGATCGCATAGGGATGATCAGATGGGCGGGGAGATGGTTGATTGGAAAGGAGGAGTGCAACTGTGCATTGGACTGAATTGGCAGCATAGTTGCGAGGTGGGCGTGGTCAATGGGAGAAGGGTGGAGGATGTTCAGCCTTTGCCCGTCAGCTCTCGCCACGTGACATTGCCGTCTTCCAAGGTTCCCAGGTATCCATGGATACCTCTTTCTTTCTTTCCTTCCCAGCTTCTCGTCATCACGTGACATCACAGTCGATGCCTCTCACTAGTCTTCCCTGGGAATGATAACAATATCAACATCAACATCAACATCAACATCATCGTCATCACCATCACCATCATCATCATCATCCTCTTTCATCGGCAGAGCGCATCGGGGAGCTAGACTATAAAAGGAAAGGTCTCGGCAAGATTGCCCCAGGATTTCGCCATCGGGAATTCCGCCGCACGGGAGCTAATGGCTAGCTGATTATCACTCGCTGGAGTATGTAGACGGAGTGGGTAACAGTAACAGTGACAGTAACAGCTGGAGTGGTGACATTGTAAGAACTGGGACTGGCTGTATTAGTCATCCTCTCTCTTTCTCACATCATCATTCCCTCCTCACCTGAGCCAACCAAGAACCTGGAAAGTGGCTAGATGGGAAATACAGAGAATGCCTTGGAAGTCACGCAAGGAGAGGAGGCTCACCACCGCCGGAGTCAGGTAAGGCGAGCACTCCTCCGTTCAACCATAAGCGAGAGGAGCGCACACACACACACACACACGCACATAACATAACCCATCCATTGCGTGTTTGCTTAGTAGGTCAGCAGTGATCAGAGGAAGGAAGCGATTGTGTTGAGCGTCGTGCAGTGCCTCCAGTGTCTCCATTGTCTCCAGCGTCTCCCCCCTGCCACCTGCACCACCACCAACACAACACAACACATACGACACCAATCCATCATCACTCACTCACTCACTCACTCACTCACTCACTCATTCTGTAGTTCCCTCAGTAGTAGTAACAGTAGTAATAGTAGTAGTCCCTCTCACCACTCGCCCTCACCCTCACCCTCACCCTCTCTGACCCTCTCTCTCTCTCTTTCTCCTCCTTCCCTTCTCATTTCCACCTCTCTCTCTCTCTTCTTCCTTTCCCTCTTTTCACACACACACACACAACATCCTTTTGAATCGCATCATCACCACTTCCCACCATCACGCCATCAATTCCACCGGCGCATTCTCGCACACGTGAGGTGAGTGATCTGGATCAGCGCGCATTGCGCCAGTCCATTGCTCCAACCAGAGTCGCGAATCCACCAGCTGACCGCATTGCCCGCGCGCGCAACAGCTCCACACAACTCATCGACAACTCCATTTAACACCACCACTTTCTCCCGACACAATGGCCGGCGACAAGCCCGAAGAAGGCGACAAAGGTATGTCGGGATTCCTTTTCTCTCTCGTGCGACACCTGGAGAGCGCGATGTTGCGCAGTGAGAGCGGCGATGAGAGCAGCGGCCGACTTCACCCAGTTGCGCTGTTTTGTGCGCGCGCGCGCAGAGAGTCGCAATGCGATTGGCAGCGGCAGCAGCCAGCAGCAGCAGCGGCGGCGGCGGCGGCGGCGCATGCGAACATTTGGCGGCGGGCAGAGACACAGACACACACACACACGCACACAGAGAGAGGTCAATGCTTCATTCACCACGCTCGCTTTACACTTGCAAACCACGCGGGTCCCCGATGACGTCGGTCAACGGTCTGGAGAGCCGAGCTTCACAAGCCAGCTCCCCCCGCTTAGTCATCCCTCACATGTTTGCGAATGTCATCTCCACCACCAATGCCATGCCCTAATACAGACAAATGCGCCCGCCTCTCTGCGCACATCTCCGCCCGTCGTCAATAATTCCCAGAAAACCACCCAGAGGATCTGGGTGAGAAAAAGAAGAAGAGAAAAAAAAGATTCCAAAAAAAAAATCATCACTAACAATGCCATCTCAGTCTCATGGAACTGGGGCAGCGGCAAGCCCGGCGGCACCGTCGCCGAAGTCAAGGAACACGGCGAAATCGCCATCCAATCCAACAAGGGCAACACCATCAAGAAGAACGCCGACCCGGAAAACCCGGCCGTCCACGTCGAGCGCTCGGGGAACGACGTCGTGAAGCGCGCCTCGGAGCTGAACATCGAGGAGAAGGCCAACGGCAGCAACGGTAGCAGCAAGAAGGACGGCGGCGACGATGACGACGACGAGATGAAGGAGGAGGAGGAAGAGAAGAAGGACGATGAGGAGAAGAAGGACGATGACAAGGAAGCAGAAGCGGAAGCAGAAGAGGAGAAGAAACCCTCCTCCGACGCCGAAACCGGCGACAAGCGCAAAGCCGACGAACCCCCCGCCGAAGAGGAATCCTCCAAGAAATCCGAGGACGCCAAGAAGCAAAAGACCGACGACGACGCCGATGAGAAGGAAGCCGCCGCCGCCGACGAAAAGGAAGACGACCAAGCCGACGAAGAAGGAGAAGAGGCCGAGAAGCCGAAATCCAACGGCGAAGCCACCACCAAAAAGAAGGGTCGTCCCGCAAAATCCGCCGAGAGCACCACGCCCAAGAAGGAGGCCGCCGCCAAGAAAAAGGAGCCGAAGAAGGCCGCGACGGAATCCGGGGAGCCCCGGAGGTCAAGTCGTCACGCGAGCAAGTCGGAGTAAGATGCGCTCCTCCTCGGTCTTTCCCGTCTTGCACGGACGAGGATGAGGCGGACGACGAGGACGAGGGAAGGAAAGGAAGGGAGAGACTGCCGCGGCGAGGAGCGGCGGAGATGTACAGATGAGTTTATGAGAAGCGCAATCAACCAGGGAGTTGGAAGGGAGTGGTTTGCTTCACGTGAGCGAGAGGTGGCTTGTGTGTTGCTTTCTTCTTCTCCTCCTTCTTCTTTCCCTCTAAGCCGTCCGGAGAGAGAGAGAAGAGAAAAGGTCTGGAAACCCTTCCCGTTCTCGAATCAAAGAGTGATGATCTGAGGGGAAAGGCAGAGGAGATGTAGCAGGGGGAGGGTCCGGAAATGGATAAGAGGGCGGGTTTTCCGGACTGTTGTACTCCTCAGATTGTATGTTAATCCAATGGGAAGTCCAAAAAAGCTATGATGAGAAAAATGGGAAAGAGGCAAACCAACATGGAAAAAAACAATTCTGGAAGAAATTCACAAATCCTATCGGGTCCGTGTTTCGAGCATACACACAATAAGAAAAAGTGTGGATTATCATGATCATAAAGAAAACAAAACCTAGAGGCTCCTACTTTTAACCCCCCTCCCCAGTCATCGGCCTGATGTGTCGCCTTGTGTTCGGCCCCGCATCGATCGCCTTGCCCGAGACCGAGAGTAACGTCCCTCCCGGCGTCGCGAGCCACCCTGTGTAACGAGCCGGCTTCGAAGATTTTCATCGATAATATTCCGCCACACATGTTGTTACACATGACAACGCATCTGAACTGTGGAGCAGAGCGCCAGCATTCCGCCACCGCTTTCGTGCCAGGATCAGTCACGTCTTGCGAACGCTGTCATCGATTCCACTCCAGCACGAAATGCAGGCCTTCCGGCTGATCGCTACGTGGAGATGTGGTTTTCAATGGCATGTTAGTCATAGACTCTTGACAGACGGTCCGGCGTCCACTCTATCTGCGCCGTCAACCTTGTTCCATTGCAGCCTGTATTGCGCGATCCCGAGCGCTGCCGCCGTCGACGTTCTCATATCGTTTTCGAATCTCAATTGCTGACTCATGCCGGTGGCCCGGCACTCCCGAAGAGCTATGCTATGGGCTCCCGTGATCTGGCCAAGCACACATGTCCACACCGAAGGCTTTAAAACCATTGTAGTCTACAGAGCCGGTAATTCAAATGTGCAGTCACTTTTCATCTCCGTAGATCCGCATTCTACACATTTGTATTCGAATACCGATAGTGCCTCGAAGACGAAGCTATCGCGATATAAAAACAAATGTACGGGTATTGTCCTACTGCCGATGACACTCTGGAAGGAATAGACGTAGGAAAAAGTGCAGACACGAGACGCGTATGATGAAGGTTTCTAACGTACGAGCCGCAGATGTTAACAGTATGGCTGAGTGCTTGGATCTGCCTTGTGCCTCGATGGAAATGGCTTGGCTATCGGAATAAGAAGAACCAAATCACGTTTCCTTAGGAATATTCTCTCAAATCGACATGACAATGTGTTGTATAGCAAATGAGGATTCAGAAAGCTATTTAAGCTGCGAGCGTTTCCACATCTTACGCATTAATCTACTAAACGCTTTAGGACTCTCTGCAACCCCTCTGCTTAGGGACGTTACCGATGGCATCGCATTATCCTCTACTTGGGTGATGCTCTCGCTTGCTTGCTCGTTGTGAAGGTAGTGTAGTCGTTGACGCAAAGATGATAAGGCCTCTTTCACAGATGCTACGCGAGCCGGCGAGACCCATGACAGCTTCTCGTACCCACGCAGCGCCCGCAAGTACATCTCCTCCGCCTCCGCCATCTTGCCTTGACTCTGGTACAGATTGCCGAGATTGTTGACCGTGGCCAGCGTCGACGTGTGCTCCGCGCCCCATGCCTTCTCCTTCCC